CCATCGCACCACTGCACTGCAGCCTAGTGACAGAGTCAGTGTACCACCATCGCACCACTGCACTGCAGCCTAGTGACAGTCAGTGTACCACCATCGCACCACTGCACTCCAGCCTAGTGACAGAGTCAGTGTACCACCATCGCACCACTGCACTGCAGCCTAGTGACAGTCAGTGTACCACCATCGCACCACTGCACTCCAGCCTAGTGACAGAGTCAGTGTACCACCATCGCACCACTGCACTCCAGCCTAGTGACAGTCAGTGTACCACCATCGCACCACTGCACTCCAGCCTAGTGACAGTCAGTGTACCACCATCACACCACTGCACTCCAGCCTAGTGACAGTCAGTGTACCACCATCGCACCACTGCACTGCAGCCTAGTGACAGAGTCAGTGTACCACCATCGCACCACTGCACTGCAGCCTAGTGACAGAGTCAGTGTACCACCATCGCACCACTGCACTCCAGCCTAGTGACAGAGTCAGTGTACCACCATCGCACCACTGCACTGCAGCCTAGTGACAGAGTCAGTGTACCACCATCGCACCACTGCACTGCAGCCTAGTGACAGTCAGTGTACCACCATCGCACCACTGCACTCCAGCCTAGTGACAGAGTCAGTGTACCACCATCGCACCACTGCACTCCAGCCTAGTGACAGTCAGTGTACCACCATCGCACCACTGCACTGCAGCCTAGTGACAGAGTCAGTGTACCACCATCGCACCACTGCACTCCAGCCTAGTGACAGAGTCAGTGTACCACCATCGCACCACTGCACTCCAGCCTAGTGACAGTCAGTGTACCACCATCGCACCACTGCACTCCAGCCTAGTGACAGTCAGTGTACCACCATCGCACCACTGCACTGCAGCCTAGTGACAGAGTCAGTGTACCACCATCGCACCACTGCACTCCAGCCTAGTGACAGAGTCAGTGTACCACCATCGCACCACTGCACTCCAGCCTAGTGACAGTCAGTGTACCACCATCGCACCACTGCACTGCAGCCTAGTGACAGAGTCAGTGTACCACCATCGCACCACTGCACTCCAGCCTAGTGACAGAGTCAGTGTACCACCATCGCACCACTGCACTCCAGCCTAGTGACAGAGTCAGTGTACCACCATCGCACCACTGCACTCCAGCCTAAAGACAGAGTGAGACCCCTTTTCTAAAAACATGTAGAAATATTTGAAATTGAATACATGGGATTACAAAGGAAACCAGCTTTATAGAAACGTGGACCCTTTGAGGCTATAGAGCCCAGGTTCAGAGCCACATGGCATCTGCCACTTGACAAGGGAAGTCACTTCCCCTCTGAACCTCAGCTTCCTCCTCTGCAAGACGAAGATAGCGGCCCGCCTCCATAGACCTGCCCAACTCTCAAAGTGAGATGAGATTTGAAGATTAATAACAGCACGGTTTGGCAATTCATTATCACGCCTGGATTCTGTGCCAGCTGGGCATAGTGATGGGCAGAGCAGATGTGTCCCTGCCGAGGAGGCCCTGCAGGCTCGAGTGCTGTGCAGAAGAGATGCCCAGCACACTGCAGGTGCCAGGCCACTCAGTGCTGCCCTGAACCACGGGCCTGAGCCCCTGCAGTGCCTGCAGGGACAAGCTAGGTCCTAGAGGGGGACAGGAACAGCAGGCAGGTCCCTCAGCCCTCGTGGCTTCCCTCCCCACAGCCGCCTAAGGATGACGCAGCCATTGTTGGGGCCGTGCGGCTCCTGTCTGTGCTGATTGCCGCCCTCACCATGGACCTCGCTGGCCGCAAGGTGCTGCTCTTTGTCTCAGGTGAGTGCCCTGCAGGCAGCCCTCCTGCCTCTGCATGGGTCGGGGCTGGGCTGGGTGTGCAGCCAGTGACCCTGCTCGGCTCCCCTAGGCCTGCCTTGGGATGGGGCTATGTGGCTGGGAGCTGAGGGGCAGCAGCCTCCCCAGCATCAGCAGAGGCCTGCCTCAGGCCAGTGGCTCCAGAGAGTTCACTGTGACACTCCATGGTGGTAATGGTGGGTACCTGACAAGCAGCTAGAGACAGAGTTCGCTGCCCTGCGGGGGGTATCCAGTCCCAGACGAGAGCTGTGCCACACAGGTGCCAAGGGGCTCTGCAGGAGGTCCCAGAGAAGCAGCTGGCTCAGAGGGTCCTGGCCCCACGAGGGCCACCTGTCTGTCCACAGCGGCCATCATGTTTGCTGCCAACCTGACTCTGGGGCTGTACATCCACTTTGGCCCCAGGCCTGTGAGCCCCAACAGCACAGTGGGCCTGGAAAGCATGTCCTGGGGGAACTTGGCGCAGCCCCTGGCAGCACCCACCAACTACCTCACCCTGGTACCCCTGCTGGCCACCATGCTCTTCATCATGGGTAGGTGTGGTGGTGGTGCAGAGGGGCAGGCTACCTTGGGCATTAAGGGGTGGGCGATGTGTCTGGGGTGGCTGGAGAGGAGGGTCTCCAGCAGCTCAGTGGGGACAGACACTGCTGTAGCCACTCCACAGGACCTGAGCCTGCCTCCCTTTCTGAGCAGGCTACGCCATGGGCTGGGGCCCCATTACCTGGCTGCTCATGTCTGAGGTCCTGCCCCTGCGAGCCCGTGGCATGGCCTCAGGGCTCTGCGTGCTGGCCAGCTGGCTCACCGCCTTTGTCCTCACCAAGTCCTTCTTGCCAGTGGTGGTGAGTGCTCAGCCCCGGGCCCCAGGCCCTCTCTGACTGGCCAGGACCCTTCTCAGTGCCAGGGGCTGTGCCAAAGCCTGCGGTGTCAGGGCCCTAACTCAGTGACCTAGGAGATGAGGACATGCCCTCTCAACTCAGAGGCCCCAGAGTAGTCAAGTGAAGTCCAGCAAAGGCTCCTTCACTACGAGAAACAGGAACAGGCTGAGGGAACTGTTCTGGGAAGTCAGGTCACCTCCCAGGCCAGGGCAGAACACGGCCAGAACCCTGCCAGGAGCCCAGGAAGCCACCTCCCTACCATGCTGCATCTCCCACCCTGTGGAGGAGGTGTCAGCACCACCCCTTCCCACCGCCCCTCCCACAATCCCCTCGCTCCTCTGACCCACTCCACCTGCCTCCTGGTTCAAACCTATGGGCCCTGAAACCAGCCAGAATCCATGAGGCCCAGGGTAAGTTCCCATGAGGGAGAAGCTGACTAGGGTAGCCTGGGCCAGCGCCTAACCTGTCCTCGAAGTGGTCACGGCAGTGGGGTGGGGGGAGGGCAGGCAATGCAGGGTGAGTCCATCAGCCTAGGGGGTGCAAGAAGAACCTGTGTGCTGAGGGGCGGGCCTCCAGCAGGCTGCAGCGTGGAGCAGCTGGGACACTAGCGCTGGGTGGGAGGTATGGAGGGGGTACCTGAGCTGAGGCCCAGCCCCTGAGGAAGGCGGAGGAGCAGACCAGGTGCAGACTTCAAGGGCCACAACAGGGTACTAAGGCCTTCGGGTTTGTCCTGGAGGCAGTGGGGGAGCCCCAGAGGAGGGTTGGGGAGCAGTCTCTGAACGCAGCAAGGCCCAGATGAAGGCCCCACACAGCTGGCCGCTATCAGCAGGGCCCACAAGCTCCTGGGATGGGAGTGCTCTGCAGCTTCTCCCCATGACCCGGCCCCCCTCTCCACCCACAGAGCGCCTTCGGCCTCCAGGTGCCTTTCTTCTTCTTCGCGGCCATCTGCTTGGTGAGCCTGGTGTTCACAGGCTGCTGTGTGCCCGAGACCAAGGGACGGACCCTGGAGCAGATCGAGTCCTTCTTCCGCACGGGGAGAAGGTCCTTCCTGCACTAGGCCAGGGTCCCCGCCTGGAGGGGGCCAAATCCCCAGTGGCTGGGCCTATGTGTTGGCTGCAAACCTGCACCCTGGGACCAAGAGGCAGCAGTCAGCCCTGCCACCAGCCAGGGCATAGGAAGAGAGCGCAATGGGGCCTCAGCAGCATGTGTCCCGGCTCCAGACAGGTCGCGTTGCTGTCCAGCCGCAGCCGCAGCTCAGGCACCTGAAGTGCTGCACAGACACCAGCCAAGACCTGCCAGGGGGAAGGCAGCCATGGGCCGCAGGAGAGCACACAACCCACCGGGCGACCTCAGGCCTAGTCCCTGACCCTGTGTGAAGGACACCCCCTGAGAAGACTACGGGGAGGACCAAGAAGACAGAGCTGGAGGCAGCCAAGTAATGTCATCACATTTTTGTGTTCTGATCCAGCAGCATCTGGCTGCATGAGGAAGACCTGGCTGTGCCCCCACAAGCCTTCTGGGCACCACAGGGAACATCCTGGACTTCAAAAGCCAGGGCAGGCCAGGCACGGAAGCTCACACCTGTAATCCCAGCGCTTTGGGAGGCCAAAGCAGGCGGATCACCTGAGCCAGGAGTTCGAGACCAGCCTGGCCAATGTGGCAAAACCCTGACTCTACTAAAAAATACAAAAAAATTAGCCGGGTGTGGTGGCACACACCTGTAGTCCCAGCTACTCAGGAGGCTGACAGAATTGCTTGAATCCAGAAGATGGAGGCTGCAGTGAGCTAAGATCATGCCATTGCATCCCAGCCTGGGAAACGAGTGAAACTCTACCCCAATCCCAACCACCCAAAAAGCCAAGGCAAACAACCAGGCCTGGCCACTTTCTCCCGCCCCAGCCCCAACCTCTGGAAATAGGCAGCTCCCATCTGCAAACTGTATTCACCCTTTTATCAAAATAAAGGAACTGGACCTGAGCCCTAGCGAGGAAAGCATGGGGTCTACTCCAGGAGGGAAGCCCCCCACAGCAGCCAGGCTAGACCCCAACTCCCAGCCAAGGCTGCTTCCCATGAATCCACAGCAAAGCAGGGCAGGGAAGAGGCTACTGAGGGGAGGCCCACCTTTAACAGGCCTCTCTGCCTAGCTGCATGACCTTGGGCAAGTCACTTTCCTTGTCTAAGATGTCTGTTAGACAAACGTCTAATGACCTCGGGACAGGACCTATAGCTACTTCCTGGGCCAGCGGCTCCTGCCCAGCTTGCACACACCCACACACCAAGGCAGAAGGGAGTGGAGGGCAGGCACGCGAGCCATGGCCGCACTTTATTGCTCAAGATGCGCATAAACACCGAGGAGCAGAAAAGGGAGAAAGGTTGCCCCACAGAGCCCAGACAAGGCAGGTGCAGCCTGGCCACCTAGGCTGCTGGAAGAGATGTTCTGGCAAGGCAGGGCTCCTGCTGGACAGCATGCCCCTGGGGGACAGGTGACCTGCCCACCAACCCGCCTGTGGCCAGGGGTCTTCCACCTCTGCATCCAGCCATGCAGCTACCATTTCCCCACAGGGCACAGGGGCAGCCTGCCTTGATCCACAGCCAACCCTTCTTCTGCGGTCTCTGGCTGCCAGTGAGGCCGCTCTGGCAGGGGCAGCAGCAGGCAGACCAGGCAGAAGGGGACCTGGGGGCCCACTACCTGGGTGAGAATGAGCAGAGGGCAGGCAGAGCCCTTGCTCCTCATGGGAGGTAGACAGTCACTCACTGCAGATGTGGGACAGATGTGTACACACACACACATAAACATATATACACACACACATAGCCCTTTGAACCCAGCACTGGCCTGAGGAAGGTGGCCCCGGAGGAACCCTGAAGGCACATGTCCACCAGGCTATAATGCCCCTGCCATTCTGGGGTTCAGCTGGCCAGACTCCCAGGGTGGGGTGCTGCTGACCCAGGAGCCCACCAGCAAGACCCCAGGGCAGTACTGGGCAGGGCCCAAAGAACCCCACCCCCCGCCTACCAGCCTGCCACTCCTGGCCTCGGAGGCGGATGGGCCTGGAAGGTGTTCCTGGGCAACCCCTGGCACAGCCATGGGGCTTCTGTTCACTTAGCAAGACCTAGTTCCTGTGCTCCAGAAGCTCAGAGCAGGCCCAGCCCAGCGTTGGCCGCAGGCAGAGTTTCTTCTGCACCCTCCTGCCTCTGCCAAGCCCCACCCAATCTTAGCCAGGTCCCACCTGCCCGACAGCCAGCCTCACAGAGGCTGGCAGAGGGAAGACAGAGATAGGTTTCCTGGGCAGCAGCTCTCGGCATCCTCCCTGTGCAGGTCTGTTTCCTGATGGCCTGGCATCCGGGGCAGTGGGGACAGTTCCATGTGGGGAAGTGACGGTGGCCTCTGCCCAGTTCTTCAAAAGCAGAAGCTCCCTGAGGGCAGGGCTTGGCCAGGCTGGCAAGAGCACCTGAGTGGGGCTGAGGTCAGACCCACTAACCCACTAACAGGGCGGGGCTGCAGTTGACATGACCGGGCCACACCAGGGAGACTGTGGGCACCCTCAAGGGTGCCAGGGAGAGCCTGCTCTCCCCACTTCCTTAGCACCAAGGCCGGCGGGGGTGGGGGAGAAAGGGCAGAACCTAGGGGCCCCAGCAGGCCCAGAGGGGAGGGGCAGCTGAGGAGTCTTGGGGTGGCCTGTCCAAGGTTCCAGGAGCTGACAGGGGGACCCCCCACCCAGCTGTCCAGTCACTGCCAAGGCTGCAACTCCAGGTACAGGGGTGCATCTGTGGAGCCCTGTGGGCTTTTTCAGAAGGCCCAGTAGCAGTGGGCGCTGCACCCCAGGCAGCAGTGGGAGGTTGTGGGCAGCGGCAGGCTGTCCCGGGCCTTAGGGCTCCACCTGCCGAGAAAGCTGGGGGAGGTCCCTCTGCTCAGTGCCCAGTGGCAAGGTCCTACTTGACACACCTCCCCTCAAGCCAGGACAAGCATCTCCCGGGAGGCTGCTCCCAGATCGCAGCAGGTCACCAGCAGCCCTGTCTGTGGTGTGAGCTCTGTGGACCCACCCAGCAGAGGAGCAGGGTCGGGTGCTGTCCACACACAGCTACTGCAGGCTCTGCTCAGCTCTGCCTCAAGTCCAGCGGTCCAGACCCTCACACCAGCAGCCAGAGGCTCCCGGTGTAAGCCAGTTTGGAGTCTGGAGAAAGCGGCAGAGGAATGCAGGTGTGGGGGCATGTACAGAAACCCTTCTCCAGGCTGTGTCTCGGCACGGATCATTCAGGTCTCACTTGGACCCACACAGAGCCAGAGGAGGTGCAGGGAGGGATAGGTGCCCAGCCCTTCACAGCTCCCCCTCCAGGGTCTCCGCAAGCTTCTCCTCATCCACCTGTTGCCTCTGCTGCTGGATCCTGGCGTAGGAGATCGCGTCGCCCCTGGGGGGAGAGAGGCAGCGTCACATGGAGCACCAGCCCCATGCCCATTGCCCTCCTGTCTGCTGCCTGGTTCCTGCCCTGTGACCCAGGTATGACCTGCAGGCATTCTGATCTCCCCAGAGACATCTGCTGGGATGACAAAGGCCTATCTTGTCGCCTCTGAGTGGCCCAGGCTGCCTGGGATGCTGGGCTAAGAAGGAACCAGCCTCAGTCTGGGCTCTGCAGGAGAGAGGCTGGCAATGGAATTCGATGCCCAGTGTAGACCCGGGAGGGGAAGGGGCTCCCACAAGCCCTACATTTGCTATCCTTGCTGCAGGCCATGACGGGGCAAGTCTGGGCCACACAGAAGTGTTGTGAATCCTGTCTTCACCCACTAAAGCTGAATGCTGGAAGCACTGATGAGTCACTGACGCCTCTGCCTCAGTCTCCACTGGCTTAAAGGGGCCACTCTCAGACCCTCCTCACTGAGAAACTTCAGGGGGGTGGGAAAGGAAAGCCCAGCCCAGGGGCTGGGCCTGGCAGACGCACTTTTTGCCCAGAGCGGAGAGTCCGTACAGCACCCCTGTGGCAAAGGCGATGGCGTTGCCCAGCAGCGTGGTCAGGCTCAGGCTGATAACGATGGGAACGACCGCCATCCTGGGGGAAAGCAGAGGTCAAAGGGGCACTCCTACCCCACGGCCCCACATCCTTCCTGGCTTCCAGACTCGGCCCCGCCCCCTTTCTAGACACCCAGGGCACAGGAAGGATCCCCCGAAATCAGCTGGGGCACAACTTCAGAAAGTCCTTGAACAGCCCTCAACTTGTCTGTAAAACTTCGATTCTGGGAACAGAACCCAAAGCTTTCATCAGACTCTGAAAAGGTCTGTGATCCCAGAAAGGGCTAAACGGTCACGAGATGGTCCACCGCCCTCGCTGTGAGAAACACTGTCCAGAGAGAGCCGTGACAGAGTATCTGGCTTCCCACCCAGGCCCTTTGAGCTTCGTGGGCTAGTCACTCAGTCTCCACCGTGGAGAGGGGATCAAACCTTGTCTGAGGTCAGGCATGTTAACTACACAAGGCTGAACACCACAGGCACTAAATAAATGCTCTGAGTTATAGTGTAACACCAGCCACATCTCCACAAGTGAGGTCCCCAGAATTCTACCGCAGGGAACACAGGGTCTCATCATCAGAAGGCTGCAGGCTGCAGGGTCTGCGGGGTCTGCAGGGTCTGCGGGGTCGGCCCAGAGTTTGTTGCAGTTTGGTGCCACCTGGTGGCAGGGTCCACTTGGGCCTAAGTGTCCCGGGGGCTGATTCTCCATTCTGGCTGGAATTTCCAGACCAGCAGCAATCCCTGAGCTAACTGGGCCAGGAGAATACCTTGCAGCCTGAAGGCCAACGCTCTGTCCTGTCGCCTCCTCAGAGGAGGCCGCCTGTGCAGGAGGATGAGACTCATACATAGCCAATTGCATTCTACCTGAATTCCATTCTTGTAGACATGTGGTTGTGAGATTTTTCTGTCATTAAAAAATTTCAATAAAATAATAGAAATTCAAAGAAAAAGAAAGACCATGGCAGGGAAACTTCTGACGGAAACAAAATTAAAGGCAAACAAGAGGCTGCATAAATAGTTGCAGGAAATACAAGCAAGGACCATGAAATCTTTAATGCAGAGGACGCACTGAACTTGCCATGTAAAAACAGGTTAAAAAGTCAACTCGAAAATTTCAAGTAAGAAAATGCAATGAGAGCACATGGGGAAATATTTTTCCTCTTAAATAACAAACAGATAAATGCAAATGTGAAGCGGTGTGCAGCCCTAGGCCTGGAGCAGGGGCACGGAAGAGACTCAAGTGACCTCTTTGGAAAGCAATGTAGCCACACATCTTAAAATACTTTTAACGATTAGACTCTTTGACCCGATAATGCCACACCTGAAAACAGATCTTAAGGAAATCATCATAAACACAGAAACAGTCTTAGCAGATAGATGCTTATCGCAGTTCGATTTATACCAGTTAAGAAATTAAGAAAACCATGATACATCCAGCTGAACGAATATTCCTATATTAAAAGTGATGTTAAAAATGCTTATATCATTACACTAAGTGAAAAAAGCAGGATACAAACTTATTCATAATGGTGATAGCTGTGTTAAAAGCAGGCTTTTAAAAAACGCCCGCAGACAGGAAGCACACACATCAGAAGAGTAGGAGGCAGCTGGCTTCAAGTAACACTGTTCCATCTTCCAAATCATAGTTAATGAATTTATAGTATGGCTAGCATTTTTAAAGTACAGTTGTTTGAACTCCGAAGGACATGACACTGCGGAAGTTGAGGTCTGTGATCCTGTGTTCTTCGTGATTTAGACAGAGCAGAAGACGGCTCCAGGGCTAAGCACCAGGCTTCTGCTCTTACCATCAAAACTACTGGGCCTCTCTGAAGGGAAAGCAAGCTTGCACCTGCACCTCTTTCGAAAGGTAACCTGGACAGTGATAAATGCTGCTGCCGCCAGCCTCCTGTCCACCAGGGGCGTTATTCTAGGAGCTTCCATGTATTACGCTTATCCTGAAATTAGTTCCATCGTACCACTCAGAGGAGACGTATAACAGATTGATTTCGTTGTTAGAAATGGGAAAAACTTTGACAAGCACATTTAGAGGGCAACGACATTTTCTGCTCTACAACCTGCTTCTCCTCTCTCATGTCAGGACACCTACATCAGCCCACTCTTCAGAAACACATCCTACAGACCTACTATCATCTGGTTAACAACACCCAGTGGATGAACCAAAGTTCCAGACGCTTCCCTTTTCTCAGCTGCACGGAATGCTGCCACGCATGCTCAAACACCTTCCAGTGACTGCAGCACAGCGACAGCTGAGTTCCCGGTGCAGAACCACTGGGGCAGGTTTGGCAGCAATCAGCAATCACTGCACAAAGGCCGTCCGGGTTTACACTTCTACACAGAGGAGACGCATACACTGCCCACCCTCACCTGACCTGTGGGTCACATTTTGTCAGTGGGTTTTGGGGAACTGTGTCACAGGACCCTGCCCAGCAGCCCCTCACCCGCAGTAGAAGACAGCCTTCTGCCAGGAACGCAGCTGGTCCACCTTCTCCGCCACCGTGTTTGCAAACTCGACGAACTGGCAGCAGAAGGGCGCCTCGCACAGCAACAAGATGAAGGCATTCATACTGCAGGGAGCAGGGCAGGAGAAAAGCATCGACTGACAATCCCAGGGGACGGGGGTGCACAGTGCCAGTGCCACATGAATGCCACCTCCCTCGCCCTCCTGCCCCCATCCCTCCTCCTCTGGGAAGGTGCCTGGCTGCTCCAGGGCACCTGCTTATACCCACCAAAGAGCCTCTGCTGAACACTCCAGCACTCCCCAGCTGCTCCTGCACACCCATCTCCCCAGCTGAACTCAACACTCCTAGAGGAAGCCCCCGGGCTTTTGCTTCCCTTTATCCTCCTGTGTGTGAGACGGAGGAGAGTACCCCACATCATGGCACTGCTGTAAGGCTGAGGCAGGGTGCCCACAGATGGAGCACCTGGCAGCTCTGTCTGCTGTTAATTCACATCGCCACGGCCACCAGCATCCATCAGTGGCATCAGCATCAGGAAGGCTGCCCCACCAGGGAGGCAGAGAGCTGGAGCCAGGCAGTCTCAAAACAGTCACGGAGGGCTGCCCACATACCCAATGCCACCAGCCCAAGGCCCAGGGACACCCAGGGGAAGCCCACGCTGGGAGGAAGAACTTTAACAAGTCCTTGCATCCGGCCCCGTGTTTGGGGTGGGAACAGCTAAGCCACTGGTGACAGAGAGTGTCTGCCGTGGTCTTGGTATTCTCAATGTGTGGGTAACAGTCAGTTACCAGACACTGAGCCAGGCCCTTCTGTCTGTCCCCAAGCCTAGGAGAAATGTGCCATCATTACACCTGTGTAACAGACATGCAGCTCAGGACACCCCAGAGCCACCCTAAACCCAGGGCAGAGACTCTCTTCACAACTTTTAACCACTGCATCCGGCCCCAAGCCTCCCACACACCAGGCCTCCAAGCATCAACTCACTCTGTGCTGGGCCAGCCCTACCACTGCAAACTCGGCCAGGCTCTGATGCCACCCCGAGGCTGGGCCCAGCGCCTCTCCTCTGTCCATCCCCATTGCTATCCACCACTGGCAAACACAGGCATTGGTGACCCCACAACAGCAAGCCCCCAAGGCTCTCCACTAGCCATAGGTCACTGAGGAAGGGACCTGAATCTCGTCCATCTCAGTACCCCTCAAGACCAAGCCCCACGAGGACACTCATAAATTCTTGGTACACAGCCACTTCTCATGTGCCCTCACTGCACCTTCCCTTCCGATGGGATGGTGCCACCTGGCAGGAGGCGGTCATGGAACGCACGTGATGGTGTTCTGACCACAGGTTCCCATGACCACTCTGACCTGCCTCTCCCACCCATATTTGGCACAGCCCCGAGCTAGAGCACCCTCTCCCAGTGGACCCTCCAACCCAGTCCTCAGCCAACCCCAACAAACAGCCTTCCCCACCCCCATCCTGGGAGCTCCCAGAGGGCAAGGGCCCCAGCTTAGTGGATTTGGCACCTGCAGTCTCAGTGGGTGCTCCAGGAATGTCTGGAGTACTGGATGGCCTCCTGCACTGGATGAAGGCCGGGGTGAGCATTCCCCAAACCCTGACCTCTCACTGGGAAACCGAACATGGTGGGGGTAGGAAGTAGGAGAAGACCCATGCTGTGGCCAGAAACCCATGAGCCCTGAGGCGCTCAGGTGGGAGCCAGTAACCATGGCAACCTCAAGGACACCAGCTCCTGCAGCCCCTGCCTCTCCTCCACCCCGCGGGGTGCCCCGAAGACCCCCAACCCGCAGGACCCCTGGGGTGGGACAGCCATGCACTACTCACATCATCCACACGCCGGCTGCAATGTCCAGAGGGTGGATGGTGATGCAGTTGAAGAGGCCAGAGATCGCACAAGCTTCAAACAAGAGACACGGCAGAAGTCAGTGGGAGGCAGGCAGAGCCCGCTGGCATGGCGGCCTGGGGAGATGACTGGAAAGCACCAGAGTCCCTGCGGATGCGCAGCACACAGTTCTCATGACACCCAGAAGCCTGCCCTCTATCATCTGAGACAGGTGGGGAGACACAGAGTGGTGCCATGGCTCGCCCCAGGCCCCAGAGCAAGGTGGCAGCAAGGTGGCAAGTTGATCTCACAGCTGGCCGGCTCTGGGCGCTGGGAAGGCTATGAGAGCATCTCGCCCTCTCTCCGCTCCAGGGCTCAGAGAAACTGGCCCTTTGACCCCAGCTGCGTCAGTGCACACCTCAAAGGGAGGTTAGGATTAAAGAGAGAATGTCCCTCAAGGATTCAGGCCAGTGCTCCCCCGAGACTCTGCCTTCAGTAAGGGTCACTTGTCACCATTCACAGGGCCGGCCACACAAGAAGTCCTCTGACTCAGAAAATATGGCTTGGATTTTGGTTGGGACAAGGGGTGCCTCTCTCAGAACAGAGATGGAAACCAGGTAAGAACAAGAGGCAGTTCCGGCTCTGACTTCCTCGCCAGCCCCGAGCCGCTGCTTGCTATCTTCATCTTCCCAGGCCCGCTTTCCCTCTTGCATGTGAGCAAGTCCTACAGCCCAGGAAACCCACCACTGAAATGCCACAAGGCCAGGAGGGGAAGGGGGCATCTTCCTGCACCCCAGAACGTGGCTTCTCTGATGCCCAGATGTGCAGCCTTGAACCCCACCTCCCGGCTGCACCTCACCAGCCAGGTCTCTTACACCCAACTCCCTCTTCTAGCCACAGCCTGCAGCCCAGCTTCACCAGGAGCTCCAGGAGCCTTCAAGGTTGGTCCAAGGAGCTGGCTGCTGGGCAGGGAGCAAGCCCAGGCCATTGCTGGGACAGGGGCCTTGGAGCCAGCTCATTAAATTTGCAGAAGCTCCTCTGCACCTGATCCCTCCACCCAGGTCTGGAATTCTGCCGTTTTCCATTCTCCCAGGTAACCTTATGCAGACATCAGGCAAGGACGCCAAATCAAGTGAGCTGAGCTATAGTGCTGTGTAGGCCCCAGGGGTCTCCTTCTAAAACAAAGGAGTCAATCGCTGCACTTATCCTAGGCACAGCCTTCAACATCTGCCTCACACAGCAAGGTGCTCCAGAACCACAGGTGCACAGGGGCCTGGCTGCCCCAGCAGAGTGCCTGAAGGGCGACACAGCTTCCTTTCTCTGCTGTGCCTGGCCTCACCTGACAGCTGGGCTGTGCTTCCTGCTGCAGTCAGCATTTGGCCTCCAGCTCCAACCGTACCCCAGCTGTGCCACCCACAGCCTGCCTTGGGAGAGGACCAGGCCTCAACCCAGACCAGCAGGCTCCAGCCAGGAATCCTTTAGCAATAAAGGGCTGGAGGATGTCCACTAAGGGGCCTCAATGCTGATATCTTCCATGTGAGGGGGCATCACCATGCAATCTTGTCCCCTCCCAAGGTGTCACCTCCAAGTGCTCTTAGGACCCAGGGGAGACCCTCTCCAGCTCCTCTCTCTGAGCCTCCCACCCTGGGGGAGGACAACCTTATCCCAAGGACCAGCCAGGCATACAACCCTTGTCTGAATTCCTGCTGCATCTCTCAAACATCCTGCATTTTTGCCTTCTCCCCTGTAATACAGCATTTGATATTCACATAACCATGACCCCCAAAATCTGCAGATGCGACTGACAGTTCAGGGCAATGCCACAGGTTTCTCCCAAAGCTTCATGTGTAGGCCCAGTGGAGCCCCAGGAACTCCTGGCACAGGCATAGTTACCTCATTTTGAGAGGCCCAGAACTGAAGAAGACTCCAGGACTAATCTGGGAGTCGGCAGGGCCACTGACCAAGAAGGAAGGAGGTGGTGGCCTACAGGCGGTAGTCAGGACCTTTCCTTTCTCACCACTGACCATGTCACCCCTCTGCACTGCCCACCCTAATCTGCAGGGAAAACAGCTAACCAGTCCTGAGAGGACGGGATCCAACGCCTAACTTCAAGCCCACGAGTCTCTCCTACAAAGTCAAAAGCATGCTTGCTCTGAACAGCAGTGATACACTCAGGGTCTTTTTGTGATATGAGGGTAGGGCCTGCCATACAGTATTCAGCTGCCTCTGGATAGAGCATCTAGTGAGGGCAGCACACTCATAGCCCTGCACCCTCCTGCCTCAACCTCCCTCCACTCTCAACCTTCTTCCACCCTCCACCCACCTGGAAAGGCTGTGGAACCCAAGGTGACCCTGAAAAGGTGGTCCTTCTGGCAGGAAAGCTGATGGGGTCTGCCCTGCCCAGGCCCAGATCTAGCCCTCTGTGCCAGCTGGCCCCGTTTAAACCCTGCAGATGTCCTCGACAGACATTCTGTAAGATCTTGCCCAGTCCAGTAATTCACAAGGTTGAGGGCAGACAGGAAAGGAAAGCATATCATTCAGACAGACTTGTATTTTCCTGAAAGGCAGCTGTATGAGCTCCATTCACTCCTGGAGCAGACCTGCCTCCCTCTTTGTCCTTTCCTGGCTTCACTAAGAGCCTGGCTTCCCCGGGAGCCTAAGGTCAGGGTCTGTGTCTGGGATAGGGTGGAGAAGGGGAGGAAGCCAGTGACAGGCTAGTTAAGGCAGCAGCAATGGGAGAGACAGCTGACAGCCGACAGAGGACCCAGGGAGAGGCCCGGCCCTCAGCTCACTGCCCCACCGTCCCCGGGGCCACCTGTGTTCTGACACCACCTGACCCTCAGCAAACTCCCGCCCAGTGGCTTCCAGTCACAAATCTAGCCAGCCTTGCACCAGCCCGACTTACAAACAATCCTCGCCCAAAGATTAGCAACGTGGCTGCCGTCACCTACGCCCAAGTCAATAGTTGACCCTTACTACGGGCCAGGTGGGCATGCGCCCCGTAAGCATCACTGAAAAGTCACGAAAATCTCTGGAGGGTGAGGGGAGGGGCTCAGTCACGTGCCCCAGGCCAGCGGCCAGCGGCCCGCGGCCCCCGCCCCGCCCTGGCGTTTCTGGTCCCTCCCGGAATGTTGCCAGAAGCACCAGCTCGGCTCTTGGTACCGAGGTGCCCAGGCCCTGGCCGGTAGCCATGGGAACCGCAGGACACCGGCTCCTGGCGGCCCCGCCACTCCTCCGCCCCGGGAGACGCCCGGCAGACCCCCGACCCCAGCTGGTCCTTCCCGTGGGGTCGCAGGGGCGGGGCAGGGCGCGCATGCGCGGCGGGGCCGGCCCCTTTCCCTAACGGGTACTCACAGACGGCCCCCAGCACCCCCGACAGGCGACACAGCCAGCGGTACCACCACGTCATGCCCTCTTCCTGCGCGGGCGGCGCGGAGCTGGCAGACGCCGCAGCCGCCCCGCCCGAGCCGCTCATGGTGCGGCCGTCGGGCGCAGCTCACAGCCCTGACAAAGGGATCGGTAGCCGGCCGCGTTCGAGCCGGCGCGCTGCCTTGTGGGAGAGACAGCATATTAGCATAGGGGGAGGGGCTTCAGGCTTTACAGCGAGATGCGCCTGAGGGGAGGGAGCTGCATTAGCATAGGGGGCGGGCCCCGCAAGCTGCAGCGTAGCGCTGGCTCGTTAACGTACGGGATGGGGCTCGCAGGCCACGGAGAGGTGTGCCCGAGGGGGGCGTGCATATTAGCATAGGGGGCGGGGGTCTTTGCCTGCGGCCTTGGGCACCCGAAGGAGGGGGGCGCTTATTAGCATAAGGGGCGAGGTTTGCCCGACTGGGCGGGCTTCATTAGCATAGTAGGCGGGGTTTTGTGGCGCGCGGACACGTTAGTGGTCAAAGCCTCACACCGGGACACACGGGTGGGGCTTCACAGGGAGCTGGCAAATACGCCAGCCTCGTAGCGCAATCCTGATAGGCTTTTCTCCTTGGATAGGAAGAAGAACTAAAGGTGTCCAGGGACCTGCTCAGATCAGATAGAGCCAACCGCTGTAGCGAATCCCTGCCTTGCCGTGGGATGGGTTTTCAAGCCAGGTCTGGACAGCTTGCTTATAACAAAAAAACGCCGGTCAGGCTGCATGTTTTATTTATTGGTACCCGAGGAAATGCGGGCTGCCTTTCCAAAGTCCCCACCTCCAACCCCCTAGCCTTTTGGACATTGGAGAGGACGCTCAAGTAGATCTCTAAGATTGGAGAAAGTTAGAATTGGAAAGCACTGAGACCAGAGGTCAACCCTCCAGGGCTGGCCAGACACGTAACAGATGTTCAACGACCGTCAGGTTCTTCCTTTCCCTTCCAGGACTGAGGGTCCTGCTCTGGCACCCATGATTGGAGGGTCCAGTACTGGCCCCGCAGGCTGGCCTTTGCCTTCAGGAAGGCCTCGCTGAACTCCATCTCAGCCTGACTGCTCTCTGACTCCCAGTAAAGCACCTGCTGCCCACGGAATGTTGTGGTCCTCAAGCTGTGGATGTCCCGGATCTGAGGGAAAAGGGGCAGCCCAGAAGGACCAGTCACAAGTGATAATGAGCATTCACGGAAGCCTTCATGTGCAAGGGCTCGTACGTTCAGGATCACATTTAATGCTCACAAAGCCCTACTAGGAGGACACTATGACTCTACCCAGGAAACCAAGGTTCAGGGAAGTTACATCACTTCCCCAAGGACACGCAGTCGGGGTGCCAGAGCAGAGGCCAGGCTGCCTCCTCTGGGAAAGCTGATACCCTGCAGAACAGTTCTCCCAGGACACACGAAACCTTGGGGAGGGTGCAGGGTGCTCTTCTGTTGAAGTTACATCAGCCTGTAAAATTATGCTTCAGTCCTTGAATAGCTGTCAGTCTACATGAGGAAAGGTCTTTACTATTTCTTTTTCTTTTTTTTTTGTTGAGATGGAGTCTCACTCTGTCCCCCAGGTTGGAGTGCAGTGGCCCTATCTGGGCTCACTGCAACCTCCGCCTCCCAGGTTCAAGTGATTCTCATGCCTCAGCCTTCCAAGTAGCTGGGATTACAGGCACACGCCACCACCCCCCTGCTACTTTTTGTATTTTTAGTAGAGATGGGATTTCATCATGTTGACCAGCCTGGTCTCAAACTCCTGACCTCAAGTGATCTGCCCTCCTCGACTTCCCAAAGTGCTGGGATTACAGATGTGAACCACTATTTTACCATTACAGGTAGCTCAAAACACATTTCTTGGTGAATATGTGAAGGAAGCTCTCTTCTCCCATTCTTTCACTGACGATTTTGAGGGTTTTAGTCTGAAATAAACTGAAAGGGGACCCCTAGCCCTGCGCCCCCCAGAGAAAGCTGTTCAGAATCACAGCACAAGTCCTCATTCAGGGTCTCACCGAGATGTAGCTGTCATTGGCTCCCTCGGTCCCAGTGCCCACATCAGTGGCCAGGGCACGGATGGCAATCCGGGCGTGCGGAGCCACATCAATGAAGAGCCGGCAGCTCCCTGCATTCCTTGTGGCTGGACTCAGTGAGGGGCTCACAATTTCACCCCAAGGCCCAAAGAGCTGCATGTCACATTCTGCAGGGGAAGCAGGTGGGACATAAAGACATAGGAACCCAGACTGACCACTGGTGCCAGAGGCCAGGACAACTCACAGCCAGGGAGCAGTGCAGGGAAGCATGGCACTGTGGTCAATATAGGGGCTCCCAGCAAACCCAGCTGAGCCCAGTGACCTTAAAGGCTGAATGTTCTGGGCTCCCGTTCCCTCCGTAACTGAGGAAAACAATGGCATGCACTGAGCTGGGTGGTCTTTAGGACTGAACGTCACACGTGCAGGAGTGTTTAACACTGAACCTGGCCCCAAGGATAGGCTCCACCCATGTCGGCCGCTGCTGCTCCTCAGAGTGCACTGGAGCCCCCACCTGTCTATATCTGCACCTCTTTCAAGGCAGGTGGCTGTGTGGGCTGGGCTGGGCCGGGAAGCCAGAAGCAGTGTGAACAGTGACAGTGTGCTCATGGCCTTTCAGCAGGGCCCAGCAGCACCTGTACACTGAGGCACATGCACAGCTCTCTGCCCGGGAAGGTGCTGGGGCAGGGAGGTGGCACACCAGGTCTCCACAGAGGCTAAGCCCTGTTGCTGCTAAGCCCCGGACACCTGGGGGAGCCAAGGAACCTCTGAAACTGGCTAGGAAAGCCAACCTGGGCCAGCTCGGGCTGTTGGAAGATGGCAAGCCTCCCCAGGGCACCTGAGAGGGCTATGAGAGGGTATCGAGGGAGCCATGGGCAAGGCACGGGTCCCTGAGGTGCCATCCTCTGCCTGAGGTGTGCTTGTGTATGCTCACACCAGTGCCCCAGAACAGGGCTGAGGGACAGTGGCTCCCAGAAAAACCCTAAAGGGCCTTGAAAGGCTGGAGGGCTGGAGGTGGGGTAAGTGCAAATGGGGCAAGCAGCTGGAGGGACCAACTGAGGATGTGGACCATGTCCCACATCCATCCCTCTTGCTGAAAGGTCCCAAAGAGGAGGGATGTAGCACTCATCCTGTGACTCTCCCTGGCATGTGCAGACTGACACTGGCCAACCCCAGGTCCTTCCATCTCAGTCGGCTCCCTCCATATCTTTCCACTGCCCCACTGGCACTGGCACTGGCCCCGTCCCCAGCAGCACCCATTCAGCCTCTCTGCCAGGACCAGAGCACCCAGAGGAGGTGAAGAAGGCCTGGCCATACCTCTGTAGAAAGTTTCCGGGGCAGGCTGGCTCCCGTACCGCAGCAGCACGCCGCCTCCCGACCACCCGCAGCGCTGCCTCACCACCAGCGTGTTGGTCTTAGAGCTGAATGTCATGCCCAACAGCTTCCTGCACATCTTCCTCCAGGTGAGCCGGCCCCAAAGCAGCAACATCTCCCCTAGGAAGCAGCAGGGCGGTGAAGGTCCAGCACTCCCATGTCTGGCCAGCAGAGGAGTGGCCCCAGGGCAGACTGAGCTGACTTCAAGTCCTGCCTCTCCCACTGCTGGCCATGTGACTCTAAGTAACTGGGCATGTTACTTAATTTCTCCCAGCCTCAGTTTCCTCGTCTGTAAAATGCAGATCATCATGCCCCAGTCATGAGATGGGATGCAAAGTAAAGGCGGGAATGCACATGGGGCCCCTGCCAGCATTGTGCTGGCTCCTGGAAGGGCCTGTCACTGGCAGCATTGCCTGCGTGGCCCTAGACATACCCGCGCTGCAGTTGAGAGAGCTCTCAAGGACACGGAGGGTCACCACCTCCCCAAGGGGCCGCCCAATGGCCACTGCACAGTCTGCCTGCCCTGGGCCTCGCATGTCAATGGTTCCTGTCGGCTCAAGGAGTTGCCTGCCACAGGCACCTGGAAAGGGAGCAGGAGGCAGGTAAGCAGCGCTTCCAGGATTCCCAGCAGGGCATGCTCCAGGGCTTCCAAGCTGAGGAAGAAGACCAAGAGGTAGGGGAGGACCCTGTCCTCCACAGCCAAGCTGGAAGCCTTCTCAGGACAGGGGCAGGGGCTGCATGGGTCAGAGCATCACCTTTGGGGCACAGAGCTGCTTCCAGATGCTCCGGCCAGAGGGGCACATGCAGAGCAGCCCAGAGGCCAGGGGGCTCACAAGTTACTTCCCCTTGATAGTAGCAAAAGGGAGGTTCTGTGCCTGTAATCCCAGCACTTTGGGAGGCCGAGGCAGGCGGATCATGAGGTCAGGAGTTCGAGAGCAGCCTGACCCACATGGTGACATCCCGTCTCTACTAGAAATACAAAAATTAGCTGGGTGTGGTGACGCACACCTGTAATCCCAGCTACTCAGGAGGCTGAAGCAGGAGAATCGCTTGAACCCAGGAGGCAGAGGTTGCAGTGAGCCAAGATCACACCACTGCACTCCAACCTGGGGGATACAGGGAGACTTCGTCTCCAAAAAAACTTTTTTTTTTAAAGGTTGGGGGGTTCTGCTTGCCAGAGAGGAAGAGGGCCAGCCCTGATTCTGGGCCCCAAGCACGCATCCCAGGGACCAAGTGCTTGTGCCAGTCCCTCCCAGAGGGAAGGGCTGCCCACCCGTCCCGCAGCAGCCACCCGACAGGAGGGAGGACAGGACATAACTGGACTGCGCTGGGCTTTCCTGGCGCCCAGGCAGGAGCCGCCAAGGCTGGGGAGCTGGGGAGAAGGGCAGGGCCTGGGCCTGGGACCACTCCAGGGAAGCACCAGCAGGGGTGGCTGTGGTCTGTCCTGGAGCAGTGGCTTCTTCGTGGGGTGCCAGGCTGGGCATCCCCTGTCCCGCACAGGGCCCAGCCCAGCAGCCACGCACGGTCACCGGCTTGGGCAAGTGCTGGCAGAGGTCTGTGGGCACAGGCTCCTGGGCCTGGGGTCCCAGGCAGGTGTCACGCCGGCGCTGGATGCCATCCCCACAGGAAACAGAGCACTGCCGGGAGAGGGGAGGAGGAGTCACAGCTGACCCTGCCTGAAGGTGACAAGGACAGTGGTAACCTCAGGCCAGGAGTGGATCCAGCATAATCTTTGTACAAGCTAGAAGGTGGGTAAGTGTTTCCATTCTGCAGACGAGAAAACTGAGACTCAGAGAGGGCGCCTGGTGTGGCTCACGTAGGTGGGAGGAGCTAGAAGGGAAACCTGGGCTGCTGTCATCCTCATGGACTCTGTCTCTCAAGCCTTAGAGCAAGCAGGCCTGAGGGGCTGTGGGCTCATCTCTCTCTGCTGTGCCCCTGTGTCCCCTCTACACCATGAGCAAGCCCCTCTAGTGGGGAGCCTGAGCCCCATTTACCCTTGTCTTTCCTGCCCTGCCGGGAGCATGGCACAGCTGGCATTCCCTCATCCATGTGGAACTGAGTAGCCTGTGTTTTATCTTCCAGCATCCCCAAACCCCAGGGCCTCTTAAGTCCAGCTCCCACAGGTCTCTAGGCCTCTGTCTTTCTGCCTCTAGCTGCCTCTCCCCCAGCAGACCCCAGCTCTCTTCTTCCTCTCAGGGGACACATGAGCCAATGCCCCCTAGGCTCCCCCACACATGAGGAGCCACAGCTGATGCCTGCCCCAGCCCCACAGGGAGTCCAAGTGCCCGCTGTGCTCACCTCCGTCCAGGCTTCAACATGCCAGTGGTAGGTACAATCAGCACTGAGACAGGGGACGCTGGCCTGCGGCCGCACCAGAGCCGCACAGGCCGCCTCGTCCACCTCCACGTCCTGGGCTTGGTCGAGCTGCACACAGGCCACCAAGCGTCTAGCAGTGCCAAGGCCACAGCTGGCTGAGCATGGGCCAAGGGACATGACTTTCCACCTGCAGGAAGAGAAGACCCCAGAGAGATGCTGGGCCTCCCTAGAGACGGTACTGCCCCAGTGGGCCCCTCTTCACCCTCAGGTCCTTGGACATTTGCCTAGACAGCTTCCGTGGCCAGGCAAGATGGGAAGCACAGCCACTGAGCCCCTCCTGTCTGGGGTCAGGGCTCATGGCCATGGCAGGGCTACCAAAAGGCCAGGCACAGTGTGTCACACCTGTAACCCCAGCACTTTGGGAGGCCAAGACAGGTGGATCTCCTGAGGTCAGTTCAAGACCAGCCTGGCCAACATGGAGAAATCCCATCTCTACTAAAAATACAAAAATTATCCAGGTGTGGTGGCACATGCCTGTAATCCCAGCTACTCGGGAAGCTGACGCAGGAGAATCACTTGAACCCAGGAGGCAGAGGTTGCAGTGAGCTGAGGTCGCTCCAGAGCACTCCAGCCTGGGCAACAAGAGTCTCAAAAAAGAGAGAGGCCTCTTTTTCCCTAATCACACATCCCCCTTTAGTTGTCTTTCTCACAGAACCCCTGTCAGCACCCCAGGGGCTGCCAAGTAACCGTGACAGGAAGTGAGCCCCTGGGTAATGCGAGGATGTCAACACCCCACATTCTGCAAGGGAAGGCCGAGGACCTTAACACTGACAGAGTTGATTGGTAATCACTGAATAAAGAATTATGGCCTGTATTCTTCAGAGCCCGGACGTGAACCCCAGCAGCCCGCACAGGAGCTGGGTCTTCACCATGATCCTGCGCCCCCACATGACCCTGCAGTGCTGCCTCTTGGGCCCATGTCTTCTGTGGCCTGGCACTGTTCTACATGACACTGGGAGGTGGCAGTGAACCAAACCAGACCCCGCCTCCTCTCCGAGCACAGATTGTTCTCCACCTGGGCACCACTGGCATGAAGGCTGAATGCTGTGTTGCCCTCGGGGCTGTCATGTGCACGGCAGAAATTTTATATTTTATTTTAAGGGGTTTTTTTTGTTTTTTGAGGCACGGTCTCGCCCTGTTACTGAGGGTGAGGAGGGCAGTGGTGCAATCACAGCTTACTGCAGCCTTGACCTCCAGGGTTCAAGCCATCCTCTCAGCTCAGCCTCCCAAGTAGTTGGGACTACAGGCGTGTGCCATCATGCCCGGTTAATGTTTGTATTTTTTGTAGAGACAGGGTTTTGCCATGTTGGCCAGGCTGGTCTCGAGCTCCTGACCTCAGGTGATCCACCCGCCTCAGCCTCCCATAGGGCTGGGATGACAGGCGTGAGCCACTGCGCCCGGCCCCATGTTGTAGAGACAGGGTTTCACTATGTTGCCCAGGCTGGTCTAGAACTCCTGGGCTCAAGCAATCCTCTCACCTCGGCCTCCCAGAGTGCTGAGCAGAGAGTCACAGGAGGGATGAGTGTTCTGGACTGGTGCTCGGGGAGGGCTCTGCGCCACTCTGGAGTTGTGGTGTCTGAGCTGAGCCTCGGGGAGGGATATCCAGGGCCTCAGGGCATCCACAGAAGACTTCAGGCAGCAGGAGCCAGCACAGAAGCCCTAAGTTAGGAGGATCCCTGGAATGTTCTAGGATAGTAAGGCTAGGGTGGCTACAGCAACGTCAAAAGGATAGCCAGAGCTCATGTAGTATGCGCCTGCATCCAAGCTATGTGGGAGGCTGAAGCAGGAGGATCACTTGAGCCCAGGAGTTCAAGTCCAGACTGGGCAACATAGTGAGACCCCCATCTCTAAAAAAAAGTGAGGGGCGGCTCAGTGGCCCAAGAGGCTGTCTGTAGAGAACAGGGCTACCTGGCAGGCTGTGCTAGGTGTTGGAGGTGACATTTAAGCAACATGCAGGCAGGGTACAGTGTGAAAAACCTTGTAATTCCCATGAAATCCCGGATTATCTCTAAATGTGATGTAGAAAAATAAATGGGGCACACAGCTGAGGGACTTTAGCATAGGCAGAGAAATCAGGACACAGTAACAACATGGAGGTTAAATGGTTACAAAGCTACAACATTTAAAACAATTCTTTTGGGCAAGGGAATAGCTAGAAAAAGAAACCCACAGAAAGCAGAACCTGGCAGATCACTTGAGGTCAGGAGTTCAAGATCAGCCTGGCCAACGCAGTGAAACCCTGTCTCTACTTTAAATACAAAATAATCCCAGCTACTCAAGAGTCTGAGGCATGAAAATTGCTTGAACCCAAGAGGCAGAAGTTGCAGTGAGCTGAGATCACACCACTGCACTCCAACCTGGGCAATAGACAAAAACTCCATCTCAAAAAAACAAAGAGAGAAAAACCTGGTAGAAAGCCTAGACGTAGATTCCAGATTCTAATGTACAACAAGATGAGCAAGGAGCCACCTGGGGGAATCAGGGCTTGTTCAACAGATGCTGGTTAAGAGTTTAGAAAAAAGAATCCCTTGGACCCTACTTTGTAACATACTCCAAATAAATCACAGATTAGTACAGGATTTACATTTAAGTAAAATCCTTTTTTTTTTTTGAGACAGGGTCTCACTCTCACTCAGGCTGGAGTGCAGTGGTGATGCTATCACTGCTGACTGCAGCCTTGACCTCCTAAGGCTCAGGTGATTCACCTGCCTCAGCCTCCCAGGTAGTTGGGAGTACTGGCGTGCACCACCATGCTCAGCTAATTTTTGTATTTATAGTAGAGCCGAGGTTTTGCCATGTTGCCCAGGTTGGTCTTGAACTCCTGGACTCAAATGATCCACCCATCTCAGCCTCGTAAAGTGCTGGGATTGCAAGCGTGAACTACCACTTCCAGGCTAAATTTAAGGGAAATCTTACCTGTAACTGGATTTTATTTAAAACTAGATAACCGATTCAATGGCTCACGCCTGTAATCCCAACACTTTGGGAGGCTGAGGTAGGCAGATCTCCTGAGGTCAGGAGTTCAAGACCAGCCTGACTAATATGGTGAAACCCTGCCTCTACTAAAAATACAAACATTAGCTGGGTATGGTGGTGGGTGCCTGTAGTCCCAGCTACTCAGGAAGCTGAGTAGGAAGAATTGTTTGAACCTGGGAAGCGGAGGTTGCAGTAATCCGAGATCACACCACTGTACTCTAGCCTGGGCGACAAAGCCAGACTCCATCTCTAAATAAATAAAAGTAAGGGGACAAAAGAGTAAAGGAAGGAAACATGGTGGTAGGATGCTGTCTACGAAATCTGAGTGCTGGAACATGTTTGTCTGTTGCGTTTTTTTTTTTTTTTGAGACGGAGTTTCGCTGCTGTTACCCAGGCTGGAGTGCAATGGCGCCATCTCGGCTCACCGCAACCTCCGCCTCCTGGGTTCAGGCAATTCTCCTGCCTCAGCCTCCCAAGTAGCTGGGATTACAGGCGTGCACCACCATGCCCAGCTAATTTTTTGTATTTTTAGAAGAGATGGGGTTTCATCATGTTGACCAGGATGGTCTCGATCTCTTGACCTTGTGATCCACCTGCCTCGGCCTCCCAAAGTGCTTTTGTATGGTATAGAAAAGAATGGATTGAAAATGCAAACCTACAAAAAGAAACCATTAAAGAACTGTGAATGAGGTGGGTGAATGTTCATCCTTAACCACTGGGCTCTGGACCCCAGTCATGAAGCTGTCCCGTGTCCCCGTGTGGCTGTGTGTGTCCCTGCAGGGACCTCCAGCCCTCCCGTCTTCCACAGCGGAGAGCTGGTGCTCACAGCCTCGGGTTCTGCTCAAATGCGGCCTCATCTGTCCCCCAGGCCTCCCTACACCATACCCTGTCCGCATGGTGCTTAAAATTTACCTCGCACCTAGCACAGCCCGCCAGGGAGCCCTATTCCCACAGACTGGCTCTTGGGCCACTGGGCCACCTTCGTCTTGCTTTGTTTTGTGTTTTTGAGATGGAATCTCACCCTATCACCCAGGCAAGAGTGAGGTGGCACAGTCTCAGCTCACTGCAACCTCTGCCTCCAGAGTTTAAGCAACTTTCCTGCCTCAGCCTCCCGAGTGGCTGGGCTTACAGGTGCCCGGCACAACGCCCGGTTAATTTTTGTATTTTTCGTAGAGATGGGGTTTCGTCATGTTGGCCAGGCTGGCCTCAAGCTCCTGACCTCAGGTCATCTGCCCACCTTGGCCTTCCACAGTGCTGGGATTACAGGCATGAGCCACCATGCCCAGCCCCATCTTGTTTTTTTAAAGGTGAGGTCTTGCTATGCTTCATAGGTTGGACTTGCACTCCTGGACTCAAGTGGTTCTCCTGATTCAGCTTTCCAAGTAGCTGGCATTACAGGTGCATACCACAGTGCCCAGCCTGCCATCTGCACACACCAGGAGCTTCCCATCACTGGCTGACTCACCTAGGTGGGCAGGGCTCCAGGCTGCAGGCCTCCTGGGGTTCTGGGCGAGGCAGCCCCTGGCACTGGGTGTCCAACAGGATCTCCTCATCATCGTCCTCCCCATGGGCCCGGGCACAATACAGGATCCTCTGCACGACCCCTCCCCCACAGCTCACGCTGCAGGCCGCCAGCTTGTACCGCCATCTGGGGCAAACTGGAGTCAGGGATGCCAAACAGCCCCAAGGCCTGTGAACCCAGGGGAGCCAGGTCTCCACGCCATTTCCCCAGACCAAGAAGAGACAGGAAGCTGGGAAGGGCCTGGAGAGGGTCTCTTTCTGGAGGCTCCCTTGTGTCCTCACTAAGAGGCTTGGCAGAGGGGACAGAACATTTGGACAAACCCATTTTACAGAAAGGAAAGGTGAGGGCAAAGCACAGGTGTCGTGTCCCAGAGACAGTGGGGGTAGGGTCCAGGCACCCAAGGGCTCTACATGTCTGCCTCAAACAGTGATCCCAGCACCACTGCCCCAGAGCCCACCGCAACAGCCCTCCCACCTCCCCGCCGCTGCGTTTGGCTGCATCGCACTGAACCCCATCCATCAAACTGTATTCCTCCTCTGTCCTATTCTTATCTGTCCCTCTTTCCCCTTGCATTTGCTGCAGGAGGTCAGGGACATCCGTCTGCCTTGTTCTCTGCTGCCGTGCCCCCTAGCTCCAGGACAGCCCCAGGGCCTAGGTGCTCCATAAAGATGAATAAATGCACCAGCAACCATGTGCTCCCGCAGCGTCCCGTGTGATGCACTTGACACACATTGCTTCCAGCATGCATTTACACTCACTGCATTTAGCATGTACTTTACATGCATTTAATCCCTTCATTAAACCCCCACAGTCTTCTGGGCACACAGTATGTCCTGCTCCCACTGGTGAGGACATTGAGGGTCAAAAGATTGGGCCTGGAGATGAGGGAAGAGCCAGGATGCAGACCTAGAACCTCCCATGTCCTTGGGAAGGGGCCCACCTGGCGGGGCAGGGCTCTGGGCTGCAGACTTCAAGGGAGCTGGGCCGGGGCTCTGGCCCACACTTGGAGTGAGGCAGGGGAACAGGGCGGCCACGGTCCAGCCTCACACAGCGCACAGCCAGCAGCACCCGCCCCCCTCCACAGGTCACCGGGCATGGAGCCAACGCTCGGGTCTCCCACCTGCAGGGAAAAGGCCAGCACTCTGTAGGAGGCCACACCCTAAGGCCAGACATCCCCCGCACAGTCTTGCTCCCCTCACTCACCGAGCAGGGCACGGGACAGCCTGGCAGACCTCCCACCGGCTCCCGGGCTTGTTTGCCAGGCCACACAGCTCCTCCTGGGCAGGCACCCTGAGGGCAGAGTCCATGCACAGGAAACGCAACTCCATCAGGCCTGCGTGGATGAAGTAGAGACCCGGAGCCCCAAGAGTCAGACTCAGCAAGGACCACAACCTGGGCTCACTGTGCGGCTCTAGCACATGAGGCCTGCCTGGGTTTCAGTCCCAGCTCTGCCACTTACTAGCTGTGTGACCTCAGACAACTGACTTCACTCCTCTGAATCTTACATTAAAAAAAAAAAAAGATAATGGCATCTACCTTGCAGTCATTTATATTTATAAAAGGGGAGACAAGCCCATTAGGATGGCACTATAAAAAACACAAAAATAGGCCAGGTGTGATGGCTCAGCCTGTAATCCCAGCACTAGAGGCCGAGGTGGGCAGTCCACCTGTAGTCAGGAATTAGAGATCAGCCTGGCCAACATGGTGAAACCCTGTCTCTACTAAATAAAAATTTAGCCGGGCATGGTGGCAGGCACTGATAGTCCCAGCTACTCGGGAGGCTGAAGCATGAGAATCACTTGAACTGTGGAGGTGGAGGTTGCAGTGAGCCGAGATCACACCACTGCACTCCAGCCTCAGCAACATAGTGAGACGGTCAAAAAAAAAAAAAAAAACAAAAAACACAGAAATAAAAAGTGTTGGCAAGGATGGGAGGATGTTGGAACACTTACACACCATTGGTGGAAAAGTAAAATGGTGCAGCCACTGGGGAAAACAGTCCAGCAGCTCCTCAAAAATTAAACATAGAACTCTCATCTGACCAGTACCACATTTCAGGGTATACACCCAAAAGAACCGACAGCAGTAACTCAACAGATGCTTGCACACCCATGTTCACAGCAGCGTTATTCGCAACAGCCAGAATGTGGAAGTAAGCCGAGCGAGCGTCCACAGATGAATGAACGGGTAGACATGTGGGATGTGCTCACAATGGAATCTCTCTCTGTGTTAAGAATGAAACTGTCACACAAGCTACAACATGGGTGAACTGTGAGGACATCACGCTCAGTGAAATCAACCAGTCACGAAAAGGCAAATACTATTTGATCCCACTTCTATGAGGTCCCTAGAGTCACAGAGTATGGAGACAGAAAGGAGAATGGAAGTTGCCAGGGTCTGGGGAGGGGAAATGCAATTCGTGTTTTACAGGGACGGAGCTCGTTTGGGAAACTGGAGAAGTTCTGGAGAGGATGGTGGTGATGGCTGCACCACAGTGCAAATGTGCCTGATGCCACTGACCTGCACAGGTAGAAATAGTTATGATGGCAAATTTTATGATATGGGTGTTTTACTGCAATAAAACAAGATTGGGAAAACCGAAGAACACTGTGTATCTTTAAGCTGAGGTTTCTCTGCTCAGGCCGTCAATTGGGGCCCCCTCTGGCAGCTCTCTCGGGGCGGTGAGGAATGGCTCTGTCCAGCATTATCATCTTTTCCTTCCTTTCAGCCAGTCAATGCCCACATCTGAAGTGGCTGTCAGTGACTATGCCCAGGCTCCTTGTATATTACCATGCAGTCTGGATTTTCTGTAATCCACCTCAAATGCTTTTAGAAGGTGGCAAGATGCAAGTGGATAAGAGAGTTACCATGAGTGCTGGTCCCCAGGAGCATCCTAGGGGTCCTCACCTCGCCCGCAGGAGACGGAGCACAGCCCCGCCACAGGGGTCCATACAGGTGCAGCTCCAGTCCACGTCCTAGTACTGCCCCATGGGGAGGGAGCCTCCTCCCCTGCAGAGATGGCATCCAGCTGTGGGGAACAGCAACAAGCTGGTGGGTGTGGGACTCCTCCAAGCACCCAGTGACTCCATCCCGATTTTCTCAGGAGAGGGAGACAGCAGGAAATGGCATATGCATGCCACGGCTCCCTCCCTGCTCCCTTGGTGAGATTGGCTCTCCGGTCTCCCGGCAGGTGTCCTCGCTGCGTAACCACCTTTGCAGGCTCCTCAGCAGCATGAGTGCTCACTGTGGGCCTGGCCAAGAGCTGGGGACCACGAGTGGGACATGGGAGCATGCCCGGCCCTGCAATCCACCCAGCCATGAGGGGCAAGGGTTGCCAGCACCCAAGCAAGGCCAGTCAGCCTCCAGACCCTGGACTCTGGGTGGGAGCCTGGAAGCGTTTCTCTGTGCAGCAACTGCATTAAACCCTCCTCAGATGCTTCTCTCAGCCCGGGTTGCAAGGGAAACGGGACCTTCCCCGGGGCCCTGACCCCTCTTTCTAAGCTTATTTTCTGAGCAGGGGTAGCCCTCAGGCAGCGTTCCCACAGAAGGACGGTGTTTGGGCTCTAGCTTGGAGGACACTTGCAACTGGTACTCCTCGTTCTCCCATCCAGGTAAAGGACTCAACAGCCCCAGCCACCCTCGTGTCCAGGACACTCACATGGCCCCAGGCTGGAGGGCATGACATCCCGGTACAGGGCTCAGGAGCAGGCAGCTTCTCGTCTATGGAGCTGGGCCCAACAGTCACTGGAGCCTCTAGGCCATCTGCCCCTGGCACATAGGTCTCGTTCTGCAAGGCCAGGCCTGCTCCATGGGCAAATGTGCGTGGGCTGGGCTCTGACACCTCCCACCTGAAGATGGCATGGGACAGTCATCAGGCCCTGCCTCTGCCACCCAACTGCTTGGGGCAAAGGACCTGCTCCCCAACATCCAGGAGCCCAAAGAGGGGCCCCACAAAGAAGCGAAGCTCAGGGTCTCTCCCCGAAGCACTGGGTTCCCCATTCATCAGCCATCAGGTTCCCACTCAACAAGCCCTCACTGCTCGACAGTCAGGTACCCCACCTGCACCCAGGATGCAGAGACAGAACCCATCCCTGGCTGGGCACAGTAGCTCATGCCTGTAATCTCAGCACTTTGGGAGGCTGAGGCGAGCAGACTGCTTGAGTCCGAGAGTTGCAGACCAGCCTGGGCAACCTGGCAAAACCCCGTTTCTACAAACAATACAAAAATTAGCTGGGCTTGGTGGTGCACACCTGCCAAGGCAGGAGGACTGCTTAAGCCCAGGAGGCAGAGGTTGCAGTGAGCCAAGATCATGTCACTGCATTCCAGGCTGGGTGACAGAGCAAAACTCTGTCTTAAAAAAAAAAGAGAGAGAAGCTCTCCAGAGGCAGAGGCCGACCTCCAGCCGGGCAATCACTGACTCTGTGCAGGGAAACAGGTGCCACGTGGAATTGGATCACCTGGTTCAAGGGTAGCCAACAGGTTTCGGCTTCGAGTCAGCTCTGAGCAGGAGTGGCTGCCTGGAGAGCTGTGTTGAGAAGGATTCTGAGGCCCCATCTGGCCTCAGCAGGAAGAGTGGTGACTGCTTTGTTTGCCACAGATAAGAGAGAGGGGAAAGGAGCCCACCAATGATCCAGACCAATCCCCTCCCACCAGACAGGTCACAAAACAAGCCCACAGAGGAGAGGACCTACCCTGCCACCCAGCCAGGTAGTGGCAAGGTAGAACGATAAGCCATTGTCAACTCGGATACTGAGGGGATGAGATGCGGCCACATGGGCACCGTGGAGATGGTGGTGATGAGGAAGTGACATCTCCTGCTCTCCCTTCACAGTCTGACCTCATCCTTGCAGCCCCTGTCCCCCCAACCCCAGGCAGGTTGGCATCCTCATTTCAGAGCAGGGGCTCGGAAGCTCAGAGAGGGAGACAATGGGCCCAGGATCTCCTGGGTAGTAAGAAACTGATGCTGGCACTTACAGCTGCCAGGTGACACTGCCTATCACCCAGGATGCGGAGGCCCTGCCAGAGGCCTCAGGAGGAGGGGATGCTCAGAAGGGCTCGGGCTCAGAGCGGGGGTGAGCTCTCTCAGGGAGGCCCTGTCCCGACCCCACCCATCCCCATGCTCACCTGGCAGGGCAGGGCTGAGGGTTGCAGGTTTCTGCCACAGCTGGCTGCTGGGCCCCTGCTCGGCACCAGGCTGGGGGCAACATCTTCAGGAGGCTGCCATGGGCCTCCACGCAGCGCACTGACCGCTCCCGCAGGCCACCCCCACAGGAGGCGCTACACGGGCCGAAGTCTCCCACCGCCCAGCTGAGGAAGTAGACAGAGCGTCGGGGCCCTGGCCACGTCCCAGGCTGGCTTGGGGTGATGGGGTGGTGAGTGTTGACGTACTTCCCCTGGTCTGGGACAAGCCCTGGCCACTAAGGCCAGCCCAGCTTCTCCAGGTGTCCCCGGGCTGCTGGACAGATGCCTAAGCCTGAAGACGTCCATATCACATGCTGCTGGGCAGCTGCCCCCATCCTGCAGCCAACAGGGATGGCCTTATCCCTAACAGTGTGCCCCTGCCAGGTGTGATGACCGCTAGGGGCTTTGCACCAGGAGCTCCCCAAGTCTCCCCACAACCCTCCATGGAGGTAAGCGATCACCTCCATCTCACCATGAGCACCTGAGCTCAAGGTGGTGGCCCAGACAGGTGGCAGCAGGTGTGGGTCCTGCTGGGCTGACATTATCACCAATGTCTGCCTCAAGACTCAGTGTCCTCACCTGCAGAATGGGAGCACTCACAGAGCCCCCCTCGCAGGGCTGTGGGCATGGGTGGTGAGAGCCTGCACAGGAGCAGCTCAGCCAGGCCCAAACTACACGGTGGCCAGGGGCAGAGCCCAGCAGCCCCAGCTGAAACTTCTCTCCCCACCGGAGCTGCACAGACAGCACCACACTCACTACGGAGGGCAGGGTTCGAGCACGCAGGCCTGTGGCCACGCTGGTGGCTGCCGGCTCCCTCGGCACCGGGCAGTCTCCACCCGCTCCTTCCTGGCCTGGTCCAGGCAGCTGTAGTTTACCCAGCGCAGCCCTAGGAGGGAAGAGGGAGGGCTAGGCCGCCTCCCTGCAGGGGCAAGCCATGCTGTGGGTGAGCCTTCCCCGGGCCTCACCTGCCCCACAGCTCACCGAGCAGGGCCCGCGCACAGCGGCCCACGCCCAGGCCTGCCGTGGCTTAGGCTGGAAATAGGTGAAGGTGACATCTGGGCGGGTGAGGCTGCCATACTCCTCGCCGTACCGCCTATAAACCTGCACACACAGACGAAGAGCTTCAGGCTTTGTCTAGTGGGCTCCCTGAGGGTCACTGTCACGGCCACCTCCCCTGGGAAGCCTCCCAACTTCTTCTTCCATCCCTATCATCTTTGATTCAACAAGTAATCACTGTCCAGGCATGGTAACTCATGCCTGTAAACCCAAAACTTTGGGAGCCTGAGGCGGGCAGATCACTTGAGCCCTGGAGTTTCATACCAGCCTGGGCAACATAGCAAGATTCCATCTCTATAAAAAAATTAAAGAATTAGCTGGGCATGGTGGGGCATGCCTGTAGTCCTAGCTACTTGGGAGGCTGAGGTGGAAGGATCACTTGAGCCCAGGAGGTGGAGGGTGCAGTGAGCTGCGATAGCGCCACTGTACTTGAGCCTGGGCAACAGTGAGACCCTCTCTCAAAAAACAGCAAGAACCAAAACAAAGACAGGCAATCGCTGACACTGACCTGTGTCAGGCTCTGAGGACAGCACAGTGCACAGGACACTGCCTGGGCCTCAAGGAGCTCTCAGTGGCTTGGGATAGGGGGCTGGGGGTGGGTAATGGGCAAGCAATTGGTAGGTTAGAGGATATGGTATTTGGGTGCACAGAGAAGGTTCCCTAAGCTGGGTCAGATGCCTGCGGCACCCTAGAGGAGGACTGGGGACCCTGGGAAGAAGAGTCACCGACATATGCCTGTGAGGCACCTTAGGCTGGGCTAAGGAAGCCAAGAAGGGATAGGACAGGGTCAGCACAGAAAGTGCTTCTGGACCAGAGCTGAGGCCCGGGCATCGGTAGGAAGAAACCAGGTCCCTGGGGCCCTGCAACCAACTGCTGGTTTGGGCCTGGCCCGGAGAGCACTAGGAAGACTTTCAGCAAGTTCCTGGGCCTGTGGCTCTTCAGGAGGGTAACTGGGTCCTGCGCCCAAGGCCAGCCCAAGAAAGACACTGGCTGGAGGCCAGAGCCGGGGGTGAGGTGACACTCAGCACCTGCCCCTGATGCCCACGTGTGGCCACTCTGCAGGCCTGTGTTGGTTACAGTGGGGCTTCTGAGGCCCAATGCAGGGAAGTCCTGATTCAGGAAAGGAGCCTACTCGGGCAGGGAAGGGATGAGGCTGGGCGGATCTGGGGGAGGAGCTGTAGGGTTGGAAAACGCTGCCAGAGAAGCCAGCAGGGACCGCTGAGACTGGGCCCCTCTGCAAAGGTTCTCAGGATTGTTTCAGCTGTGCTCATTTCTGTCCATGCTCCACATGCTTCTTCAGCAAAGCGCCAGAGGGGACACACAGGTGAGCACATGTCACCAAGGACACGCCTGAATGCAGTCTTCCGGTTCCCATGCACCCTGCCCCAAAGAAGCAGTGAGAGCCACATCTGCTCTCAGCTTCCTCGGCAACAAGGCCTGCTCCCCAGATGCCACTGCACCTGCATCCACGCCTTAATGTCCCCACAGCCCCACAAGGTAGACCACCTTCCTTCATCCCTCCCACACAGACATGGTTCCCTTGGCCATATGCTTCCCTCCCTGCTTGGCCAAGAAGCATCTGCTCACCTCAGACCTCAACTCCATCACTCTTTCCCGGAAGCCCCTGACCCCTGCACGGGGCCCTCCAATGCTACCTGATTCCGGAAAGGCAGGGCCTTCTCCCATGGGCCCTGGGCACAGGCACATTTTAATATTCATTTGTGGGACCCTAAGCCCCTGGAGGATTTAGCTATATTTTATGCTCGCTACGTTTTGCCTAGCACAGGGCCCAACACATAGTGGGTTCCCTGCAAGTGACTACGGAATGAGTGAATGAACAAATCAGGGAATGGATGGATGGATAAACGAGCAAGCAGCCGCAGCCCCCAAGAAGCCCCCGCCAGCCTCCCCCAGGCTCTCCTGCGGACCTGGATCTCAGCGTCTTCCTGCAGGGGTCCCCAGATGCGGATCTCCTCCAGGCGGGGCAACCGGTCTTCAGTAAGGGTCACTCTGTACTCGACACGGCCATCCTCCAGGAGGGAGGGGTAGGTGGTGTTAGGGGAGATGCTCGACTTCCCAGCCACCACGTAGCGTGCTCCAATCCTCACCGCTGCAGCGGAACCAGCCCCGTCAGTCGTGTGGAGCTGAGCCCCCGCCTCACCCTCCTTCCCGGGGTCCCCAGCCCTCCTCTAGAGAGCTGCAGGCATCTGACCCAGAGGCTTCCCCACAGCTGAGGCTCTGCGCCTCTTTCCACAACCTGGTGAGTGCCATGACCTGCTCCTTGACCAAGGGCACTCATGCACAGAACTCAACAGGCTCAGGGCTCAGGGACCCCATGCTAAGTGCTGGCAACCAAGGCTTCAAAGGTCAGCTGCAGTCACCTTCCAGAAAGACCCACCATGCCCTGAATAGCAAAGAAGTGGGTCTCACCCAAAGAGAAGCCCAGACTTTGCTATTGGCTTCAAGAGGAAACACAGGTCACAGCAGTCACAAGTGTCATCCTTTAGGGCAGGGGCTGGCTGCACAGAAAGACCAACTATGTGATTTAGGGTGGGGGCTTTGGGTCGCCAGGAGACGGAGGGTATCCATGTGGCCAATGAATCAATTGTGTCTTTGCACTCAAACCCCAGTAAAAACTTGGTGGGCTTTCTGTGTGGGCAATACCCCATGCATATGGCCACTCTCCAATGCTGGAAGGGTGTCACGTCCCTGAGACGCGTGGGCCTCCCATTTGGAACCTCCCAAACTCTGCCTACGTCTCTTCCCTTGGACAATTCTAACCCGCGTCCTTTTCCTGGAAGGAGCCACAGTCACGTGCCACAGTGCTCAGTGAGTTCTGAGAGTCTTCCTAGTCAATTATCAAGCCTGAGGGTAGTTTGGGGAACCCCCTGAACTTGCAGCTGATGTCAGAAGTGAGGGCATCTTGGGGACCTTTGCAGCCTAGCTAACTGGGTGGGTGTCCTCCAGTCAACTCACCCAAGTGTGTGAAGAGAGGCCTGTGGTTGGCAACATAGACACTGGTCAGGTTGGGGGTAACCGTCAGAAATGTGACATATTCTAGGAAGAAGCAAAGAAGGAGACATGCGGGACCCTCACAGCCATCGCATCACAGGCAAAGGGAGCTGATCTTAGCTGGCTGGGAAAAAGCTAACAACATCATGAAGCTGCCTCCAGCGGCAGTGAGTCCCCTGCAAGGGGAGGCAGTCAAAAGCAGGCCAGAGGACCACCTGCCAAGGCTCTGCCCTGGCTGGGACAAGGGACCAGGGCCAGAGTTCTCAAGCATGGCGGGGCACGCCAGAGGGATGCAGGGCTCAAGTCTCTGCTGACCATAGAAGCACTGGCATTTGCAAATGATTTTTGACCTCATAAATAAACAAAAGGCAAGGATTTTCCAAGCGTAACTACCATCCCTCTCATTCACTGATGTCCCTCTCAGTGGGATCTCTTGAGCAGGGGAGAAGAGGCTGGCCTGCCACAGATTGCTCAACGTCCATCTTTCTTTCTTTTTTTTTGTAGCACAGCTACAGTGAGCGACCATGACTGAGGCACCACAGTCGCAGCAGCATCAAGGCCAAAATCTGAGCCTGCCACAGGAGGGTGGCGAAGTGGAAGAAGGAGAAGCTGGCACAGCAGGAGGCATCCAGGGCCCAGTGAGTGTGCCGGCCCTGTGTCCTGAGCGGCCCCTGCACCAAGCTCAGGGCTGCAGGGGTCCTTGGAGAGCCCTGAGGGAGGCCGCCTACCTCCAGCTTTTCCAGCTGTGAAAGAGCCCTTCCGGGGGCTGCACGTGCTGTTGTCCCCACCACACACGTGGCACACGTCCCATACCTGCTGGGAGTCCATCCTGCCATCACAGCCAAAGGTCTATGCAAAGGGAGGGACAGAGGGCCAGTGTCACTGGAGGGTGCTGGCCTCACCAACACCACAGCCCTGCCAGCTCTGAAGTTCTGGGATCCATAAAACCAGCGACACTTCTGTAGTACCCAACATCTACCCAGGAAGCAAGCACAGAGGGCTCAGTAACTCGCCCAAGGTCACCGTGCGGCCCTTACCCCAGGCCGACTCCAAGGCAGCACCACTCCTGCAGATTGCACTGCAGCTCCATCGGGGCCAGCACCCACCCACCTGCACCCAGGAGCCTTCCAATAGGACAGGCAGGCCTCAGGGCCATCGCCAACGTCCACACGTGCCTACCCTGCAGCTGCCCGACACACACAGGCTCAGGGTCCCGTCCTCCCGGGGGCCACTTGGCACACACCGGGTCCCATCCAGGAAGCTGTCTCCACGCTTCATGATGAAGCTCTCGCCAATGGCCCGGCACATGTGTCTGCATAGAGCATCCCCTGAGAGGGCAGAGTGAACAAGGGGTCCTGAACCAAGCAGGAGGGGCAGGCCCGCCAGCCCCCACCCAGCTTCATCCTTTGCATTTGGGGCAAGGGTTTCTATACACCTCCACCCCATCCTGCCTCCTAAGGCAATAATCCTAATCACAGTCCTAATCTAATCTAATAACTAATGGTATTGAATTATGAACCAAGGCCGGGCACGGTGACTCATGCCTGTAACCCAAGTACTTTGGGAGGCCGACGCCGGCAGATCACCTGAGGTCAGGAGTTTGAGACCAGCCCGGCCAGCATGGTGAAACCCCATCTCTACTAAAAATACAAAACAATTAGGCGTGGTAGCATAATCCTGCAGAATCCTGAGGCATGAGAATCTCTAGAACCCCAGAGGTGGAGGTTGCAGAGAGCTGAGATCCTGCCACTGCACTTTGGCCTGGGGAAACAGAGCAAGACTCTGTCTCAAAACAAAGAATCACCAACCAAGGACCACACTTGTTGTTTCCCCAGTTATCTCCCCAAATCCCTGTAGCGATGAGGGAGGGAGTTACTGCTAACATCTCCATTTCACAGATGGCAAATTGAGATGCAGAGATGGAACGTCAGTGCCTGATATACCAGCGAGGCCTGCCCGCAGTGTGATCTATGGTCTGTGGGAAGCCAGATCCACTTTGCCCAGTGCTAGAGGGATGGTAGGCCAAACCCCCATGACTCTGCCCAGTCCAAGGGTCTCCAGAGCTGGCTCCTGCCCCACCCCAGCTCCGCAGACCCCACCTTGGCTGTGTGGCACAGCAGCGCCCCAGTGGTGGAAGGAGGTGCCGCCAGGGGAGGAGGGCAGCGGCTGGCCATCTGTCCTGGCGCACTGTTCCGACATGAACTCCAGCTGGGTCTTCTCACAGGCCTGGCCGGGAGGAGGCAGAGGACAGGCAGAGGAGGGGGATGATGGAGTGGGGGTTGTCCCTGGGAGACTGCACGGCATTCTGCAGTGTGATCAAGATGTGGGTGTGGCCTCAGCTCCAGGCCGTACCTTGGTTCCCTGCTCTGAAAACTGTAGTGATAGGAGCAACAGCCTCTCTCTACTGATGGGAAAACTCTGGTAAAGAACGCCAGGATGCAATAAAGAAGAAAGCCGGGAAAGAGCGTTATGCTCAGAGCCTCTGCTTCTAAGGCCCAGACTTGATCAAATGGGGACAAGGGCGTGTGTTCCGTAGGCAGCCCACCTAGAGAAAGGTAACCAAAGGGAGGCAGGCAGCCAGAAGCAAAGCCCTCACCACCAGAGCCTCTGCACCCAGGCAGGCATGCTGGGCTTTTATGCACTGAGAAGATAATCGGACTTGACTCCCTGGGCAGCCACGCTGACCATGCTGCCTCCACGAAATCGCACCACCCTGTGCTCCAGCCAAAGACCCTTCCCTCAAGGTCTGGAGAGGTCTTGGAGGTCCATTTGGGGAAGGAGGAAAGGGAGGGTCTCATCACATGCAGAACTGCCGTACAGCCAGGGCCAAACCCATGCCCAGGGCCATCCAAGCAGGGGACAGAATTTAACTCAATGTGAAAAGAATCTTTTACCATCTCACACCACCAGGATGGCCAAAATCAAAAAACAGAAAACAGGCTGGGCGCTGTGGCTCACACCTGTCATTCCAGCACTTTGGGAGGCCGAGGCGGGTGCATCACCTGGGGTCAGGGGTTCAAGACCAGCCTGGCCAATATGGTGAAACCCCATTATCTATTAAAAAAAAAAAGAAAGAAAGAAAGAAAAGAAAAAAAACAGAAAGCCAGGAAGTGTGGCGGCGGATGTGGGGAGAACACCCTCGTGCAATGCTGGCGGGAAAGTGAAATGGTTTGGGCACGTGGAAAATGGTTTGGCAGTTTCTCTAAAAGTAAAACATAGCATTTCCATATGATCCAGTAATTCCACTTTTCAGATACTCCCAAAAAAACTGGAAACGGGGCCGGGCACAATGGCTCATGCCTGTAATCCCAGCACTTTGGGAGGCTGAGGCAGGAGAATCGCTTGAACCCAGGAGAGGGAGGTGGCAGTGAGCCGAGATCTCGCCGTTGCACTCCATCCTAGGCAACAAGATTGAAACTCTATCTAAAACAAACAAAAAAACCCCTGAAAACCGGGATTCAAACGTGCACAAGCACATTCATAATGGCTCTGTTCACAGGAGCCAAAAGGTGGAAACACTTCAAATGTCCATCAGCAGATGACCAGGTGCAAATGTCTTCTATCTCTGCCGTAGAATATGATTCAGCCAGAAGGAGGAATGAGACATTGACGCAGGCTACAGCGCAGGTGAGCCTTGAGGACATGGCTCGGTGGGGGGAGGAAGGCAGACAGGAAGCGCACCTTTCGTCTGGTGCCAGGGAAGTGGCATGTCCGGAACAGGTCAATCCACAGGGACAGAAGGGAGACCAATGGCCTGAGGTGGTGAGGCTGGGGGAAATGGAGGGTGATGGCCTATCTCACGGGGTTTACTCCAGAGTACTGGAAACTGTGGAAATGGTTTGGCAGTTTCTTTAAAAATTGGAGCTTCCACAACCTTACAAACGTACTAAAGGCCACTGAGTTGCCACCTTAAAATGTTTGATTTTAGGCTACGAAAATGTCACCTCAATTTATAAATAAAAGACTCCTTTGCAGCCATGCAGCTGGGACTGTATTCCTAGCCGGGAGGTTCTCCCTGCAGAGATGTGCTCCGGAGGGCAAAGTGGCACTCAGAGAGGGAGGCAGGATTCCTCAGGGGCTCTGCGGCCATCAGTAGGACTGGCCTGGTTTACAAACTGGGGTCCAATGTCCTTCACTCTTTTTTTTTATTTTTATTTTTTGAGACAGAGTCTCATTCTATTCCCCAGGCTGGAGTGCAATGGCCTAATCTCAGCTCACTCCTGCCTCAGCCTCCCGGGTAGCTGGGATTACAGGCACATGCCACCACACTCTGGTAATTTTTGTGTTTTCTGTAGAGATGGGGTTTCACCATGTTGGCCAGGCTGGTCTTGAACTCGTGGCCTCAGGTGATCCACCCACATTGGCCCCCCAAAGTGCTGGAATTCCAGGTGTGAGCCACCTCACCTAGCCCCAATGTCTTTCTCAAATGTGTGCTGGTGTGAACCACAAATGTATTCTGGTGTGAACCTGGGCTCCCCCTAGGCCCAGTGCCACCAGCTGCCCCTCCTGCCCCAGGAAACAGGCCTACCTGAGTGTTGCACATCTCGGCCTGGAGGTCAGCACCAACACACACACGCCCCCCAAAGGCAGGTCTGAAAATGCCCAGAAGACAGGAGGGTGAACACTGCCTTCAACCAGGGAATGTGGTGTGCCCGGCCTCCCTGACGAAGGAGCACCCCTCCCTGCGATACCTGGGGTTGCTGCACTGCCGCCTCCTGGTGACCACACCTCCTCCGCAGGATCGGGAGCAAGGACTTGGGGGACCCCAGCTAGACCAGTGCCCATTCACCGCTGCTATGGGGGTCAGCTCCATCAGGGAGCGGCAGCGGCCCTTGGAGCACCACTGCAAGGCAAAAATAGCTTCATCTACTGTCCCACGGTGACCCCACCACAGGACCCCCAGCACACAGACGGACGCCACCCAGGGACCCCCAACACACACAGGGATGCCACCCAGGGTCTCCCAACACACACAGGGATGCCACCCACAGGGACCCCCAACACCCACAGGGACCCCCAACACACAGAGGGACCCCACCCACAGGGACCCCCCAACACACACAGGGACGCCACCCACAGGGACCCCCAACACACACAGGGACCCCAACATACACAGGGACCCCCAACACACACAGGGATGCCACACACAGGGACCCCCAACACATACAGGGACCCCCAACACACACAGGGATGCCACCCACAGGGACCCCAACACACATAGGGACCCCACCCACAGGGACCACAACACACACAGGGATGGCACCCACAGGGACCCCCAACACACACAGGGATGCCACCCACAGGGACCCCCCAGCACACACAGGGATGCCACCCACAGGGACCCCCAACACACACATAGACCCCACCAACACAGACCCCCAACACACACAGGGACCCCACCAACACGGACCCCCAACACACACAGGGACCCCACCCACAGGGACCCCCCCAACACACACAAGGACCCCACCCACAGGGCCCCCCAACACACACAGGGACCCCACCAACACGGACCCCCAACACACACAGGGACCCCACCCACAGGGACCCCCAACACACACAGGGATGCCACCCACAGGGACCCCCAACACTTACAGGGACCCCACCCACAGGGACCCCAACACACACAGGGACCCCACCCACAGGGACCCCCAACACACACAGGGACGCCACCCACAGCGACCCCCAACACACACAGGGACGCCACCCACAGGGACCCCCCAACACACACAGGGATGCCACCCACAGGGACCCCCAACACACACAGGGACCCCACCAACATGGACCCCCAACACACACAGGTACCCCACCCACACGGAGTCTCCAGACCCACAGGGATCCCCAATACCTAGAGACCCCCATATACCCATAGAACTCCCCAGGGACCCCTCAACACATAAAGATTCCCCAACACACACAAGGACACTACCGACAGGGACTCAACACTCACAGGGTCTGTCCCCTTCCACAAGGATCCCACCCCTAGGTACACCATGATCACAAGGACCCTCACACTGGGACCCCACGCATAGGAACCCAAAACCCATGGGCACCCCCGTACAAGCAGGCAGCCCACACTCCCATTCTGCATGGGAGCAAATGATGAAAGAAAGAGGTCAGACCACCAACCCAAAGGTCAATCACCAGGGCCAACTCTGGGGCTCTCTGCCCCACACGGCTCCTGCCGCCCGAACCAGGAGCAGGGCAGCCTGGCTGGAGGCACCCACCCACACATGCTCACAGGAGCCCTCTCATTTGCTCTTGGCTCTGACCTTCTCCACACCACATTCTGTCCCATCCAGGAGAGGGACGAGGAGGCGGCTGCAGCTGCTTTGGTCCAACGGGTCTGTGTGGCAGGAGAGGGCCTGGCACATATCCTAGGAGGGTGTACAGGTGGCGGGCTCAGGGGTCACCAGGGCCTTCCAGGTCACTGTCCAGCCTTAACTGTCCCTCCCAGACCACAGGACACACTGACACAGCCAATACCCTGCGCTGCAGGCACTGGTGCCCTCGGAGAACAAGGCATGACCGATGCATAGATGGAGAACCAGGATCATGACCGGGGCCCGCCACGCTTTCGGGGACCCATGGAAATGTGGTTTTTGTTTTTTTCCTTTTTTGCTTTCTTAACTTGTCACTGACTTGAAGCTCACCAAGGAAAGGTCTTAATTTCTTTTCTTTTTTTTTTGAGACGGAGTTTCACTCTTGTTACCCAGGCTAGAGTGCAATGGCGTGATCTCGGCTCACTGCAACCTCCGCCTCCTGGGTTCAGGCAATTCTCCTGCCACAGCCTCCCTGAGTAGCTGGGATTACAGGCACGTGCCACCATGCCCAGCTAATTTTTTGTATTTTTAATAGAGGTGGGGTTTCACCACGTTCACCAGGATGGTGTCGATCTTTTGACCTCGTGATCCACCCGCCTCGGCCTCCCAAAGTGCTGGGATTACAGGCGTGACCCACCACATCCAGCCCAAAACTTTCCTTTTCTTTCTTTCTTTCTTTTTTTTTTTTTAAGATGAGGTTTCACTGTGTTGGTCAGGCTGGTCTTGAACTCCCAACCTCAGATGATCCGTCCGCCTTGGCATCCAAAGTGCTCGGATTACAGGCATGAGCCACTACGCCCAGCCTTAATTTCTTTTAAAAATCAGACAGAAGAGGCCAGGCGCGGTGGCTCATGCCTGTGATCCCAGCACTTTGGGAAGCAGGTAGATCACCTGAAGTCAGCAGTTCAAGACCAGCCTGGTGTCCCAACGTGATGAAACCCTGTCTACTAAAAATACAAAACTTAGCTGGGTGTGGTGGTGTACACCTGTAATCCCAGCTACTCAGAAGGTTTAGGCCCAGGAAGGATGGCTTGAGGCTAGGAGTCTTAGACCAGCCTGGGTAACAAAGGAAGACCCCATCTCTACAAAAAAAAAAATTAAAAATTAGCTGGACACTGTGGCATGTGCCTGTAGTCCTAGCTACTCCAAGGTGAAGCCCAGGAGGTTGAGGCCGCAGTGAGCTATGACTGTGCTACTGCACTCCAGCCTGGGCAAAAGAATGAGGCCCTGTCTCAAAGAAACAAACAAACAAAAAAACTCTTGTATTTATAATAACACATAAACTTTACACATTGTATATGAACATTAAAATATAATTCTCAATATTTTTTATAGAGGAAGGGGCCCACCAAGGCAAAAGTGACTGGAGCCCATGAGTGTCCTAGGCAACCCTGTGAGGAAGTCTGTGTTTTGGAGTGCCTGCTCTCCTTCATCTCCCCTCTCCCTGCCAGCCCCATTTCTGATGTGGGTTCAGTTTGGAGGCCACTTCCTCCAGGAAGCCCTCCAGGCTGACTCCAGCCCCAACAGATGGGAAGTCCTTGGTGACTGTTTAAGATGGTGTCCTCACTCAGCCAGGAGTCCTTGGGTACAGGGGCCCTGCCAGGACTAGCTACATAATTTGTGGGCCCCAGTCAAACAAAAATGTTGGGGCTTTTGTTCAAACATTTTAAATAATTTCTAGAGGCCACAGACAGCATTAAACTAAGCCACCCTGACCGTATGTCCCTGCACAGCACCCAGCAGGTGCACACGGTGCACCTGGCAGGGATGTGAGCTGGGTGATGCAAGGGACCGCATTGCCAACCCCAGGCCACTGTCAGCCGACTCACCAGGTGGTCCCTGGCAAAGGTGCAGGCGACAGCCTTGGGGCCAAAGGCCACGCGGCACTGCTCGTTGGCACTGTAGTAGAGACCAGGCTTCGCCTCAGGCCGACGTCCCGCAGACCCTGGCTGAGGCCCCGGTGGGTCCCACACACAGCGCGCCCGTCCTGCCCTGCGACAAGGCCCCGGCTCAGGCCCGGGGTGTACACTGGGAGGAGACGGGACGAAGGAGTGGGCGCGGGAGTGGGGACGTTTGGAGGCGTGGCCTTTTGTGAGTGGGAACAGGAGTTCTCGGTCCGCACCCCCCACCAGGAGTCGGCTCTGGGCTGGGACCAAGACTAAGACTCCGACCTGCGCAGAGGTGGGTGGGCAGCAGAGGGATGGGCGACGGAGGGGCCAGAGTGGGACGGGGCAGATGCAGGTTAGGCCGGGGAGGGCTGCGATCGGTGGGAAAGGGACGCAGAGGGACACGTAGGTGGGCAGGGGAGATAGGGGTGTGGGGCTGATGGAGGGATAAGAATGGGGTTGGCGCCGGTGGAGACAGACGAAAGAAAGGAAGTGGGCGAATTGAGGGGTAGGCGAAGGAACAGGGTGGGTGCAGGGGCCTGAGGTGGAGGGTGGGTGTAGGAGGGTAGGGTGGAGGGGTGGGTGCAGGAGGGTAGGGTGGAGGGTGTGTGCAAGAGGGTAGGGTGGAGGGTGTGTGCAGCAGGGTTGGGTGGGGGGTGTGTGTAGGAGAGTAGGGTGGAGGGTGAGTGTAGGCAAGTGGGAGAGAGGGGAGTGGATGTGGAGTCAGGGGGTGGGATGGGAGTGGCCGGAGGGGTGAGTGCCCAGATTGGTCAGAACGAAGGCGTGGGCGCAAGGGGGCGAGGGAGGACGCAGGGGTGGGCGCAGGGAGAGGGTGGACGGAGGGATGGGGCAGGGGATGGACGGAGGGTTTGGGCGCAAAAGGTGGGACAGCGGGGGGAGGGCGCAGGGGCTGGGACAGAGCGGTGCGTGCAGCGGTGGACAGAGTGGCTGGGCTGGAGCGGGGACAGGAAGGAGGGCTGAGTGCGGAGTGGGGACGGACGTAGGGCCGGGTGGCGCCGGCGGCTCCGCGGGCCAACTGGAGGCTGACGCGCCCCTCCCGCGGGGCGGCCGCTACCTGAGCAGGCTCAGCAGCTGCTGGCGGCTGCAAGGGGACCAGGCGAGGCCGGCGCGGGGCGCGGCGCCGTCTGAAGCCATCACGTGTCCGCTGGGGCCGCAGCCGCTGCCGGGTGCGCCGTCGTGCTCCAGGCCGAAGCTGGCGGGTAGGAAGATCTGCGCTCAGGCGGTGGGCGAGGGCCAGGGCGCGGGAGGGGTCGGGGTCGGCGCGTCTGGAGCCCGGTGCCCTCGCGCCGCAGCGCCAGCGAGTTTTCGGACCCGGGTCGACCCCTGACGCCGACACCTGCTCACCGGGCACAGTGGAGAGGGCCGCGTGCGCCCTGCCTCAGTTTCCCCCCCCGAAGGGAACGCCAGCAGGGTGGCTCCCGCGTCTTTTGCTAATAAATATTAAAAGTCTTTAAAAACGTGCTAGCCACATTAATTCATGGTGTTATGAGTCTGCGGAGAGGTGGGGACTGTTTACAGGAATGAAATTCACCTACTGAGAGGAAAGCGCGATTTAAAGGTTCAATGAAATTGTGCTTGCCCTTGGCCATTGCTTCCATTCCTAGGCCAGGTTGGGGAACAGTTTCCAAAGGGTCACAGCAGAGCTTGCTTTCCCCCAAGTGGAACTGATGGAGGACTCCTAGCGGGGCGGGCCCCGGGGCACAGGCCCTGCAGGAGGTGGACACCGGACCAGAGGACTGGCTAAAACAAGGAGTGGGAAGATCCTTTCCATAAGCCACGCCCACCAGTGTGCCATGTCAGTTTACCATTGCCATGGCAACACCCAGAAGTTACCGCCCCTTTTTCTAGAAATGTCTGCATAATCTGGCTCCTTAATTTACATATAATTAACAGCGGGTATAAATAGAACTGCAGCCCTGCCTTCAAGCCGCTCTTTTGGGCACAGTGTGTGCTTCAAAAGTGCTATACTCTGTGCTGTACACTCTGCCCACTGCTATTTCAATAAAAAGCTGCTGTCTAACACCACCTGCTCCCTCTTGAATTCCTTCCTGGGTAAAGCCAAGGGCCTGTAATCCCAGAACTTTGGGAGGCCAAGGTGGGTGGATCACTAGTTCAAGAGATCGAGACCAGCCTGGCCAACATGGTGAAACCCTGTCTCTATTAAAAAAAAAGAAGAAGAAGAAGAATGCATAATATTCACAGCAGGAAAACGTGTTCAGACAACCTAGACACCCGAGAAGAAGGAACTGATCACATAAATTATGGTGCACACCTGTAAGAGACCTGGGCTACTTTTGAGACATATTATTACATAAAGAGCAGGTCAATCCTGCACTCACCCTAGGAAGGAAAAAAATAGCAGGTAACAGAGCAATGCATAGCATAATCACAATTTCCTCTAGTGCAGCGAATCCAAACTAAATCCCAGTTGTGCAAACAAAAAATTATGTGTGTGTATGTAAAGAAGACACTGAAATTAAACATTATCTCTAAATGGTGGGATTTGAGATCATTTTTACAGCCTGCTTTTTCTTTACCTGAATTTTCTACAGAAGTTATTTTCTACCTGCTAAATGTGTTTTGCTCATCTTTTGGGGAAAAAAAAGTTTCTTTTAATCAAACAGTATCAGATTCCCCTACCCTCACACCCTACCCTTCCAATTCTCTTGGGGTGAGCGGTACAGGCCCCTCTGGAGAACTCTGCAAAGACCCACTGCCTGCCAAGACCACCCCCACCCTGGGAGCCCAAGTCAGCTCCTTCCAGAGCCCGGGGACAGCTGGTGGGGCTACATACCTGTGCCCAATCTCATGGGCAATGGTGACTCCCAAGTCGAAGCCGGTGTCCTCAGTAATAAGGCAGCTCCAGGTTGAGGAGCAGGCACCGCCCAGCTGGGTGACCCCCCGCACCTGCCGGTTACCATCAGGCAACTCCAGGTCAAACCTCCGTGAGAGAAAACAGTCACTTGGGTGGTGCGAAGGCACCTGCCCCAGGGTCACCTTTGCAGAGGGGAGAAGGCCGAGGGTGCAGCCTTCCCAGACTGGCCAACCAGCACCCCATCAGAAAGCTCAGCTACCTGGTGATATAGAGGACCAGGTCAGCATGGCCAGGATCCATGTCGTCCTTGGGGTTGATGGTCTGGCTCCACCCACATACGCTCAGCAGGGACGAGGTGAGGTTGGCTGTGATATTGGGAGCACCCTGCGGATCAACAGCAAAGCCTGCGTTTAGGACACCCCTACCAGGCACCATGCTGACTGCAGTCAGTGTGTTTCTCAGTTAGTCCTCATAACAACCCTATGACTAGCCCATGTTACAGATGAGACAGCTGAGGCTCAGAGCTTGTGCTGAGTGCTGGGTAGAGCTGGGAGGGCAGCTGGTCTGAACGCCCTTCTGTGACCCACGCTGATTGGGGCATCCAGGAAGAGGTTAAAGAGGAAGGAAACGTGGTGACTTGGGTTTCACACTCTATATGGGGTGCCAAGCTCCAACTCCATGCCTACCTCAGGTTCGGTCAGAATGACCATCTTCACCAGGTGTACTCGGAACTGAACCCCCAGGGATGGGTCCCGCAGCAGTTCTGCCCCCTGTGAAAGGGCAAATGAGAGAGGTAACCCATCCAGTGGGCATTGCCAGCCCCAGGCAGCTGCTGATTCCCAGGGACCCTTGGGTGTGAAGGGCTGGAGAGGCTGCTCCATTAGCATGTGTGGGAAGCTGTGGGGGACGCTTAAAATGCCATGCACTGTCAGCCATGTCTCTAGTGCTCCTCAGCTCATGGCTCCGGAAGGCCAAATAACGCAAGGGGTGGGAGCACAGAGGCAGTCATGAGTTGAATATTCTGGTCAAACACTCCTCCTCTCAACCCACATTCAGCTGAGGCTTTCCCATCTCTGCTCCCTGCCCATAGCACATTCTCTTCCACCTGTTTGCTGAATCTGACCCATGTTCATGAGCGGCAGGAGGGTCCCCTCCTCCCACCAGGAAACTTTCCTGGCCCCCTCTCAAGAAAGGCTCTCGCCTCCCTCTCCAGCTGGGTATGTCGGTCACAGTGGTGACTGTGGCCAACTTGTATTGCACCAGCCCGTCCTCTAAATTAGTGCTGGGGCCAGGCATGGTGGCTCACATCTGTAATCCCAGCACTTCGGGAGGCCGAGGTGGGCAGATTACTTGAAGTCAGGAGTTCGAGACCAGCCTGGACAACCTGGTGAAACCCCATCTCTACTAAAAATACAAAAAAATTAGCCAGGCGTGGTGTCAGGCGCCTGTAATTGCAGCTACTCATGAGGCTGAGGCAGGAGAATCGCTTGAACATGGGAGGTGGAGGTTGCAGTAAGCCGATATTGTGTCACTGCACTCTAGCCTGGAAACTCCATTTCAAAAAAAAAAAAAACCAAAAAAAAATTAGCTGGGTGTGGTGGTACCGGACTGTAATCCCAGCTACTTAGGAGCCTGAGGCAGGAGAATTGCTTGTACCCAGGAGGTGGAGGTTGCAGTGAGTCGAGATTGCGCCATTGCACTCCAGCCTGGGCAACACAGTGAGACTCCGTATCAAAAAAAATAGGTGACCTGATCCAAGGCTGGGGGCAAAGTGGCACTAGGTCCCCCACATACAGAGGGAGCTGCCTGCAGCTGGGAGCAGAAATGTCCTTCAGGGCCAACTTGCCGAGGGACGGCAGAGCAGCCTCCTCCTCTGGAGCAGGCCAAGGGGACAGGAAAGGGACCTGGAGTTATCAGCTGAGGCTAATTTCCTATTTTGTTCCCCACATCCAGTAAGAATTTTAAAACATTTTTGAGTGAATGAATTTTGTAAGTTTCTTCTGTCATGGCCGACACCACTGCACGCAGTTGATGGATGTGATGTGTACTAAAGGTATGAATTTCTCCCATGGTGGAAATGCCTTGCTGCCCAGCACACCGTCATTTTGTGTGTGGTGTGTGTGCTCTCACTGCATGGGGTCTGTTCAACCCGCCTTTGCTGGCTCATTTGTCTTTCTTTTTTTTTTCTTTTGAGATGGAGTTTCACTCTTGCTGTCCAGGCTGGGGTGCAGTGGCACAATCTTGGCTTACAGCAACCTCTGCCTCCCAGGTTCAAGCGATTCTCCTGCCTCAGCCTCCCAAGTAGCTTGGATTATAGGAGCCCATCACCATGCCCAGCTAATTTTGTATTTTTAGTAGAGACAGGGTTTCACCATGTTGGCCAGCTGGTCTTGAACTCCTGAGCTGTCATCCGCCCTCCTCGGCCTCCCAAAGTGCTGGGATTATAGGCATGAGCCAACGCACCCAGCCTTGTTTGCCTTTCTGAGATGGCGGTTACGGGGCCAGTGCTTCCCTGCCCACGCTTCCCCAGCTTTCAAGTGACGGTAATCCAGGTGCTAGCAAGAAATGAAGGTGGGCATCTCCTTTGGCAGCAGTCTCTGTTTAGACTTCAGACTAATGACCTGTCCTTGCCACTCTGAGTAGGGGATGACAGAACAGAGAGAGGGCAGGGTCGGGTGCAGAGGGCAGTGTAAGCAGCACGCACACCCCCGTTTGCCAGGGTCATGTTAGCTGAGCTTCCTGGGGGTCAAATGAATACTGGGGAAGAGACCAGGCTTGAGGATGGTCCCAGGTGAAGGGACTCGAGTAGGGAGAGTCTGCAGGGTGTGCGTGTGCTACGGAGCTGAGCGGGGGCGTGGGACCTCACCCACCTCCACCCAGGGGAGGGAGAAGAGGAAGAGCCCGGAGCCATTCTACCTGAGTTTGACCCACAGTATTCAGACTACCAGATACACCAGCCCTGGCTATGGGGGCCTGCAGGGTCCGGCGCCATCCCTGGAGGCCACTCCCACGGGGCACTCACGATGTTGAGGTTGGTGAGCACATAGCGCTCTGTGTCCTCCTGGTGAGCCTGGAAGACATCGGGGCCCACGGCCACCAGCAGCTCCAGGTGTAGGATGCTGCCTGCAGCCCGCCTCTGCCTCTGCCTCTGGAAGCCGAGTAAAGGAAGGTGGCCTGGAGGGGCAGGGGAGAGCAGAGGGCAAGTAGTGGCAAGCTAACAGGAGAGGTGCTGGCTGATCTTGGAAGGATGGCCCTCTGAAGTTAACACATTGCCTGCTACCCCCACCCCAAGGGCCGGACCCTGTTAGTGACTGCACACGCAAAGGGCAGGGCCCGGGAGGAGCTGCTGGGCTGTTGTGTCCTTTGGGTCACCCTATCAAGACAAGCTTCTCATTGCCCTGGTGGCTCTGCCCGAAGGGGAAAGCCCCTGACCTGCCTCCTGGACCCTGCTCTGGACACAGGTGTTTCATAAGTAACACCATGGACCCTGACAGGAAATTGAACATGAGCGGAGCCCTGTGGCCTCCTGGGAAGCAGGGACCTAGGCTGGCCTTCACTGCCCTTTCCCAAGGGACCTCTTAGAGGGTCAGGGATCCTGGAATGATCTCCTGGCCTTTCAGGAGGGGCAGAGCTGGAAGGACCCAGGCTATGGGATAACCAGACAGCATCGGCTGCATCTAGTCCCCCAGCATGGCCCCAGGCACTCATCAGTGTGCAGCTGGCCTAGACCACAAAGAGCCAAGTCACAAGGGATGCCCTCCCATTCCCTGACCACTAGCCCATCTGCCTCTGGCCCCCATCAGCCGTTAGTCAAGTCACCAATGGACCTATTGGGAAGGGGGCTGGAACCCCATATAGGCCTGTGGGCAGTGAGGACAGATCTTTATCATAAGGAAACCCACGGTCTTAGGAGGGAGCCAGAGCCAGCACCTATCTTGTTTCCCACAGAAGGAATAAATATTTACATTCACAGCCAGAAACCACAGGAGCTCCTGAAAATCAGCCAGCTCAGCAGAGGCCTTCAGGCAGGACGGGTCAGCCAATCGGCGACCGTTCCCTTGTGACATTCAGCAGAAGCTGGGGTGAAAACCCCAGCTTGGCCAAAACACCCAGACCAGCTTTTATCAACTTGGCAGGAAGTAACAGAGTTAATTAACAGGGATGACAGCAGCTTCTCTGACCTTCTCCCACCAGATCCACCAAAAATCCCAGATTCAGTGGTGAGATACCCCTTGAAAGTCCTGAGAAACTCCCCCGGGGAGAGAAGACACCAGGACAAGTACCTTTTAAGGGAGCACCAGGGCTCAAGTAAGAGGACACAGTCTCTGGCTCCAAAGTCTGAAGACAACTCTGCAAGACAGAAGAAGATAGATGAGGCTGGGCGCAGTGGCTCACGCCTGTAACCCTAGCGCTTTGGGAGACCGAGGTGAGAGGATCACTTGAGTGCAGGAGTTTGAGACCAGTCAGGGCAACATAACAAGACCCCATGTCTTTAAAAAAAAAAAAGAGAGAGAGAGAGACAGATGAAGAGGGAGACAGGAGTGGGGAGGTGGGTGGGGCCGACCAAGAAGGACAGGGGGAACTCAGAGGCAGGGAGAGGCACAGAAGAGCAACCCACACAGTTTGGGACAAACTAGTGTCTTTCTCTTCAGCTTCATCGGATGAGCAGGTGGAACTGAGACACCCACTCCTCTTCAGTGAGCACACATCATCTTCCAAAACCCCAAGTGCAGACTCCTCTGCCCAGTGCAAACCCCGAAGCTGATGTAGTCAGCTGTTTGGCTCTCCCCTCACCCCAAGTGACCTGCTTTCAGCACCCAGAGGCTCCCACAGTACCTGCGCTCCCGCAAATGAGCCCACCTGCTGGAAATGCGAGGGTCCCCAGTAGCCCAGGAGAAAGCCACAGGCAAGGATTCCGGCCACACAGAAGGGAGGGCATCTTGCCCAGGGGTGACGCTGGCGCATCCTCAGGAGAGCCACCCTGCGGAGTGGAGTGGACTGAGGGGTGGCCTTGGTGACTGGGAATCTGGTCAGTGTGAGATGGGACAGGCCTGCTCGCTGGGCGGGACGATTAGGCAGTGTTTACTCTTGGGAGCTTCCTGCCAGGGCAGGGGCTGTGGCTGGGGTGGGCGGTCTGTAGCTTTTCCTGCTGCAACCTGGGCCTTGCTTTAAGATGGTCCCAGTTTAGGGAACCCCACAGCCCAGTCTTGTACCCCAGAGAGCTCTCCGAATGTGCACGCCCACTTTCTTAGAGGTCAACTAAGCCATCTAGTCGGAGGAGAAGGAACACAGGACCAGAAACCCACAGTTGGGGATTCAGGAGGAATGCTGGGACCTCGAGCTGGCTCTCTGTCCCGGGGTCCCTGCTCCCATCTGACAGATGAGAGGCCGTGCCAAAGGCATCGCAGTTCTGGCTCAACTCTCCGCCTACTCTGTGCCTGCGCCTGATGGGGAGAGTCACAGAAGCAGGCTGCATGGCACCGGAGCTCTGCATTTATCATCACAAACCACCTGGCAATCCCCTTTGCCTCCTGGAAGGCTCTCTTTACATGCTCCACACCACTCTTTCACACACCTCACACCCACACAGCTGCAGTAAGCAGATGACCAGCAGGGGTATTCACCTGTCTTTCCACCCCTCAAAGTGCAGCCTCTCTCCTCCTCTGCAATCAGGGAGGACACACGTGCCAGGCCCTGGCTCTGGATGCCCCCCCGCCTCTCTCTTCCTGCGTCGTTAGTTTCTGCCCTTCCGCTAGAGCCATTCATCCATCCCTTCAGCCAACGAATGTTTCACTGAGCCCCTGCAACCGGCCAGGTACTGTGCTAGACACCAGGAAGGCTGCCACAGCCAGGCAGACAGCAGCCTCGGCCTCTCACAGCTAAAATTCTAGGGAAGAGAGTCAGATAACCAAGTTGCTAGACAAACGCATGTTGTGTCTGTAGCACGTTCAAAGGTGGTTAAGTGTTATGAAGAAAAGGACAGCAGGATAAAGGAACAGAGGATGGAGGGGAGGGTGTGCTTTCATCAGGAAGGGAGGAGGCTCCTGGAGAAGGGGCATGCTTAGATGTGGAGATCCTGGTCCCCATCAGCACACATGACTCTGGCGTCTCTTTTTTGGTTTTTGTTTGTTTTTTGAGACAGTCTTGCTCTGTCACCAAGGCGGAAGTGCAGCAGTGGCACCATCTCGGCTCACTCTAACCTTTGCCTCCCGTGTTCAAGCGATTCTCTTGCCTCAGCTGGTGGCTGGGATTACAGGTGCATGTCACCACGCCCGGCTAATTTTTCCCCTCCATCCCTCTCTTTCTCCCTCCCTTTCTTTCTTTCCTTCTTTCTTTTTCTTTTCTCCTCTTTCTTTCTTTCTTTTCCCTCTCTCCCTCCCTCCTTCCTCTTTTCTTTCCTTCCTTACCTCTCTCTCTCTCTTTCTTGTTTTCCTCTGTCATCCCAGCTGGAGTGCTTTAGCACAATCTCAGCTTACCGAAACCTCCACCTCCCGGGTTCAAGTGATTCTACTGCCTCAGCCTCCTGAGTAGATGGAACTACAGACATGTGCCACGACGCCCAGGTAATTTTGTGTCTTTAGTAGAGATGGAGTTTCTCCATGTTGGTCAGGCTGGTCTCCAACTCCCAACCTCAGGTGATCTGCTCACCTTGGCCTCCCAAAGTGCTGGGATTACAGGCATGAGCCACTGAGCCCAGCAATATTTCTATTCAGCAGGTGTGAAAGGACTTCGAACTTCACTCTGCTCCCTGAAGACATTTATTGAGATGATAAATGGCCACACCCAGTTGCTCAGACCAAAATCCTAGGAGCCAGCCTCACCTCACTTCCCTGTTACTCTGTCAACCTCTGCCTGTTACACACACACATCAAAGCTACCCATTCCTGACGGGTCACAGTGGCTCACACCTGTAACCCTAGCATGTTGGGAGGCTGAGGTGGATGAATCGCTTGAGGTCAGGAGTTCAAGACAGCCTGGCCAACATGGCAAAACCTCGGGTCTAGTAAAAATACAAAAATCAGCTGGGCATGGTGGCGTGCACCTGTAATCCCAGCTACTTGGGAGGCTGAGGCAGGAGAATCGCTTGGACTCAGGAGGCGGAGGTTGCAGTAAGGTGAGATTGTGCCATTGCACTCCAACCAGGGTGACAGAGTGACTCTGTCTGAAAAAAAAAAAAAATCTGCCCACTCCCTCTTTTCACAGCTGGCATGTGTGCTAGCCTTGGAATGGAGGTGTTCAGCTCTTCCTTCAACAAAGACCTTGCCACGCAGCTGAGAGGCACTGGTTAGCAGACAGCCCCCAACTGCAACATCTGATGGTCTGTGGCAACCTTCAGGCCGAGACCACACTCTCTCACTGCCACACCCTGACAGCGAGGGATGACACTGAGGGGATACTTAGGCCTGGATGCTTCTTTCCTGTGGAAGATTCCTCTAATGAGCAATCTTTGCCCCAGAACTCTCCATTCTGTTGGCCAAACCCTCATCAGCTCTGCAGTGCAGGACAAGGCCACCTCTGCCTCCTTCCCACTTTCCTCTCACCAGGGCCACCCCTGCCTCCTTCCCACTTTCCTCTCACCAGCATCAGATCGGCATCATGGTCTGAAGGCCCTCTCTGCCTATCCTTCATCTTCCCCTTTACCTCTTACAGGCCTCAATTAATATTTTGCACGCCTAACTATCTGTGTGACTCCTTCCTGGAGTCTCGAACTGACACATCACCCGAATCTAAGCGGCACCGTGGCTGGCACAGGAATCTGTAAGTCTCATACCTGGTCTCCCTGCTGTCTCTCTTGCTCCCCTCCCCAATCCTAATTTTCATAAAGAAGCTTCAGTAATCTTTTAAAAACATAAATCAGATTGTATCACTCCCTAGCTTAATTGCCCTTGGAATGAAATGTCCTTTCTGAAACCCACAAGGCTCTCAAATCTGTGATCTGGCCCCTGCCCACCGGTCTGCCTGCATCTCCAACACTTTCCCCCTTGCTCACAGAGTTTTAGCCACACCAGCCTTCTTTCCATTCCTCCAATTCATCAAATGCTTTGCTGTTCCCTTGGACCCCCGGTCTTCACATTGAAGCTTCACCTCAGATGTCGCTTCCTCCAAGAGGCATCCCTCATGACCCTGTCAAGTGGCCTCCCATTTATGGTTGCCACATTTAGAAAATAAAAATCAGGACACCAAGTTGAATTAGAATTTCAGAAAAGTAACAAATAAATTTTAGCACAACTAGGTCCCAAATATTGCAAATTTTGCATGAGATATGCTTATACCAAAAATTACATTCATCTAAAACTCCTGTAGAACTGGGTGTCCTGTGTTTAGTCTGACAATTCCACTACCAGTCAACCTCTACAACATCTCATTTAATCATCTTCAATGGAGTCCGTACTATCCAAAATTACCTTGATTTATTCACTTACTATCTGTGTTTCCCTGTAGGCCCCTGTCAAACTAAAGGAAGAAACAGAGGCAAAATTAATATAAATAGATAGCTTATTTGAGCCATGGTTGATGATTACAGCCTAGGAGTCATAAACTGAAGTTGCCTTGAATATATGCTCGGAGTAGCATCAGTTACAAGTGGGTTTTTATTTTTTATTTTTTTGAGATGGGGTCTCACTCTGTTGCCCAGGCTGGAGTGCAGTGTCATGATCATGGCTCACTGCAGCCTCTACCTCCCCAGTACGTGGAACCACAAGCATGTGCTGCCATGTTCAGCTAATTTATTTATTTATTCGGTAGAGTCAGGTTGCAGGGTGGTCTCCCTGCATTGCCCAGGCTGGTCTTGAACTCCTGGGCTCAAGCGATACTCCTGCTTTGGCCTCCCAAAGTGCTGGGATTACAGGCATAAGCCACTGTCCCCAGCCACAAGTGGGTTTTGAAGGGAAAAAAGGAAGTTAGTGGGCAGTTTCTAAATTGTTAACCAAGAATTTATATTGGTTCATTAAAATAACATAAGCCATGTAAGGAGCAAACATCATTCTTTGTTATCATAAATTTCACCAACAGGAAGATAATGGGTGAGGGTCATACTGTGCAATTTGTGGTACCATTTTAGGAAATTTATTGGCTGGTGTGGAAACCACAGGGAAGGAAAGAAAAATCTAAGTGGCTTTAAACGTTGGTGCGGCTGGCGTGACTGAAGCCTCACGCTCACCTCTCTGGGCCTGACACATTTTGCGGACCTCCCACTCAGGCTCAGCTGAGCCGGTTTTCTTTCTCACTTCCCAGATTCAAACATAAGCTTCAGGCTTGTGGAGGCCTCACCCGTGGTGTTTATCGAGGTCAGGACCAAGCATGGTGTGCTAGTGACTTACTATCGTTGTTGTTATAAAAAATAATATGCACTCGGCCGGGCGCGGTGGCTCAAGCCTGTAATCCCAGCACTTTGGGAGGCCGAGGCGGGTGGATCACGAGGTCAAGAGATCGACACCATCCTGGTCAACAAGGTGAAACCCCGTCTCTACTAAAAATACAAAAATTAGCTGGGCATGGTGGTGCAGGCCTGTAGTCCCAGCTACTCAGGAGGCTGAGGCAGGAGAATTGCTTGAACCCAGGAGGCGGAGGTTGCGGTGAGCCGAGATCGCGCCATTGCACTTCAGCCTGGGTAACAAGAGCGAAACTCCGTCTCAAAAATAAATAAATAAATAATTTTAAAAAAACATGCGCTCATTAGTATAATTATAATCCGTAGTGGCGTATTATTATCAGATCTTGCTGGAAGGCCTTTGCAGTCCTGTGGCTCTGGGTAAAACAGGTTAAGTAAACTGACGGGAACTCCTCCCGGTCCCTGGGCCTCAGTTTCCCCACTGTATATGGAAGATGAGCCGCTGTGGGGTTGAGCGTGGAGCAGCCCAAGGCGAGAAAAGCCGGGGAGTCCAGGACGCAGTCCAGAGACCGAGCCCGGCTCTTACTAGCCCGACCGCTCAGCGCCCCAACGCTCTGCTGCCCCGCCGGGTGCTACACCCATAGAGGTCCCCCAGTTCCCTTCCGGCGTCCGCACTTATTCCCGTCCCGAATCTCTGGGAGGTCCTGGGCTTGCCCCAACCAAATCCGAGGTCACCGACCCCGGGGACGCCGCTCGTTAGGGCGGTGGCCCAATTCCCGTCCAGGCGAACTGCCCAGGCTTCACGGAACCAGATGCGGCGGCCCGGTTTCCAGCCGGTTGCGGAGAGACGAGCACTTCCAGAGACTGGAGCATGCGCGCCGAGGTGTACGGGACGTGTGCGGGGTCTCTTCCGGGGTCATTTACCCGGGTCCTTGCGGCGGGTGTGTCCCTGGTCTGGGCAGGCGCTTGGGCTGCGCGGGCAGATCTCGGGTGGCCGCCGGCCCAGGAGTTGGATTGCAGCAGGATGGTGAAGGCGAAGGTCCCCACCTCCAAGCGCGCCCCAAGCAGCCCCGTGGCTAAGCCGGGTCCTGTGAGCACTCCCACTCGGAAGAAAAACAAGAAGAAAAAAGGATTTTGGAAAAGCAAGGCGCAGGAGGGAAGCAGGAAGCCGGGAAGCGGCCCGGGTGTTGTGATGCGACCTCCAAAGGCACCAGAAGACTTCTCTCAAAACTGGAAGGCGCTGCAAGAGGTGAGGCTTGAGGGGGCCTGGGCGGAGCCGGGGGAGGCCCCGCGCGCTGCTGGCTCAATCCCGCATGATGCGACGGAGGGAAAGACTTGGGTGGCCCCAAAAAGGACCTGTGGAGGCACATTTGAATCGAAATCTTGTAAACAGCCTTTCACGAGAAAGGTGCCCTGTTGAGGGAAGTCTCGAACTTGTTAGCATGAAAAGAATTGTTTGATGGAAGAATTGTTTGAAGTATAAAAAAGCAAAGATAAACCCTTGTACTGTACCTTGTGCATAATGAAGTAACTAGAATGGATTTTACAAGAGAAATTTAATTTAAAAGCCACACGAACCACCAAAGGACAGTGAAAAGAACACATTGGTGGCCGGGCGGGGTGGCTCACACCTGTAATCTCAGCGGTTTGGGTGTCCGAGGCAGGCAGACCACCTGAGGTCAGGAGTTCAAGACCAGCCTGGCCAACGTGATAAAACCCCGTCTTTACTAAAACTGAAAAATTAGCCGGGTGTGGTGATGCAAGCCTGTAGTCCCAGCTACTCGGGAGGCTAAGGCAGAAGAATCGCTTGAACCCGGGAGGAGGAGGTGCAGTGAGCAGAGAATGCATCACTACACTCCATCCTGGGTGACAGAACAAGACTCCGTCTCAAAAAAATAAAGAACACGTTGGTCTGTGTAGCAAGACAGGGAGCAGATTACTGGGTAGACGCAAAAAGCAAATAGCAGATATATGATAGGGAGGGTTCTAGCAATACTTACGGTCTAGAAGTAAATATTAATTGAGCTCCTAAAATGTGCAGTCTGTCCTGTGTTCTCTTGCAAGCCCCAGAATAACACTGTGTAGTGGATACTTTTATCTTCTCTGTTGTGCAGATGAGGATATGGGCTTTAAAAGGTTAAATAGATCATCTGACATCGCAGCTGGGAACCAGTCAGGCTGACTCTGGAGTCCATGCTCTTAAGGCTGTGTTGTACCTGCTGTCTCTCGAGTGGCCAGCGCTTCTGTGGAGATTGCTTGCTCTCTGCCAGACACTCTTTCACGTGCATCATTCATAGATTCTTACCACATCCCTTGGAGTTAGCTACTGATAGGATCATAGCTCACTGCTGCCTGGAACTCCTGGGCTCCAGAGATTCTCTTGCCTCAGCCTCCCGAGTAGCCCGAGCCTGTAATCCCAGCATTTTGGGTGGCCCAGGAAGGAGGATCGCTTGAACTCAGGAGTTCAAGATCAGCCTGGGCGACATGGTGAGAGTCTGTCTCTAAATAAAAATTAAAAATAGTTTGTGTATTTTTAAGAAATATGATCCCCAGTGTTGGAGATGGGCCCTTAGGAGGTATTGGGTCATGCGGGCTGATCCCTCATAAATGACTTTGTGCTCTCCCCTCAGTGATGAGTACATTCTTACTCTACCAGCTCATTCTACTAGCTTTCTGCCGGGTGTAGTGGCTCACACCTGTAATCCCAGCACTTTGGAAGGCCAAGGCGGGCGGATCACAAGGTCAAGAGATCAAGACCATCCTGGCCAACATAGTGAAATCCCATCTCTACTAAAAAACAACAAAAATAAGCTGGGCATGGTGGCACACACCTGTAGTCCCAGCTACTTGGGAAGCTGAGGCAGGAGAACCGCTTGAACCCGTGAGGCAGAGGTTGCAGTGAGCTGGGATCGTACCACTGCACTCCAGCCCAGCAACAAAGCAAGATTCTGTCTCGAAAAAAAAAAAAAGTATGCATTATAATAAAATAAGCAAAGAACAGCATTTTACCACAAGTGACTCAAGAGAATGAAAAAGAGCTTTTTCCAGACTGTTTGAAAATGAATTTCAGTGATGTAGATGGGAATTGTATATATGTGATTGGTGTGTGTGTATGTGTGTGTGTGTGTGTGTGTGTATACAAATGTAAGTTTTTTCAATTTGCTGTGTGTAATTTCCAAATTCAAATGTAGCATGTATTTTATTTTGGGTCCCAGTGGCTGCTGAAACAAAAATCTGAGGCCCCAGAAAAGCCTCTTGTCATCTCTCAGATGAGTTCCAAAAAGAAGCCCAAAATTATCCAGCAAAACAAAAAAGAGACCTCACCTCAGGTGAATGGAGAGGAGATGCTGGCAGGAAAAGACCCCGAGGCCAGCGGGGGCTCTGTCCCTTCAGGGTCCTCAATGGACGGGAAGGTGCTGATACCTCACACCAAGGCCAGCGGAGCAGAGCACAGTAAGAAAGGAACCAAGGAAAGGACAAATGGTAACACTGGTCCAGAACGAGGGGACATCAAGCATAAGAAGCGGAAAGCTAAGGAAGCAGCCCCAGCCCCACCCACTGAGTAAGTATGGGCAACCTCACCACTGAGACTGAGGCACAGCAACTTCACCAAGGCCTCTCTCCTTATGGAGGCTGGTGGCCTCACTGCATTCTCTCCATCACCTTACCCTGATATCATCTGTTCCTTTGTTTCCTTGCTGTTCCTTGTTTTCCCTAGAGTGTGGGCATGATAAGGCAGGGCCTGTTTCATAGCCACAGCTGCATCTTCCAAGCATCGACAGAGCCAGCATTTAGTGGGTGCAAGTACACGTGGAAGGAAAGTGTGCTGAAGCCAGAAAGACCCAAGTGTGAGGCCTGTCCCTGCCTTCTCGCCAGTTGGGTAGTTTGGGGCAGGTTTCTGACATCCTCTGTGCCTGTTATAGTCATGGTGGCATCACAAGGAGCTCATGAGGTTGGCACTCCTGGCTCAGTATCTGGTGATTACTTAAACCCTGTGATGGAGCCAGGCGTGGTGGCTGTTGCCTGTGGTTCCAGCTACTCAGGAGGCCAAGGTGGGAGGATCACTTGATCCTAGGAGGTGGAGGCTACAGCAAACCGTGATTGCACTACTGCCTCCAGCCTGGGTGACAGAGTGAGACTCTCAAAAAAACAAAAGGATAAATCCTGTGCTGGCCACCCATGTGGGGTGGACCAGGAATCAGTGGCCATGTCTCAATGGTTCAGCTGGAGGTGATGTGTTTGTTAGTCACAGCTGGCTTCGTGTCGCCTGGGTGTTGAGGACACAGTTGCTGACAGCTGAGGAATGAGCTGTTTGGGGGCCTCCCTACGTTGTGCTGGACAGGCTCTCTGGGAGAGAGAGTTCATCGGGCCAGGTTGCTCCCTCTTGAGGCTTACTGTCTCAAGAGGACAGACTAGACTGCCACTGCTGCATGAGTGTGGTCAGGATAAATCTAGTAAGGAGAAGGTTTTGGGAACATGGGACAAGTGGGGCTGGGAAGGGTTTTTCTAAGGAAATGACATTTAGCCTTAGCTCAAGAGACACACTCCATAGGAGGTGTTCTGTACCTGTGTGAGCATCTGAGTATGGAGGGCAGGAGGTTCTGTTTCCAGCTTACAGGCGTTGTGTCTGCCTGTGTTTCCTAAGCGCTTGACAGCGAAACTGCTGCTTTCATAATTAAAATGTTAGCACTCATTACCCCTGGGTGGCAGGTATATGTTTCTGTTTTATATTCTTTGCATTTGTCTGTATCCCTAAATCTTGGATAATGAGTGTATTTTCTAAAATAAAGAGATCAGGCTGGGTGGTGGCTCACGCCTGTAGTCCCAGCTCTTTGGGAGGCTGAGGCGGGCAGATCACTTGAGCTCAGGAGTCCAAGACCAGCCTGACCAACATGGCAAAACCCCATCTCTACTAAAAATAGAAAAAATTAGCCAGGCATGGTAGTGGGCCCCTGTAATCCCAGCTACTAGGGATACTGAGGCAGGAGAATCTCTTGAACCTGGGAGGCGAAGGTTGCAGTGAGCCAAGATTGCACCACTGCACTCCAGGCTGGGTGACCCAGTGAGACTCCATCTCAAAAAAAAAATAAAAAAGGAAAATGCCAAGATGATAAAAACAGTAGAAGCAGCAGGGCCAGCGTCCAGGGTGTCTGGGGCTAGCCTGTGGGAGGGGCAGACTGTGCCCTCGCTCCACTTACCTGCACTGTCAGTGCCACAGCCCCACCCCACCAGTTGCACTAGAGTCTTCTGGTCATCACCCTGTCATCTTTGCCTTTTAGGGAAGACATCTGGTTTGACGACGTGGACCCAGTGGATATCGAAGCTGCCATAGGTCCAGAGGCAGCCAAGATAGCAAGGAAGCAGCTGGGTCTGAGCAGCGGCAGCGACAGCCTCAGCCTCGTGAAAGAGCAGGCCTTCGGCGGGTATGCGGGGCTCAGGGAGCAGGGACTGCTGCGGATGCTTAGGTGTAGAGGGTAGGGCTTCTTCAAGGAGGAGGATAGTTTCCTTGCCTCCAGATGAATGGAGCAAGCACCTCCCAGGATCCTGCCAGGACCACACAGCTCAACATGTGGGTGCAAATGAGTGAGGGGCAGAGAGCTTTTCTCTGCCAACACTTAGTCCGTGGATCCCTGGGGCTCTGAACTGGAGCCCTGGATCCTGCTATGTTTATTAAACTGGAGCCTTTGGTTACCCTTCAGCCTGACAAGAGCCTTAGCCTTGGACTGTGAGATGGTGGGCGTGGGCCCCAAGGGGGAGGAGAGCGTGGCCGCCCGTGTGTCCATCGTGAACCAGTATGGGAAGTGCGTTTATGACAAATACGTCAAGCCGACCGAACCCGTGACGGACTATAGGACAGCGGTCAGTGGGATTCGGCCTGAGAACCTCAAGCAGGGTACGTCATCTGCAGCTCAGGAGCTTAGAAAGGGTAGTAATTGGGTTCATTTTCTCCCTTTTGTTCTCTTTTCTGTCTGGGACCACTCACTGGAGCGAGTTTTGATGCGTCTTGTCTTCTCCTGGGGTGATGGTTTCAAAATACAAAAGGCATCTCCTTAGACGGCTTTGATGCTTCAGTGCCTCCTGTCCACTGACCTCAAGACCAGGCTGGAAGCCAGGCACGGTGGCTCACGCCTGTAGTCCCAGCTACTCAGGAGGCTGAGGAGGGAGGATTGCTGGAGCCCAGGAGTTCAAGTGCAGCCTGGACAACATAGCAAGACCTCATGTCTAATATATATCTGTATATTTTTTTGACATGGAGTTTCACTCTTGTTGCCCTGGCTGGAGCGCAGTGGTCTCATCTTGGCTCACCATAACCTCTGCCTTGCGGGTTCAAGCGATTCTCCTGCCTCAGCCTCCCCAGTAGCTGGGATTATAGGCATGTGCCACCACGCCCAGCTAATTTTGTATTAGTAGAGACAGGGTTCTCCATGGTGGTCAGGCTGGTCTTGAACGCCCAACCTCAGGTGATCTGCCCACCTCAGCCTCCCAAAGTGCTGGAATTACAGGCATGAGCCACTGTGCCCAGCCTTCTAAAAATATTTTTAAAAATAGCTCCAGCTTCCCAGGGGTGACCAGGAGAGTTGTTGAATTGCTTTGTATTTCGTGGCAGTAGGGGCTGAGGTGGAGTGTGTTAGAGGCCCTGGAAGGAGGCCAGCAGGGGTGAAGAGTGGGATAGGAGGAAGGTGGTTGAAAGGGGGCAGATCATGGGATCTCACGGACCCTAGTGAGGATCTTGGGAATCCCTGGGAAGGTTATGAGCACTGAGAGGCCTGGTCTGGCTTAGGTTCTGGGAGGTTCCCTCTGGCTGTGGCATTGAGAACAGACTGTAGGGCCATGAGGGTGATGCAATGCCAGATCCAGCTGGAGGCTGAGACTGTGTCTGGGATAAGAAGAGAGGGTGTTCCAGGATGGCTTCAAGGCTGGGGACCTGGAGAGACTCTGGAGACCTTTAGGGATCGACGCTGCATGGTCTCTTTTCTGTGCCCGTCTGGTCTTTGCATGCTGCCTTTGTCTGCTTCACTGATGCATGCAGCCACCAGGGCAGCCCTGCCACTCCTCGGAATGGTAGACTGGCCAGCCTGTCTCCGTCTGGTTCCTGGGAAGGAAGCTGGTCCTTCTTGGCTCGGGCCACCCTTGGTCTAATCATCCCTCTTCGGGAGCAGAGTCATGAGGTGCAAGTTGGGTTGCAGGTGGGGTGGTCCCCAAAAGCAGGCAGGGCTGTCTCTGGAGCCCAGGGCTTCCCCAATGTTGTGGAGGCAGTCTTGTTTTTATTTCCATTTGGAAAACTGTCAGGCCTAAGCTCTGATTTGCAGTGATGATGTTGAATAGCAGAACTGTGCTGCCAGGCGGCTCTGGAAGTTTCTCAGCGCCGCTCTCAGCATATTTTCTCCTCCACCATGAGCCGCCTTTGCAGACTTTGCGGAGCGCTTTCTTCCACTCCTTAGAGGTGGGCCTTGCAGCCACCCCTGCCAGGGCCCCACAGGGCACTTCTCCCAGGTGTACAGGGGGGTGAGTGTGGTGGCTTTGAGTCACCCCTCCACAGGTGGCATTGCAGGCCTGACCATTTGTCTTAGGTGTTAGCAGGGGTGGGAGCAGGACCTCCTCAGAGAATGATGGTGCTGTGTGTGTTGCGAAAAACCACTTCTTTGTGTTGATTTTCCAGGAGAAGAGCTTGAAGTTGTTCAGAAAGAAGTGGCAGAGATGCTGAAGGGCAGAGTTCTAGTGGGGCACGCTCTGCATAACGACCTAAAGGTACTGGGCTCACTCCTGGGGACTCGGCCTGCACCCTCCTCAACCGTGTGTGTTACACTCATGGCCTTGTGCTGTCTGTGTCGTGGAGTTTTTAAAAAATGTTTGGGTTTGTGCCCTATGTTGGGAATATTTTAGTAATAACGTGAGATACCACTTGCCGAGTTCTTACTGTGTTTTAGGAGCCATGTGAGGCTCTTGTTTTGAGAGCCACAAGCGAAACCAGCATTCCCGTACCAGAGCAGCTGGCATCCCCACCTTAATGAGAAATGACGGTGGCTGATAACCTCTTTTAACTAAAGGAATGCCTAATGCCCAGTTGTCCCGTCCGTGACCAGGGTCCCCCCCCAGGAAACTAATTTCTCCTAGCAGATGCCCTGTGGCCCATGTTCAGGTTATGCCTGCCTGACCATCACCCTGGCCCTCGGAGCCTGCCTTCTTCCTGGCGTCCCCAGGAGAACTCTGCCTGGGGCAGCCCCTGGTTCTTCAGATGCAAGGTGCAAATTCAGACACAACCACTGTGGGAAACAGGTTAAAAGACATGTACAGACCCTGGGCAGGGAAGGCACGTGGGTCAGGAGGGCAGCCCTCCATCCCTCGGTCTCCCAAGGCAGGAACAAAAAGGCAGAGGGAGCACACGTGGCAGCTGGCAGTGTATTTACGGGAGAACAGGGTTGAGTCACTTTGAGTTCATGGGCAAATGCCTGGGTGGTTGGTTTAAAGGATGCAGTGGGAACAGTGGGGAGGCCAGTCTGCTAGACAGAAGAGACACTTCCAAAGTTCTCCCCTCTGCCCACCAGCTTGAGGCATTTGGGGGTGTGAGGAAGTTGAAGCCATTCAGAAGGAAGTGGGGGAGATGGTAATGCCCAGGGTGGCCTTTGCTATGTTGCTTCTGTGAGGGCACAAGAGAGATCTCTCGAATTCAGTACAGATGCTGGGGCGTTAGGGCACCACACAGATCTCTGGAATTGAGTACAGATGCCGGGGCGTTACGGCACCACACAGATCTCCGGGAATTGAGTACAGATGCCGGGGCGTTACGGCACCGCACAGATCTCCGGGACTCAGTACCGATGCCGGGGCGTTAAGGCACCTTCACAGATCTCCGGGACTCAGTACAGATGCCGGGGTGTTACGGCACCGCACAGATCTCCGGGACTCAGTACAGATGCCGGGGCGTTACGGCACCGCACAGATCTCCGGGATTCAGTACAGATGCCGGGGCGTTACGGCATCGCACAGATCTTCGGGATTCAGTACAGATGCCGGGGCGTTACGGCACCGCACAGATCTCCGGGACTCAGTACAGATGCCGGGGCGTTACGGCACCGCACAGATCTCCGGGACTCAGTACAGATGCCGGGGCGTTACGGCACCGCACAGATCTCCGGGACTCAGTACAGATGCCGGGGCGTTACGGCACCGCACAGATCTCCGGGACTCAGTACAGATGCCGGGGCGTTACGGCACCGCACAGATCTCCGGGACTCAGTACAGATGCCGGGGCGTTACGGCACCGCACAGATCTCCGGGACTCAGTACAGATGCCGGGGCGTTACGGCACTGCACAGATCTCCGGGATTCAGTACAGATGCCGGGGCGTTACGGCACCGCAGAGATCTCTCGGATTCAGTACAGATGCCGGGGCGTTACGGCACCGCACAGATCTCCGGGACTCAGTACAGATGCCGGGGCGTTATGGCACCGCACAGATCTCTGGAATTGAGTACAGATGCTGGGGCGTTATGGCACCGCACAGATCTCTCAGATTCAGTACAGATGCTGGCGGTGTTCACGCTTGTTTATAGAGGGTAAGACTGAGATGAGAACCACCTGGGCAGTGTCCTCTTCTGTGTGCTTGTATTGTATCCCCTTGAAGACTGCCACTGTGGTAACTTATCCTTCCCTACTAACTCTGGTTCCATCTCTGGTAACTTGTGCAACTCATGTTTAAGTCTCTCTTGAAGATGATGCTAAGGACCATGCACAGTGGCTTATGCCTGAAATCCCAGCTCTTTGGGAGGCTGATGCTGGAGGATTGCTTGAAGGCCGGGAGTTGGAGACCAGCCTGAGCAACACAGGGAGACTCCATCTCGATAAAACTTTTAAAATTAGCCAGGTGTGGTGGTGTGCGCCTATAGTCCCAGCTACTCAGGAGGCTGGGGTAGGAGGATCAGTTGAGCCCAGGAGGTGAAGGCTGCAATGAGCCATGATTACCTCATAGCACTGCAGCCCGGGTGACAGAGTGAGACCTTATCAGAAAAAAAGAAAAGAAAAAAGATTGCATGCTAAGATTGCAAGATGAACTGTTAAAATGTGTTATTTCCAACTTCCTGATGTGCAGAAACAACTCAAAATACAAGTATATAGGAATAAGTTGGTTGCTGGTTAATTGTTGACTGTTTTTCTCCTAATTCCTTGATTTCAAGATTTTGTTTTTATTGTCTCTTTATTGGGTATCAGCTTACATCAGTGCGATAAATCTCCTTCTGGAGTTTAAATTTATGTCAATGTCTCATTTCTGTGTGTGTGTGATGTACTTGGATTCCCTACTAGATGTTACTTGCAGGCCGGGCATGGTGGCTCACACCTGTAATCCCAGCACTTTGGGAGGCCAAGACGGGTGAATCACCTCAGGTTATGAGTTCAAGACCAGCCTGGCCAACATGGTGAAACCCCATCTCTACTAAAAAATACAAAAGTTAGCTGGGCATGGTGGCAGGCGCTTGTAATCCCAGCTACTCAGGAGTCTGAGGCAGGAGAATCAAACCCAGGAGGCGAAGGTTGCAGTGAGCTAAGATCGAGCCATTGCACTCCAGTCTGGGTGACAGAGCAAGACTGAGGCAAGAGAATTGCCTGAACCCAGGAGGCAGAGGCTGCAGTGAGCTGAGATGCGTCATTGCACTCCAGCCTGGGTAACAAGAGCGAAACTCCGTCTCAAAAAAAAAAAAAGATGTTACTTGCAAAGAAGTGGGGTGTTCTGCTACAAACCAGAAATGAAAATAATGATCATCTTACTTGCTTTTTTAGGTACTGTTTCTTGATCATCCAAAAAAGAAGATTCGGGACACACAGAAGTATAAACCTTTCAAGAGTCAAGTAAAGGTACTTAAAATGAGGGTGACTCAAGATACCGTGTTTCTGTTTTGCTGGCGACTTTACTATCATTTCTGGTCACTGGTGGCTGACTTATTGGTTAAAGGGCTTTTGTTGTTCCTTTTAACCTTTAAAACTAGAAGGAATCTTAAATAGAGTTTTGGTAATTACTGGCCTTAAATGATTGCAATGGGGAGTGAGTTATTTCCACTCTAACCTCTGAAACAGGGCCGCCGACTAAGGAGTATCTGCTCCAGAGGGTGCCAAGAGCAGAGCCAACCTTTTTTTTTTTTTTTTTTTTTTTTGAGACAGGGTCTTGCTCTGTCACCCAGGCTAGAGGAGTGCAGTGGCATGATCCCAGCTCACTGTAACCGCTGCCTCCCCAGCTCAAGCAGTCCTCCCACCTTAGCCTCCCAAGTGTCTCAGACTACAGGCATATGCCACTACCCCTGGCTAATTTTTGTATTTTTTTGTTGAGATAGGGTCTTGCTGTGTTGCCCTGGCTGGTCTCAAACTCCTGGCTCAAGTGATCCTCCCCTGGCTCTCTCCCTTTATTGGCTGATAAGGGTATATCACCAGCCCATCATGCTAAAAAAGAGGTTGCACCTTGTAGCTGCCACCCTAAGTGTCATGAGTGCCTCTGCTGAGAGGCAAACTGTAGGTTACCTGGTGGGGGTTCAGTAGCCAACCCCTCCCTGGTTGGTGGGGTGACCCTGTGTGGTCAGAGACTGCAGAGGCCCCCACCCGCCTCCTCCCCCTTTGCAGAGTGGAAGGCCGTCTCTGAGACTACTTTCGGAGAAGATCCTTGGGATCCAGATCCAGCAGGCGGAGCACTGTTCGGTGAGTGCGTCCTAGGGAGTCCTCGGGTTTGGGGCTGTTTCTCACCTGGAACCAGGCTCGAGCCACCTGACAGAGACATGGGGGAGGTGGGGCCTGGGCACCTACTTTTCCTGTGAGGCTGTTGGTCCCCAAAAAAAAATGGCAGAGCAGAGTTATGGAATTTTTATCAAATACTGAATATGCACATTTAACGAGTTAACACAACACAAAAGAACTACCACATTCTCGTTATTTGGAGAAAAAGTGGCCAGATAATTACAAAGCTCCCCTCCCCCAGCCCTGCCCCCACCCTGCCCTGACTAGTCCTGCCAGCAGCTGGCTCTGCCGCAGTGGAGTAGTCGCCACCTGCAGCGTGCCCTCAGCTTTTGGACCCTTTTTGCCCGTCTGCTTGGTCCTTGTGCCCATGCTCAGCACCCAACCTGCCATCACCCTGCATTCAGAAACCTAAAAAGGCAGCGTTTGTTGCTTCTGCTCTTGGGGTTTCCCTTTCTTTTAGGAGGAGAGTCTGAGTCACAGAAGTGTAGAGACCATCAGGTCATTGCTCCCTCTACTTCTTGTGTGTCCTCCCTCCCCGTCCTGGTGACATCTGGCAGCCAAGTCCACGTCTCACTCAGTACACCCCTAGCAGAGTCGCTGGGCTTGGTCATTGCAGGGCTGACTGTGGGCTGTGGCTATGCCTTGTCACCTGCTGTGATGTTTCTTGTCGTCTAGATTCAGGATGCCCAGGCAGCAATGAGACTGTACATCATGGTGAAGAAGGAGTGGGAGAGCATGGCCCGAGACAAGCATCCCCTGCTAACCACTCCAGACCACTGCAGCGATGACGCCTAGCAGCCCTGCCCTCTGCTGCTTCCGCCCTCCTACAGAGGCAGTGTGAGCAGTCACAGGGAGGGATCACATCTCCCCAGAGTGGCAACTTCAGAATCATGACAGAGGGGCGTGGTGTGGGTGCTACTCAGAGCATCCTTCTCCCTCTTGACTTTGTGGTTTGAGACCTGGTCTTACTGTCCATGTGTGTTTGGAGCCAGATGGTCGGGGGGAGCAGGAAGGAAGCCAGGATATGGGCAGCAGGGACTGCTGTGGGCACACCTGGCCACCCTTTACTGACTGCTGACCCCCAGGGCGAGGCAGGGATGTGTGGGCTGCCAGCCTGTACTATGCTGGCACCACGCATCTTCGGTGGCTCACCCTGGGTGCTCAGCACCTTCCTCTCGGGGAGCGACATTTCCTCCTTTGTCTTAGGGGACATAACGAGATCGCCAGACTTGAGGAACCCAGAGCAGGTGTCTGCAGTCAGCTCCTGAGATACAGCTGGCCAGTACAGCAGTTGTCACATCGGGGTGTCCTGTGGCCATTTGAACTTTGAGCCTTTATCTAAATTGGCCCAGGGTTGGCTGGCAGGTCACCCAGCAGAGGCTTCTCCCTGTGGCACAAGGACATGGGCACCATCGCCTGGGTTGTTCCTGGAGGCTGGCAGACACGTTGACCGTGGGCTGTTGCAGCTGGAGAAGCTAGGTGGAGCAGCCGGTGGCTTGCTTGGCTAGGCTCCAGTTAGAGGCTTCCCAGGAACTAGAGTCAGGAACAGCCAGTGGCACTGACAAGGAGATGGAGTCCAAGGCATGACTGGGGCACCTGACAGCAGGACAGAAAAGGCGCAGACATGCCGGGGATGTGACTTAAAATAAATGCAGATGTTTACTTTGAATGGAGTCTGTGGAGGCTCAGTGTCATCTGTCATCTAGAATGGTCTGGAAGGACTGCCGTGTCCGGACTGCTGCCCCTGACCCAGCCAGGGGCGAGGTTTACAGAGACTGCAGAATTAAGTACGCCACTGGCCAGTCATAGACTTTTGCCAGAGATGATTACAGTGGAAACTGGCCTTCGGCCTCTTTATTAGTCCCTTGAGAGGAGTGTGAGGTGCGCATGCTGGGCCCAGGTGACCCTTCCCCCGACCCAAGGGAAACAGTGGCCCACGGGAAGGAAGGGCAGGGAGCCGGTGCCTGTGGAGGAGGGGTCTGTGGGGTGTCTGTCTTCTCTCCAGCATCAGGGCTGAGAGAGGTGGCCGCCTCCAGCCTCAGGAGCACTTTTTCTGCAGAAGAAACCAGCTCCTTGACGGAAGAAGCAGGCAGGTCAGTTTTCATGGACAATCTCTGGGTCCAGGAGCAGCTATTTATGTGACTTAATCCACCAGTCATGGACAGAAACTTTAGAGAGGTCTGATTACCCCTCCTGTTTAAGATTAATTTTGGCCCAATCGTAGAGATGGTATAATAGGGAGGCAGGAGAGCAATCTTGAAAACTACGTGTGGAGGTCAAGGTCAGTTCCATGCAAACATCTGTTCCAGGCCCCCAGATGGGTTGCACCCCAGCTGGGGGCTTCCACCTGGAGAGAGGCCTAGTTTGCTAAAGGCGCTGCTGTCACTCACCTGGCTGGACGTGAAGCGCTCCTTGATCTCCTGGACCAGGGCCTTCATGCCACTGGACACTAGCTCCGGCAGGATCTCCTCTGCAGGTGGAGCAGAGAAGGTCCTGAGGCCAGAGCCCCTCCCATGCCCCTTGCTGGGGGCCCCCAGGAGGATGAGGATGGGTTGCAGTCCCCCTTGGGCTTGGCACGCACAGAGCCACCTTGCAGTTCCGGAGCCCCATGCAATGCACCACCCTCAGCTTCCTGCTTGGAAGCAGCCCTGCTGCTTGGAAGATGCCAAATGAGTGGGAAGTTTCTGAGGGCTGAGAAGTGGGGTTGAGCCTGTCAGGAGGAGTGGGGCACCTCTGACTGCTGGGCTCTGGGAGTTGTGAGGCAGGAAGGGGTTCTCACCGTAGGAAGCCAGGTGGACCAGCAGCATGCCCACGTTCTCTACCACCTCCGGGTCGTCCCTGTGGAGCTGGTAGGTCTCCTTGATGAGGCTGAGGCCGCTGCTGCCCTCCTCCTGCACCACCACCTTGAAGGCCGCCAGCTCTGGGGGGTGGGTGAGAATGGGTTGATGCCCCACTGTTCCCCTGAAAGGGAAGAGCCTTCTGCCCAGGACAGGATGGAACCCCAGAGCTAGGACAGGACAAGAGACAGCACTCAGGGGGCCCCATCAGCTTGGGTGGACCAACGGGCTGACCTGAACGGGACCACACACGAGCAAAGGTGGCAGCCCTTCCAGAGCCCAAGGGGCTCTTGCTACTCTTTAAAGGTTGGGTAGTGCAGAGGTCAGGACCATGAGCCCAGAGTCTCCATGCGCTCTGTGAAGGACTGAGCTGTGGATCAAGCCCTGATTGTGCTGCGCTCAGCGCTGGGCCCAGCCTGTCAGCTGAGGAACAGGCAGGCTTTGTGTTGGGAATTGGAGACACCCTCTCCAGGGCTGTTTTCATCAGTCACAGTGTGCCCGCATGTTGGGAAACCTGTGTAGACGTGATGTGTTTATGGACAAAGAGAGGGTCACGGGCTAGCATAACAGAGTCTATCAAGTGTGCATGGAAGTCTCAATGGTGATTTCTAGATGACTGGACTTTAGATTTTTTTTTAATTTATTTTCCTTTTTGATGTGTTGCTTCTGTTTTTTGGTTTGTGGAGCCTGGCAGATAGTAACTGATGGGGGCTTTTTGCCCTGAACTCTAGGTGGCAGTCTCGCCCTGTCCCCAGGCTTACCTGACACCTTCACCAGCCTGGCTAGTCCCCGGTAGGCACTGTTCACCAGCAGGACTCTGTCCTGGCACAGCCGGACACTCTGCAGGAGCAGCGCCACCACTTGTTCAAACTGCTGCTCCTTGATGCAGCCTGCAGAAAGGAGCCAGGCTGCCTCGTTCTTGTGTGCGTGAGGCCCACCCCCAAACACACCCCAGGGGCCCTGGGTGCCCATCCAGCTCACCCAGCAGGGACAGCAGCCAGAAGACTGCGCAGCTGGCTTCCGCCATTTCCGCATCCGCAGGGTAGGTGGCCAACACCTGGCTGATGAGGTCCGGGACCTCCTCCAAGGTACCCTTGTTCACAATGACAGCTGGAACCAGGACAGGGATGGAAAGGGGACACCCAGGCCTTGGGTATGTACAGGGGGGCCTTCCCACTCCCCATCTGATAAGGACAACAGCAGAAACGGGATGGGGGAGGTCAGCTGTCCTCAGGGAGGGGTGGGGTTAGCCCAGGAAAGGATGGAGAATCATGCGCTTTGGGTGCTGGCAGGGCTCTCGGGTCTCCTGGGCTCTCCATGGTTTGGAGCCCTCTTTTTCCTGGGGCACTGGAATGCCAAGATGGGGTCTAGAGGAAGGGAAGTAGCACAGGAGGCCCCCTATTGTGAATCAAAAAGCAAAACAGCATCCAGCACCACCACTGCCCTCTGGGAACAGGACTGCCTGGGAAATCCCAGGACGTTTCCCTGGGCAGGAGGCACTTAAAATGGAAGGGTCTGCCCACTGGACAAGGAGTCCTGAAGCCCTGCCTCTGGCAGAAGGCCTTTCCTCCCGTCTTCCTGCTCCTGGATTTTCTTCTGCTGCAGTTTGACTCTCAGCCTTTCCCAGGCCATGGCTGTCCTGAATGTTTCAGGAACTGGACATGGAGGTCCCTCAAAGGCTCTTGGGGCAGTCAGGGAGTGGTTGGGGCAAGGCTACCAGCCCTGGTGGGACAGCGGGACAGCAGGAGGCCCCTCACCGTCCAGCAGGAGGGCCCAGAGCAGGCCTAGGCCGCTGACGCAGACGTCCCTGCTTTGGAGGGAGCTGTGCAGGTGCTCCAGGATGTGGTCCAGCAGCCCGGCATTCTGCAGCTCCTCTGACACTGACTCTGTGGATGGGCCAGAGTCAGGGCCCCAGGGCCCCTCCCTCCAGGAAGCCTTCCTGCCTCTGTTGTCCTTGGGCACTGCAATTCCATTTGACCTGTGATCCTGGGTGCCTGCTCTGGGGCAGGTCTTGTGTACTCGTGGAGCCCGGAACAGCAGGACATGGGACTAGCCCCAGAGGAATCTGTTCACCAGTTCCAATAGCTGCCATCCCACTACCAGGCTGGGTCTGACCTCTGTAGCTTCCCATCCAGGGGGGCCTGGCCCCGCCTCCTGGGCTTACAGAGCTGGCCTGCACCTTCTAGGATGGAACTGTGACAGGGCCCTATCCCAGTAGGACGAGCTGACATCCATTTTGCCTGATGGTTCCAGTTGACATCTATTCCTAGTGCCTCCTTTTGCTCCCAGAAGTGAGATCAATGATGTATGACCAGTTGTCCAGTCTGTGCAGTAAAGAGGGTGCTGGGACCCAGCCCTGACCCCTGCTGCATGGGACTCTTAGCAGCTGCCCTTGGGCTCTCTCCAAGGACCAGCTTCCTGTTCAGGAGAACAGTGCCCACCCATCTGTGGGTGAAGGTGTGAGTGTTCTATATGGCCCTCTCCTGCCCACAGTCCTGACTGGTGGCTTCGGAAGCCCACTGGGCCCTATGAAATGGAGACACACAGGGCATTTGCCCACCAGCCTCCCAGAAGAGGCAGAAAGTATGTGAAGTAGATGTCACTGGTGTGAAGCCCACAGCTGTGCCTGGCACATCTGTAGTGAGAACCACTGACTTCAAGCATGGAAGTTTGTCATCAAGATGGAAAAGGACTCAACCAGCATTTGGGGTGCCAACTGAAGACAGCCAAATGCTGACATGCATCTCAGGAGGAGGCCCAGCACTGTCCTGTCCAACCCACCCGTACCCCAAACCATCCCTTCCTGAGACTCTGGGAAGGGCTGTCCTGGATAGTGGGGCAGGAGGTGGCTGGCAGATGCACCCTGGGTTGTGGTGATGGCCAGCAAGCTATAGACCATGACCAGAAGCTGCTCCTCCTCAGGGTGGCTCCGAAGACATCGCAGCAGGCTGGAGGTGATGGCTTGGTTGCAGGGAACCTTAGCTTCTGGGTCAAGCACCAGCGCTGCTCGGGTCAGAGGAAGACGTCTGGGGTTAGCCCCACAGCTGGGGCGTGCGACCAGACAGACAAAGCTCACAGGCTAGGGGACACATCTCCACTTTGCATGAAGGAAACCAAGGTCTATCTTGTTCTCCTGGCCCAGAACAGGCCTCTGTGAATGCCTGTGGCCTGATGGAGTGAGGGACTGGAGAGGAGCCCTGCCTGGCCAGGCCACAGATCCTGGTCCCCAGGAGCTGGCCAGGCAGCACTGAACACAGTTTCAACATTGCTTGGAACTCAAAACTTCAACATTGATACTAGAAATGTGGCCGTGCATGGTGGCTCATGCCTGTGATCCCAACACTTTGCAGGGCTGAGGCGGGAAGATCACCTAAGGTCAGGAGTTCGAGACCAGCCTGGCCAACATGGTGAAACCCTGTCTCTACTAAAAATACAAAAATTAGCTGGGTGTGGTGGCAGGTGCCTGTAGTTGCAGCTACTCAGGAGGCTGAGGCAGGAGAATTGCTTGAACCCGGGAGGCAGAGGTTGCAGTGAGCTGAGATCATGCCACTACACTCCAGCCTGGGCAACAAGAGCAAAACTGCATCTCCAAAAACAAAAAGGAAACTAGAAAGGTAACAAAATACTTTTTGTTAAAAGATCAAATTTAGTTCAACTTTTTTAGCAACCCAAAGTCTCTGGTAGGAGGCCTGGGCTCTCAGCTCCAGCCTTGCCCATCAGGGCAGTGAAATGAACTCAGCACTGCCCTCCTACCAGCCCTCTCCAGGGGACGCAACCACCCTCCCTGAGGGTCACAGCAGAGGACCTCGTGTCAAGCTTCTCTCTTCATAGCTGGGGAACTGGCAAGAGCAACAGGAGCTTGTCCAGGGCCGTGGAGCAGGCAAAAAGGCAGGCCTGGGTGGGATCCACATCTCTGGGCTCCTGGCCTGTACCCTCTCTGCCATCTGGAAGAGGGCCTGGACTCTCCAGAGGATCAGATGCCAACCAGGTCTGAGCCACCAGGAGCGTCTCCCCGACCTGGCCTGGCCCCGGCGCCCACCTTGGCCCAGGAGGTGCAGCAGCAGGGAGCAGGCACATAGCTGGATGTCGAGGACCCTGTCGTGCAGCTCCATGGTTGTGAGCACCACCTCCACCAGCTCCGGGGGCCACGGCAGACCTGGCAGGACGGGCAGCACGGGGAGATTCAGTGTGGGGTCAGGTTGAGGGCATATAGACCAGATCAGGGCCCCCAGAGGCAGGTGGGAGTCTGCAGGGCCCTTGGTGGGTGAATAGAAGGGGGAAGGACAAAGGATTAGCAGTAGCTCCATGTAGTGCGTGCCATATCTGCCACGGGTGTCCTGCTCTGCTGCCCATGGCCCTGTGAAGTGGGCCCTCCAGGGACTGCCCTTGTGCAGATGAGGGACCTGGGGTCAGCGGAATGAAAGCATCTGCTCTTCAGCATTTGAACCCGGCCAGTCTACTCCATAGCCCTTGGCTACACCTGCCTTGAGAGTGGACGTGGGTGGGCTCCATCTACCCCACCATTATGTCAGGAACTGTTGTGGGCTGGGGACTGGGTGAGCGGCAGTGGCCCGGCAGCCATCCCTCCACTGTAGGTTCATGAGAGCAACAAGGAAGAAGTCCTGGCACCCAGAATGCTGAGTGAAGCAAGCCTGTTTCTTTTGTTTTTTTTTTTTTTTTGGAGATAGTCTCACTCTATCGCCCAAGCTGGGGTGCAGTGGCATCATCTCGGCTCACTGCAACCTTTGCCTCCTGGGTTCAAGCAATTCTCCTGCCTCAGCCTCCTGGGTAGCTGAGATTATAGGCATGCACCACCATGCCTGGCTAATTTTTATATTTTTGGTAGAGACCTCGGTTTCACCATGTTGGCCAAGCTGGTCTCAAACTCCTGATCTCAAGTGATCCGCCCGCCTCAGCCTCCCAAAGTACTGGGATTGCAGGCATGAGCCACCGCTCCTGGCTGCAAGCCCATTGCTAAGCAAGGTGTAAGAGGAGGTGTGGCTCCGGGTGGTGGGCAAGACCCACCCTTTGGGACGGGGCCCAACAGCTTTCCTGGTTTCCCCAGGGAGGCAAAAATCTCTCTTCCCAGGGACTCCGTCCTGGCAGGCACAGCTGAGCTACAGAAGGGGTCGAAGAGGAGGAGGCAAGGGAGGAAATGGTAAAGGGCCCATATGCGGTCTCTGCTGCCTACTTGAAGGCCAGGGCTGGGCCTTGTCACCTCTGAGGCCTGAGCCACTGCAACAAACCTCAGTAGATTGCTAATCCAGTTCTGATGGATAGATGATGGATGGATGGATGGATGTGTGAAGGTAATGTTCAGGCAGGTGAAAAAGGTCGAATGGAAAGATTTTATGAAAGCAGTTTTGGCACAAACATTTTACAAATTGGCCAGGCGCGGTGGCTCACACCTGTAATACCAGCACTTTGGGAGGCGGAAACGGGCAGACCACTTGAAGTCAGGAGTTCGAGACCAGCCTGGCCAACATGGTGAAATCCCGTCTCCACTAAAAATACAAAAAGTTAGTTGGGCATGGTGGCTCACACCTGTAGTCCCAGCTACTTGGGAGGCTGAGCAGGACAATCACTTTAACCCAGGAAGCGGAGGTTGCAGTGAGCCAAGATCACACCACTGCACTCCAGCCTGGGGACAGAGGAAGACCCCGTCTAAAAAGACAAAACAAGAACACTGCTTTCCTCAACACTCTCCATGAATGAGCAGTAACAATCTCTTTGGGTTTTGTTTCGAGACAGAGTCTCCCAGGCTGAAGTGCAGTGGTGCAAGCATGAATCACTGTACCCTCAATTCCCTGGGCTCAAGCAATCCTCCTGCCTCAGCCTCTCAAGTAGCACATGTCACCACACCGGGCTACTTTATTTTTTGTAGAAATGGGGTCTGCCTTTGTTTCCCAGGCTAGTCTCGAACCCCTGGGCTCAAGCAGTCCTCCCGCCTTGGCCTCTCAGAGTGTTGGGATTACAGGTGTGAGCTACGCGCCAGGGCATGCATTCTTAACAGGTAGGTGAGTTGCTGTATCTAGAGAAATGTAAAGTATTCACACCCTTGAACATCTAGGAATCTGTGCTACAGAAACCTAAGTGCACAGATACATACATACCAGGGTGTCCACTCTAGTACCATTTATAATAGTGGAAACAGCAACAACTCAGATATCCCTCATAGGGATGGTGGGGTAGATGGGATGTCTACAGCTCCATTAAAATTGTGTGAAGGCTGCCACCCCACCCCTTCCCCTTCCCTGCTGTCTTCCCTAGGCAGATAGCAGAGACATGGGATGCTTCTGGGAAGACATGCATGCCTCCATGCTGCATGAAAGCAGTGGTGAGGAGAGCCCAGGGTGAGGCCAGCCTCAGCTCCCCACAGGCCAGGCCATGGGTCTGCCCTTAGGAGCGAAGTTGGGAAAGGGGTGCAGGCTGGGGCCTACCTAGCTGATCCGCAGGCATTTTCAGAAACCTCTTCATGGCCCTGAGCTGGACTTCGGGCCAGCTAGAGAAGTTCTGCATGGCCTCTGCAGGGACAGGAAGGCAGAAGAGGGACCTTTCTGAGAACCAGGGCCTCAGGGCCTTGTCCTGGGCACCACACTGGCCTGGCTGCTGTGTGTGCACCCCCTCCTCAGATCCACGGGTTCAGGACGAGAGGGAGGGGGTGTTACCATCCCACTTTACAGATGAGTCCACTGAGACCAAGTGACTTTTCCATAATAGAACCCAAGACTGTCTCAGAGTCCAAAAATGGTGGAGCACACTTTTGCTCATCCTGGGCACATAGGGGGCACACAGCCAGCCAGGCTGTGGAAGCAAAAGCAGAGGGTTGTGGGAGGCCTGAGCAGTGACTAGCCATTGAGCTACATAGAGGATCTGTGCAGCAGGAGCAGAGGGGAAACAGGTGGGGGCCAAGCTATGGAGATGAACTTGGTGTTATAGGTCGTTGGGAGCTATGGAGGGTGTTTGAGCAGGGCAGTCCCCTGAGTAATGTGTAGGGATGGATGGAGGGAAACTGTTCTCACCCACTGGCTGTGCACATGGAGCTAGGCCAGGGGCATAAATAATGAGCCCTCTGGAATGAAATAATAGGATGCCAATGCCACGGACAGGAGCTCCAGGGCATGCTCCCCCACTGTGTCCCCAGAATCACCTAAAATGCTGGCCACGTTGCCTGCTAAGAGCATGTCGGTGATGGACACAGGCAGCATCTGTCGGTACAGGGTCAGCGAGATGCATGAGGACTTGAAGGAGCCGCTCACGAAGGTGATGTGCACCACGTCCCTAGCAGAGGAGCAGAGAGGGCTGAGTAACCCAGCAGCGCCCCTGCCTCCTCCTGGTGTGGCTCTCCCTCTGCCTCCGACTCCATCTCTAGTAAACCCTGTCTCTATTAAAAATACAAAAATTAGCCGGGCATGGTGGCGCGTGCCTGTAGTCCCAGCTTCTCGGGAGGCTGAGGCTGGATAATCGCTTGAACCCCAGAGACGGAGGTTGTGGTGAGCTGAGATTCCCAAACTGCACTCCAGCCTGGATGACAATGCAAGACTCTGTCTCAAAAAAAAAAAAAAAACCCGACCCTGAGCTCACTTTATCGTTATTCGATCCGAGGGGTTGAGCTGGAGCATCAAGGGCAGAAGGTTCCGGAAGGTTTCCGAATCCGGGATTTGCTTCTCCTCCATTGTCTTCAGGATGCGCTTCAGGCTGCCTGGGCTCTCGCGGAGGGACTTCCGCAAATGCATGGCTTCTGTGCCCTACATGGAGAGGGAACAGCTCTGTACATTCCCTTAAGTAAATGGAAACTGGGCCCTGGCATGGGCAGAGGGGGAGCAGAGACCAAGAGATCCAGGAGGAGACCCGGAGAGCCAGGTGGAGCCGCCGCACCTATAAGAATGCCCAGAGACCCCAGGGGCCCCGAGCTCTTCCATAAGAATGGAGTTTCAGAGAAGCCAGCTTGTTTCCTAGGGTAGAGTCCCGCCAAGAAATTCCCCCTGATCTAGACCCGGCCAGTGAGAGGGGCAGCATGCCCATTTCACAGAGTGTGATGTGCCCGAGGTCACTCTGCCTGGGCTGGGGCTGGAGCTAGAGCCCAGGCTATTTCCAGGATGTCACAAAGGCAGGAAGGCTCTCGTTTCCCTGAGTTTTCCAAAGTAAGGGAGTGCCAAGGTGCTTCTCAGAGGTGGAATCTGGAGGTCTGGGAGAGCATGGGGAACCTGGGCCCAGTGCTTTCTGGAGACCTCAATGCCTGCGCGTGCTGCTGTGGAGAAGGGAGCTTCCTTGTTTTGGGCATGGCAGGCCCTGGGGTCTGGTGGCCTGACTTCCCCACTTTGACTTTTGCATATAGAGGATAAGAAGCAACAGGCTGGACTCCCCACCTCCCTGTAGCCAGAGTGACCTCGGAGTGCTTGCGGGGCCAGTGGGGTCCTCTGCCTCTCCTTCCTGCCCACAGGCTATGGCCATGGTGCAGGGACCCCAGCAGGGATGAGAGCAACAGCTGCATGCTAAGGCTGTGCAGGAAGAGGGAAGGCGCCTCCACACAAGCCTGGGGCTTGTGCATGAGGCAGCCCGGGTGTGTTCGGGCCCATGCTGGGTTCCCGTTGCTTGCAACCCCGTGCATTCTTCACGCTCACGAGGGCACCTGAACTTGGCTCTTCCCCATCAGGAGTCAACAACACCATCTGGAGGCTGCTGCGAGGGTTGCATGGGATCGTCTGAACACTCCCACTGCTGTCGCCATCCTGCTAGGGCCCCACAGGTGCTGCATGCTGGGGGGTTCTGAGGAGGGCGGGCCCCCCACAGGTGGAGGAGGGGGCTCTGCACAGCCTGCAGAGAGCCCAGGGAAGGGATGTGGATGGGAAGCAGGACGAGGCCAAGCCTTCTCCCCAGGCCTGGGCATGTGGGGAGCAGCATGTGGGGTGTTGCGTAGGGGGTGGCTCACATCCATGAAGGAGCAGCTGGTCATGTCCAGAACGATGCAGCCCAGGGACCAGATGTCTGATTTCTGGCTGAAGGAGAAGCTGAGGGCTTCGGGGGCCATCCAGGACTTATGAAAGGGATCTGTTGGTAAGAGCAAGGTGGGATCCCTGAGTCCTTTGTTCCTGGGAGCAGGGGCTTGAGAGAGTCACCCTGCCCAGTCCTGTACCCCCTTTGGTGGCCCCCCAAAAGCAGCTTGAAACACGAGCCCTGCAGGTCCTCTTCTCAGAAAAGGTGGAGAATATTAACTGGGGAGGAAGAGGCCCCGGTTAGCGGGAGCTTTGCACTGATCTGGAGCCACTGAGGCTGTCCATCTTGGCGGATGCCCACCAGGCCAGCCCACATACGTGCATGTGTCTGTGTACCCAAGATGGCTGTAGAAGGAGTTGGAAGAGGCACGTGCCAAGAATTTGTGCACCCCTCTAAACTTCTTGCCCCTTCTAAATCAGGACCTTGGGCCAAAGTAACAGTTGCTCTGCCCTAGTTTCTAAACTGGAACCCCAGACAGGCAGGCAAAAGAACAGGCTCCTCTGAGTCCATCAGTCCCTGGCTGGCCTCAGGCAGCCCCTCCTCCCCTGGACCTCCATTCCCCAGCCCATCAGTAAAGGACTGGACTCCAAGGACCTGTGCCATCTGCACCTCCAGTAGAACTAACCATCTGCCCATCTGTCTGCCCATTCATCCATACACACCCCCATCCATCCATCCATCCACTCACCCACCTACCCACTCATTCACTCACTCACCCACCCATCCATTCACAGAGCCACCCATCCATCCATTCCATTCATCTATACACCTACTCACACATCCTTCCACACATGTACCCACCCACCTATCCATCTTTCTACTCACCACCCATCCATCCACAACCCACACCCTCACCCATCCACCCACATACCCAGCCATCCAACCACACACCCATCCACCCATCCATCCACCTACTCACGTACTCACCCATCCGCTCACCAACCCATGTATCCATCTATCCATTCACTGACCGGCCCACCCACCTATCCATCCATCCACTCACCTACCCACCTGCCTACCCACCCATCCACTCACCCACATACTTATCTATCCATCCATCCATCCATCCATCCATCCATCCATCCATTCATCCATCCACCCACCCACACCATCCATCCATCCTACTACTCACCAAATCACACACACACCCATCTATGTACCCATCCACTATGTACCATCTTCTGTTTACCAAGGACAGAGTGCAACCAGCGACTGCCACCCTGGGACTCTGGACTCCTCCTCTGTGGCTGCTCTCTCCAGCCCCCTTTGTCTGGCCATCTTTTTAAAGAAATGAGAACTCATCTCCCCTTGCCACCCACCCCTGTCATCTCCTGGGTTGTTTTAGGACTCAGTGATCTACACACAGCCAGTGCCTGGCACCTGCAGACCTTTCGTCCTGGGCATTTTAGCTTCCTTCCTTCTGAGGCTTCTTTTCTCTCCACGAGAGGCAACATTTTCTGGGGTACCACAACCAACCACACTTTGTTTCTCTCAAATGTCAGGGTCTTTGGGGCCCTGCGTCTGCCGCTGGTGGTGACACGCCAGCTCAGTTACAACCCAAAGGCCCTCTCTTTGGAGTCCACACAAGGCCAGGGGCTTTGTGGGGACCTTCTGAGCAAACAGCTTTTTGATGTTGCCTCGCTCAGCACCCAAAGTGGCCACCACCATCTGGATTCTAGACGCCAACCCCTCTCCCATGACCTGGGGAACCCTCTGCCACCTTCCTCCGCATGGATATTCCATGACCTGGGGGACCCCCTGACACCTTCCTCCGCACGGATATCCCATGACCTGGGGGACCCCCTGACACCTTCCTCCACACAGATAGCCCATGACCTGGGGGAACCCCTGACACCTTCCTCCGCACGGATATCCCATGACCTGGGGGACCCCCTGACACCTTCCTCCACACAGATAGCCCATGACCTGGGGGACCCCCTGACACCTTCCTCCACACAGATAGCCCATGACCTGGGGGACCCCCTGACACCTTCCTCCGCACGGATATCCCATGACCTGGGGGACCCCCTGACACCTTCCTCCACACAGATAGCCCATGACCTGGGGGACCCCCTACCACCTTCCTCCGCACGGATATTCCACTTGGCTTTGTTCGTCATTAGCGCGTTGGAGCTCAGGTCCTGCAATTTGCAACAGTCACTGCTGACGAGGATGATGTTGGAGGGTTTGAGGTTCCTGAAACCAAGAGGTGGGTTTGCTTCTGGGTGCGATGGGCTGCCTGGGCAGCCTGACTCTCTGCTCCCTGTCCCACCCCGCTCCGCAGCAGCAGCCCACAACTTCCTCTGCTCCACACAATGCCCCATCTCAGCCTACTTTTTAAGCAGTTGTTTCCTATATACAGAAATATACTCAATTATTTTAAATTGGGGGAAAAAACCTCAACCACAAGTAGAAACACACCCAACCACTCCGAAGAGGTCCCTTGGCTGACATCATGTTCACCTCCTTAGACATCTCAGCTCAGATATCAACCCCCATTATCTTAGATATCAATCCCCATTTCCCTGGGGATTGGTTTTTGGCCATTGCGCAATGTCTAGTGACATTAACACTGAACGTGGAATGTGAGCATTCCCTTTGTACATATGGTCTACAGGTTGTGTTTATGTGCGTGTTGTGTGTTTTAAAACAGGATTGCCCAGGCTGGAATGCAATGACACAGTCATAGCTCATCTGCAGCCTCAAGCTCCTGGCTGCAAGCAATCCTCACATCTCAGCCTCCATGTTGCTGGGACCACAGGCATGCACCGCCACGGCCAGCCACATGGTTGTCTTATTCCCTTTAAATAAGATATTGGTGTTCAGAACTGAGCCATCTCCCAGCCCCTTCAGATCATGGATTCTCCAGCCTGAAGCTGTGCCACTGAGTGGGGGTCAAAGGCTCAGCAGGACCCACTCAGCCCACACTGGCCCCAAAGCGGGCAGCCCAGTCTCTGTTCCTCGAAGGGCTGTTGCCTCCTTTCTTTCCATGACCAGCTCTTCTGGCTAGCACACACCCATGCAGCTGTGCGTGTGCACACGGCTTAAGACCACTTGGAAGAGACTCTTCTGAGCCCAGGAGGAGCTCTGGAAGGTCCCCGTCCTATTGTGGCTGCACTGGCCCAGTACACTTTTGTCCCCAGATCCTGCCCATGGGCACTGGCACCCAAATGGCCTCAGTGCCTTTTCTCCCGAAGCAGCCAGCCAGTCCAGGGAGATTGGAGGCGCCACTCACCTGTGGATGATGTCCAAATGGTGTAGGTATTCCAGCGCGTCTAGCACCTGGCCCAGCACATTCTGCAACCACTGGGGAGAAGCAGGGGATGCCAGGATGGGAGGGGCACCCTGTGCTGCTGTCAATGGGGTGACGCTCAGAGCACCCAGCAGGACAGTGGTGTATTCTCTCCTTGCATCTTGAGACAGGCCCAAAGCCTGCCAAGCACTCAGGGTGGGTGGAGGAGGCTTCAGCGTGGTGACTCTCCAGATGGTAAAGCCAGAAGGACTCAGTTTCCAGGCTCCACACTGCTATCTCCATGCCGGAGACCCTGGGTGATGCAGGAGCCCCATCCCTGCACCCCACTCTGTGGCCCACGCTGCCCCACACTTGCTTGGAGCTGGAGGCAGATGGGCTTTCAGGTATGGGAAGGAAAGCCTGCAGTGCCTACATGCAGCTCATTCCTCTAAATCATTCTAATGAAATGAGCCATGAGAGACAATGTGCTGGGGGCGTTCTGCATCAGAAACAAGCTCCACTGAGTCCCCAGGGCAGTGATTCTGAAGCTGGGCTCCTAGGATCCCTGGATTCAGGCCCACCGTGGGGTGTTAGAGAGGGGTTGAGGGGGCAGGACATGGGTGTCCTCCTAGTCATCCCAGTCAGAGTAGCTCTGCTGTGCTTACCAGGTTTCTGGGCACACTGTGTGTTTCAAAGGGCTTCACCCACAAAGTCTGAAACCCACCCTGGTCCTGCCTCTGAGGCCCATGGTAAGAGAAGAGCTGTGTGCCCCGAAGAGCCCCTCAGGGGGACCTGGTCCCACCAAACACAGTTCTCAGGGTAAAAGCAGGCAGCATTCATCTGGGATAGATGAAAGACCTAAATGTGGAGGCTTCCGGAAGATAGAGGAGAGTATCTTCGTGGCCTCAGAGCAGGAAATGTTTCATTTTTTTTTTTTTTTTTTTTAAAGACGGGGTTTTACCACGTTGGTCAGGCTGGTCTTGAACTCCCAACCTCAGGTGATCTGCCCGCCTTGGCCTCCAAAGTGCTTGGATTACAGGTGTGAGCCACTACGCCCAGCCTCATTTGTTTTTTTTTTTTTTGGAGACCAAGTTTTGCTCTTGTTGCCCAGGCTGGAGTGCAATGGTGCAATCATGGCTCACTGCAACCTCCGCCTCCTGGGTTCAAGCGATTCTCCTGCCTCAGCCTCCCAAGTAGCTGGGATTACAGGCATGCACCACCACACCTGGCTAATTTTGTAGTTTTGGTAGACACAGGGTTTCTCCATGTTGGTCAGGCTGGTCTCGAATTCCTGACCTCAGGTGATCTGCCCACATCAGCCTCTCAAAGTGCTGGGATTACAGGTGTGAACATCTGGCCAGGAGATGCTTCTTAAACTCCAAAGGCACCAACCATAGAGACAGCAGAGAGACAACATTGAGACGGCATTGAGACAGCAGAGAGACAGCATTGAGACAGCAGAGAGACAGCATTGAGACAGCAGAGAGACAGCATTGAGACCGCAGAGAGACAGCATTGAGACGGCAGAGAGACAGCAGTGAGACGGCAGAGAGACAGCAGTGAGACAGCATTGAGACAGCAGAGAGACAGCAGAGAGACAGCATTGAGACAGCAAAGACATAGCAGAGAGACAGCATTGAGACAGCAGAGAGACAGCATTGAGACAGCAGAGAGGCAGCATTGAGACAGCAGAGAGGCAGCAGTGAGACAGCAGAGAGACAGCAGAGACATAGCAGAGAGACAGCATTGAGACAGCAGAGAGACAGCAGTGAGATAGCAGAGAGACAGCATTGAGACAGCAGAGAGACAGCAGAGACATAGCAGAGAGACAGCATTGAGAGCAGAGAGACAGCATTGAGACAGCAGACAGCAGAGACATAGCAGAGAGACAGCATTGAGACAGCAGAGAGACAGCATTGAGACGGCAGAGAGACAGCATTGAGATGGCAGAGAGACAGCAGTGAGATGGCAGAGAGACAGCAGTGAGACGGCATTGAGACAGCAGAGAGACAGCATTGAGACAGCAGAGAGACAGCAGAGACATAGCAGAGAGACAGCAGAGACATAGCAGAGAGACAGCATTGAGACAGCAGAGAGACAGCATTGAGACAGCAGAGAGGCAGCATTGAGACAGCAGAGAGACAGCAGTGAGACAGCATTGAGACAGCAGAGAGACAGCAGAGACATAGCAGAGAGACAGCATTGAGACAGCAGAGACATAGCAGAGAGACAGCATTGAGAGCAGAGAGACAGCATTGAGACAGCAGACAGCAGAGACATAGCAGAGAGACAGCATTGAGACAGCAGACAGCAGAGACATAGCAGAGAGACAGCAGAGACATAGCAGAGAGACAGCATTGAGACAGCAGAGAGACAGCATTGAGACAGCAGAGAGGCAGCATTGAGACAGCAGAGAGACAGCAGTGAGACAGCATTGAGACAGCAGAGAGACAGCAGAGACATAGCAGAGAGACAGCATTGAGCCAGCAGAGAGACAGCAGTGAGACAGCAGAGAGACAGCATTGAGACAGCAGAGAGACAGCATTGAGAGCAGAGAGGCAGCAGAGACATAGCAGAGAGACAGCATTGAACCAGCAGAGAGACAGCAGTGAGACAGCAGAGAGACAGCATTGAGACAGCAGAGAGACAGCATTGAGAGCAGAGAGACAGCATTGAGACAGCAGAGAGGCAGCAGAGACATAGCAGAGAGACAGCATTGAGACAGTAGAAAGACAGCATAGAGACAGTGTTGAGACAGCAGAGACAGCGTTGAGAAAGCAAACTTTATCACACTTAGAACTTTCCAACATCAAAAGACATCATCATTAAGAAAGTGAACTGGCTGAGTGCGGTGGCTCATGCCTGTAAGGCCAGCACTTTGGGAGGCCAAGGTGGGCAGATCACTTACGGTCAGGAGTTTGAGACCAGTCTGGACAACATGGCGAAACCTTGTTTCTACTACTAATAAAACAAAAATTAGCTGGGTGTAGTGGTGGGTGCCTGCGCCTGTAATCCTAGCTACTCAGGAGGCTGAGGCAGAAGAATCGCTTGAACTGTGAGGCAAAAGTTACTCTGAGCCAAGATCATGCCATTGCACTCCAGCCTGGCTGACAAGAGTGAGACGCCATCACACCAACCACAACAATAACAACAAAAAGACTGATACGGTGAAGGGCTGGCCGCCTGGTGGACCAGGAACACTCACAACTTGTGAGAGTAAACATCCGGCCAACTAAACCATGCCGGAAATCTGTTTGAGCATCTACTAAAGCTACACATATACCTACTCCACAACCCAATCATTCCACTCCTCGGTATTTATCCCAGAAAAGTGAGTGCCTTCCAGCGATGCTCATAGCAGCCTTATTCACAGTAGCTCCAAACGGGAAGCAGCCCAAATGCTTATCAGCAGGATTCTAGGTAAACAGACTGCAGTGCAGCCAGGCAGAAGAAGGGCATCCAGGATTGAGCAAAGATGATTCACCAGTGCATGCAGTGGCACAGCGGGGCTCAAAACAGCAGGCTAGGCCCAGTGCAGTGGCTCACGCCTGTAATCCCAGCACTTCTGGAGGCTGAGACAGGTAGATCACCTGAGGTCAGGAGTTGGAGAACAGCCTGGGCAACCAGGTGAAACCCCATCTCTAGTAAAATACAAAAATTAGCCGGGAGTGGTTGCATGCACCTGTAATACCAGCTACTCCGGAGGCTGAGGCAGGAGAATCACTTGGGCCTGGGAGGCAGAGGTTGCATTGAGCCAAGATTGCACCACTGTACTCCAGCCTGGGTGACAGAGCAAGACACTGTCTCAGGGGAAAAAAAAAAAAAAAAAAAACACAGCAGGCAGAGGGAAAGAGACCAGACATGCAGGACGAGTCCATTTACATGAACTTCAGAAACTGGCAGAACAATCTGGAATCACAGTCACTGACTGGGAACCTTCTAGGATTAAGAACGCCTTCTGTCTTGACCTGGGCGGAGGTTGTATGAGTGCATCAGACTGTGCACTTAAGATTTGCACATGTCCTAGGGTGCAAATGCCTTGAGACATACATTTAAGAAAAAACCAAGGCTGGACTGCATGCTACCTACACGCCCACTATTGCTTTGCCCCACACTGCAGGGCCTGTGTCACAGGTCTAGGTGGTCCCCAGGCCTGGTGCCCCAGAGGATCTTACCTCAGCGTCAATGATTTCCTTCGCCTCCCTCTTATCCGTAATGACTTCCTGGAAGGTGACCTTGTTGAACTCCATCACCAGGCAGAGGAACGGGGAGGAGATCTGTGGGGAGAGGAGGCCCTTTAGCCAGCTGCCAGGGGACGCCCAGGCCCTGGTGCTACTGCGGGCTCGCCTGCTCCAGGGCCTCCCTGTGCTGGGCTGCCATCCATCCGCAGTGGCTATGGGAGCACTGCCCACTGGAGGGGGCTACAAGCCCCTCCTGCCCCACCTCCAGCTCCCTCTCTCTCTCCTCTCCCCATTCCCAGGTCCCCGCTCCACGCCACGCTCCATCCACACCAAGCTACTTGGACCTTCCTGAAAGCTGCACTTGGCCCTGGCCATGGCACATGTGGACCCCTCTGCCTGGACCCCTACCCCCACCCACTTCATGGGGATAACGACTCACACTTCAGCCCAGGCCCGTTTCCTCCGCTGAGTCTGCCCTGCCCAGAGCCCCAGCAGGCCGGGTCAGGGCCCCCAATTCTGTGCTCCCTCCCATAGGGAAATACCCCCTTGGCTTCTCTGCACTCTCCTTGAGAGCTTTAGGGAATGCTCAGAAAATATTTGGGAGTGCCTGCAGTGAAGTCCCCTTTCCAAGACCCAGCTGGAGTGGAGGGAGTGTATGAGGGTCCTCTCCTGCTGGGACCCAGGATTGCTGGCCCCCAGCAGGAATGCCAGTGTGGACCTCTCATACAGGCTGGCGCCTGGCAGGAGGCTTCTCAGCCTCTCTTTACCTCCAGCACCCCTTGAGCCCTCTCTGCCTCCTGCTGTCTGCCTCAGTCCCATTGGAAGTGACTGGAAAGCTCCTGGCTCTTTGTAAAGACAAGAAGTCATACCGCCTACGGGACCCAGCTGCTGGACCTGGGTCTCAGTCCCCACTCAGCTGTTTACTAGCTATGTGGCCTTGGAGAGCTCCTGAACCAGAGCCCTAGGGCCTGTCAAGAGCACAGGGACAGTAGTCAGCTGCCCAGGGGCTGCAGGAGTAAGGAGCACCCAGGCCTGGCACTGCCTGGGGGTCGGGTGGCTATGGAGAGGGGTCCACTCGCTCCTCCCATGGAAGTAAAATCTCTGTCATCAGAGGCACAGGTTCACTGGGACGAGCTTGGTGGCTGTGTGCAGAGCCCAGGGGTCAGGCCCGCCTGTCCTGGCCTTCTGGCTTGGCCATGTACTAGCTGGGTAACCTGGAGCAACTTGAATCTGTTAGCCTCTGTTTCTTCTTCTGTGAAATGGGTTAAGAACCCCTCCTAACGAGGAGGCTGTTAAGGCTCCTTCAAGACTATGCACACAAAGCCCCAGCATGGTACCTGGCCCCAGTGAGTGTTAGGTCAGAGGTGGCCGTGTTTAGAGCCACTGCCATTGCCACACGAGCTGTTCCAATGCTGGCGGGTGGGAGTGCTCTGGGCTCAGTTCACTTGGTCCCTCAGCCCGCTGCGTGGCAACTGAGTCCGTAGGTGTCAGCTCTGACCCACCTCACTATTCCATGTGATGAACAGCTCCTGGTACACAGAGATGTGGGCGTGCTGCAGCTTCAGCAGTGGCATCAGCTGCCAGGAGAGAGCAGAGGAAAGAGAGAAGTCAGCACCTCTCCACGTCTGTCTCAGCTCTTGCTTCTCTGTCATACATCCCAACCAACATGTGAGCCTTGGGCTCTGGGCTGGGCGGGGGAGCGGGCTCAGGGAGGCTGTGCAGCCTGGTGGCTAGAAGCCAGGCAGGCAGTGTGTGCTGTGTCTCCAGTATGTGCTGGCTCTGCTCGGTGACTGGACCTCAGACTGTCATCTGAAAATGGGGGTCCCAGTGGAATCTGCCTCATGGGGATGCGACGGGGACTGAGTGAGCTGCAGCAGGCAGTGCCAGGAAGGTGTGGATCAGCCACAGCTGGGGCTGGCCAGAGGAGGTGGTGCAGCTGCAGGGAGGTAGGCACACAGAGAGGTCCCACTGCCCTTGCCCTGTCGGAAAGTGCTTTGAAACATGCCCAAACAGGAGTAGACGGGGCTGCGTTAGAGACATGGAGCCAGACAGACAACCACGAGTGGTGGAAGACTGGGTGTGAAAGCAGGTGGCCTAGTGGGCCATGGAAGGGAATCAGCAACATGAAAAGCCACGGTGGTACAGGGCCCTGGCCGGGACCCCCACGCTCTTTCTTCCCCTTTGTTACTGAGTAGCCTGGGCCCATGACTGTGCTTTGGTGACCCAATAATGTTTACTGGCCAAGCTCCAGAGCCACCAACTCCAGAAGGCAAACAAGTGACCATGAGATAGGAGGGGACACCGTGAAGCTCATGGGAAGTTCAAGAAGCAAACAGAAAGGCTGCTCAGAGCCTTTGCCAATCAAAGCGAAGTGCGGCTGATATTGCTGTGACTGTAAATCAGGATGTTACTGCTGGGCAGTTCTGAATGGTAGAATTGAGGGTAATGTATATTTTCTTTGTTAAACAATTCTGGGATGGGAGTGGTGGTGCCTGCCTATAACCCTAGCACTTTGGAGGCCAAGGTGGGAGGACTGCTTGAGCCCAGAAGTTCAAGACCAGCCTGGGCAACATGGTGGCACCTCATCTTTATCAAATTTTTAAAAAAAGGTAAAAACAAAACCAAACCCCATCATTATGTATTTTTCAAATTTTCTACTCTAATTAATAATTTTATATTGAAACAAAAATATTTTAAAAATAGTTATTGGGCCTCATACCAATCTCAGCACTTTGGTAGGCCGAGGTAAATGGATCATGAGGTCAAGAGATTGAGACCATCCTGGCCAATGTGGCAAAACTCTGTCTCTACTAAAAAATACAAAAATTAGCTGGGCATGGTGGTGTGTGTCTATACTCCCAGACACTCAGGAGGCTGAGGCAGAAGAATCACTTGAACCCGGGAGGCAGAGGTTGTAGTGAGCTGAGATCGTGCCACTGCACTCCAGCCTGGTGATAGAGCAACACTGCATCTCAAAAAAAAAAAAAAAAAGTTACTGGCAGATTAACTTAGGGACATGGCCAATATTTCTTTATTCATATTTTATTTTATTTATTTTTAAGACAGAGTCTTGCTCTGTCATCCAGGCTGAAGTGCACCTACTTCAGCCTCCCAAAGTACTAGGATTATAAGCGTGAGCCACCGCGCCTGGCCCAGTCATAAACTTTATGTTCTCTGGGAACAGATGTTCTAAGTTGTCGGCACCTGCATTTAACAGTGAATGTTTGGGGTATAGACTCCCTACATGACCTGGGGCTGCTGACTTCACAGCTGAGGCAAAACTGGTGCTGCCGCTCCATCTCCCTCCAGGCTTCCCTTCACCCAGGCACTCAATAAGAGGGTACAGCATACAGTCTGTGTGTGCTCCATTGAGCTCCTCCAGAGGAAAACCACCCTGAGAATTACCTCCTGCAGGGCCTTATTGGCATCGTGATCATCCAGGCATTCCACCTGCAAGGGCACAAAAGCATGAGCTTAATAAATGTGTAGCAAATCATCCCCATTATCGCCACCATCACCACCACCACCATGATCATTACCAAAATCACCACCATGACCACCACCTCCACCACAACCATTACCATCACCACCACCATTACCATCATTGCCACAACCACCACCACCACTGTAACCATCACCATCACCACCACCACCATCACCATCATCACCACAACCCACAACCACCACCACCATTACCATCATTACCACAACCACAACCACCACCATGACCGTCACTATCACAACCACCACTACAACCATCACCATCATCACAACCCACAACACCACCACCAGCACCACCACCATGACCATCACCATCATCATCACCACAACCACCACCACCACTACCACAACCACAATCACCATCACCACCATGACCATTACCATCATCACCACAACCACCATCACTACCATTACCATCATTACCACAACCACAACCACCGCTACCATGACCACTACCATCATCACCACAACCACCACCACCACTACCACAACCAGAATCACCATCACCACCATGACCATTACCATCATCACCACAACCACCATCACTACCATTACCATCATTACTACAACTACAACCACCGCTACCATGACCATTACCATCATCACAACCACAACCACCACCACCATCCCACCACCACTGCAACCATTACCATCATTACCACAATCACAACCACCATCATCATCACCACCACGACTGTCACCATCACCTCATCACCATCATTACCATTGTCACCACCATTTCCACAATCGCAACCATTAAAACCATCACCACCATGGCTGTCCCATCACCACCATCATCACACCACCACCACCATTACCACCATTATTACTCTATCACTACCACTGTCACCATCACCACTATGATCACCATCATCAAGACCATTATCACCACCATCACCATCACCAAATTCTCCATCACCACTATCATCACAATCATTTGTCATCACCACCTTCCCCATCATCACACCATCACCACCACCACTATTATTACCACCATCACACCATCAACACCGCTGTCACCATCACCACTATTATCATCACCATCACCACCATTATCACCATCATTACCTCCATCACCATCACACCACCACCATCACCATTACCACCACTATCCTCACCATTGTCACACCATCACCATGACCACCATCACCACCATCACCACCATCACCATTATCACTGCCACCATCGCTGCCACTATCTTGCCACCTCCATCATCACCACCACTGTTATTTAACAGGAGTGACAGGCTCCCACCATTCATGCCCCCACCATATGGCACAAACAGAAGATATTCCTAAGGCAGAGCTCTAAAAATACTTATAGCAATGAGAACAACTTTGCTCCTGTTGCAAGGATAAGCTTAGGACAGCATAATATAAACTCCAAGAAATCAGCAAAGGATCCATTTTCAGACCATCTTTAAAACATCTTGTTTTAAGGAACATCTTGCTCTGATTGGGAAAGCATCAATCTCACCACTTCATTCCTTACCCACACTGGGAAGGTTGTCTCTGTGCACGGAATGTGCGGTGCTCTTCTCTCTTTCCTGTGCCCTCTCTGGGTGGAGAGGGGAGGGTGTGGAAAGAAGGGTGGTGGCAAGTGCAGCACAGAGCTTTGAATCTGCAGCATACTTGGTGGCACAGGCCCCAGGTGTGTACTGCCACTGGCTTGAATGCCAGATCCTTACCCAAAATTTTACTCAAAAGACTTACGAATGAAGAACTCTTTTTTTTTTTTTTTTTTGAGACAGAGTCTTGCTCTGTTGCCAGGTGCCAGGCTGGAGTGCAGTGGCGTGATCTTGGCTCACTGCAATCTCCGCCTCCTGGATTCAAGCAATTCTCCTGCCTCAGCCTCCCTAGTAGCTGGGACTGCAGGTGTGCACCACCACACCCGGATAATTTTTGCATTTTTTAGTAGAGACAGAGTTTCACCATGTTGGCCAGGATGGTCTGTCTCTTGACCTCGTGATCTGCCCGCCTCGGCATCCCAAAGTGCTGGGATTACAGGCATGAGCCACCGTGCCCATGAATAACTCTTATAATGGGGTGATTGTAGACCATCATGGAAAGTTAGTGAATTGTTCCCAGGTCCATGGAGAGACCTGAGATGCCAGTGGCACTGTCCCATAGAATCCAGGGCAAAGACCCTGAGTGAGCCTTCCTGTCTTCCTTTCCTCCTGTCCCAGGGGATATAGGAGGAGGTGAAGTTGGTCAAAATATACAGAAAGGCTTAAAAATGTTACATTGTATAACCCAGAAATCCCACTCCTAGAAATTTTTCCTAAGGAAATCATGGATGCTCAAAAAAAAAACACCCATAATACTATACGCATATTTATCAGAGTTGCTTACACAAGGTGAAACACTGAGAACAAGCTCAATGCTCAGCCCGCGTGATAGGGATGGCTTGGGTCAGTTACAGCACATCAGGCAAGATGGGCGGGGGGCCACACAGCTGCCAGAGCCAGGAGAGGAGGCGGCTGTGGGAATGACATGAAACCATGTTTGCAATATAAAAAGTATGCTATCAGCTTTATTTTTATTTTTCAAGATGTAGTTTTACTTTTGTTGTCAAGGCTGGAGTACAATGGTGCAATCTCAGCTCACTGCAACCTCTGCTTCCCAGGTTCAAGAGATTCTCCTGCCTCAGCTTCCCGAGTAGCTGGGATTACAGGAAGGTGCCGCCATGCCTGGCTAATTTTTTGTATTTTAGAGATGGGGTTTCTCCATATTGGTTAGGCTAGTCTCGAACTCCCAACCTCAGGTGATCTGCCCGCCTCAGCCTCCCAAAGGGCTGGGATTACAGGCATGAGCCACCACATTCGGCCAGGCTATCAACTTTAACAATTCCATTCTCCTAAAAACAAGAAAGTTTACAAATGCTTGGAAAAAAAGACTGGACGGATACATAAACTCCTATCTAAGCTCTCCTTCCCTAATTTTTATTTAGAAATAATTGGCTGACATTTTTATTTTTATTTATTTATTTTTTTTTTGAGATGGAGTTTCACTCTTGTTACCCACGCTGGAGTGCAATGGCGCGATCTCGGCTCACAGCAACCTCCACCTCCTGGGTTCAGGCAATTCTCCTGCCTCAGCCTCCTGAGTAGCTGGGATTACAGGCATGCACCACCATGCCCAGCTAATTTTTTGTATTTTTAGTAGAGACGGGGTTTCACCATGTTGACCAGGATGGTCTCGATCTCTTGACCTCGTGATCTGCCCGCCTCAGCCTCCCAAAGTGCTGGGATTACAGGCTTGAGCCACCGCACCCGGCTGACATTTTTATTTTTAATTTAACTAATTAATTTATTTATTTAGACGAAGTCTCGCTCTGTCACCCAGGCTGGAGTACAGTGACGCAATCTTGACTTCCTGCAACCTCTGCCTCCTGGATTCAAGTGATTCTCCCATGTCAGCCTCCCAAATAGCTGGGACTACAGGTATGAGCTGTCACGCCCAGCTAATTTTTGTATTTTTAGTAGGGATAGGGTTTCACCATGTTGGCCAGGCTGCTCTCGAACTTCTGACCTCAAGGGATTCACCTGCCAGAGTGCTAGTGGGCCTCCCAAAGTGCTGAGCCACCGTGCCTGGTCATGGCTTTTTTAAAATCTCCTCAGGCCAGGTGGGGTGGCTCATGCCTGTAATCCTAGCACTTTGGGAGGCCGAGGTGGACAGACTGCCGAACTCAGGAGTTCGAGACCAGCCTAGGCAACATGGTGAAACCCTGTCTCTACTAAAATACAAAAAAATAGCCCGGTATACGCGGCATGTGCCTATAGTCCAAGCTACTTAGGAGGCTGAGGCAGGAGAATTAATTGAACATGGGAGGTGGAGGTTGCAGTGAGCAGATATTACGCCATTGCACTTCAGCCTGGGTGACAGAGCGAGACTCTGTCTCCAAGAAAAAAACCAACAATAACAACGAAAACACCAAAAAGCTCCTTAATTGCTCAGAGGGCAGTCAGCCACCCTGCCCTAATGGCTTATGAGACAAGGGGGCCAACCCCACAGCTAGCCAGCAAGGGAGTAGGACGGGGGCAAGGACTCCAGGCCCAGCCACTCAGGGTGAGGCTGCGGAGCTGCACTGACTGAGATCTGGATAAGGGACGGCTGCTGACAAGGCTCCTCTCACTGCGTGGCCAGCCCTGAACCCGCTGGGTCCCTGTCGCCACCACAGAGAGGAGGGCGTGCCAGGGACTCTTACAGCAGCTCTCTCACCCTGGCTCCTCTGTTGATCTGGACCTCCCTGTCTTGGACACACAAGGGGACATCCTCCTGCATGCCTACACCTCCCATGCTCTGCTAACCCTGGTGAGGAGTGCAGAGGAAGGGCTCAGGGCCTGGTGTGTGACCTTGGCCCTGTGCGACCTTGAGCCAGTCCCTATCCTCTCTGGGCCTAGCTCCCTTTTGGTAAAACGAGTGACCCAGTACGGGGTAGCATGGTGTCCCCCAGTGAGGTGGCCTGAATTCCAATCCTGTGGGAAACTGTGACCTTGGCTAGTCTGGAGCTGCCTTGAGCCTCACTGTCTTTGGCTGTGAACAGGGCCATTGTTCCTGCTTTGCAGGGTTGACGGGAGATAAAGCAAGTCGATGCCTGGCATGCAGCACGAGATGTGTAAATGGAGGTGGTGGTGGTGTCAGAACAGAGATTAGCATCACTTCCCCATCAAGGTGAGAGAGTTCCATGCACCCCCACGTCTACCACAACCAGATTTGTCTCTGCGAGTGCTGGCAGCAAGGAAACCAGCTGCCACATCAGGAAGCTTCTCTACCATGGGAAGAGCTTGTATTGGGGAAAATCACAGCCACAGAACCACATGGCCTGGGATGGACAGGTTGGTCTCTTACCTGCTTTATCACCCGCTTGACTTTGGTCTCCATTTCTTCTACCACCAGGTTCACCCCCAAGGCCCCAGGATTCAGTTCATACAAAACCTACCAGCAAGGGAGAGAGAAGCTTTCAGGAAATGCACACAGCTTTTCGTTTTCCAAAAGCCCAGCTCCAACTTCTTTTCTGGCCCCGCTAACTCCCCTGTCAGGTTGGCAGAGCATGTGACTCCACCCCATCTTGCAATAGCGGAAATGGCCCAAGGAGGGCAAGAAGCCTTTCCATGGCAGAACTCCAATCTCATCTCTTTGGGGACCATTCGGAAACTCTTCTACAACCCTATATCCCTTCCCCAACCTGCAGTGAGGACCAGATGGGCACTCAAGAGCAAGCACCTCCCAAGGAAAAAGGGCTTATTCACGCTCTGTAGACCCCCTGTGACCTCAACTTCCAGTATCCACTTCCAAACTGGCTTCAAACGAAAAAGTAACCAGTCTTGTGATTGGTACAATCTGGAAGCTGTGTGTGTCTGGCATGGTGCCAAGCACTTCACAGTCACCCTATGCAGTTGACACCATTGCTACCTCTATGTTTACATTTGGGAAAACTGAGGCACAAGGGACTAGGTCATTGCCTGAGGCTATGTCACTAAAAGGCACGACTGCCTCGGGTAACTCTGGGGTCTGACCTTAGAGCCTGTGATTTGAGCCAAAGTGATTTGAGCCAAATCTGCAGAGATGGCTACCAAGCCAGAACTCTGTGCAGAGACCAAGGGCTATGGGGTGGGACACTGGGCTGGGGATTGCTGGAGACTGACATTCATCAGAGGATTGGGGTGGGAGGATAGGACCCAGAGGAGGAGATATGAGGATGGAACCCTGAGACTAGGGAATCTGAGCCGATAAAAGTCTTAGGAGTCTGTAATCCAGCCTCGTGAGCAGCCTGCTCCTGACACTGGATATTCTAAGCCAGGGGTCCTCTAGTCTGTGGCCTGTTAGGAACCAGGCAGCACATCAGAAGGTGAGCAGCAGGCAAGGGAGCAAAGCTTCATCTGTATTTATAGCTGCTCCCCATGGCTGGCATTACCACCCAAGCTCAGCCTCCTGTCAGATCAGCAACAGCATTAGATTCTCATAGGAGTGTCAACCCTATTGTGAACCGCACATGCAAGGGATCCAGGTTGCCCGCTCCTCATGAGAATCTAATGCCTGATGATTTGTGAGTCTCCCATCACCCCCAGACAGGACCATCTAGTGGCAGGAAAACAAGCTCAGGGCTCCCACTGATTCTACATGATAGTAAGTTGTAATTATTTCATTATGGCCAGGCATGGTGGCTCACGTCTATAATCCGAGCACTTTGGGAGACCAAAGTGGGCAGATCACGAGGTCAGGAGTTCAAGACCAGCCTGATCAACATGGTGAAAACCTGTCTCTACTAAACATACAAAAATTAGCTGGGCGTGGTGGGGCGTGCCTGTAATCCCAGCTACTCTGGAGGCTGAGGCAAGAGAATCACTTGAACCTGGGAGGTGGAGGTTGTGGTGAGGCGAGAGTGTCCCATTTCACTCCAGCCTGGGCGACAGAGCAAGACTCATCTCAAAAAAAAATTTTTTTTCATTATTTATTACAATATAATAATAGAAATAAAGTGCACACAAATATAATGTGCTTGAATCATCCTGAAACCATCCTCCCACCTCGGACTGTGGAAAAATTGTCTTCCACAAAACTGGTCCCTGGTGCCAAAAACACTGGGGACTGCTGGTCTAAGCCGCAGGGACCTGAGGGCAGAGCTGATGTGAGGGCATTCAGGCTGAGGCAGCAAAGCACACAGTAAAATAGACCTGTATTTCGAATCAAGTCTATTTTTGTTTCCAAAAGCAGGTATCTTCCTGAAAGTTCTATTTATTTTTTCTCCTGAAAAGTAACTTTACTTTAAAAATTATCTGGTCACCAGAAACTCATCTGCTTTACCGCTGGCAACGCCCTGTAAGTCCTCTCACACAAAGAGAATTCTTCCAAAGTGAGAAAAATCTAACCCACAAACTGTTTCCAAGCAAATGTAATTTTTACAATGCTGAATCTAACATTTAATAATGTTTACATATCACGTCTAGAAGCATTTAATTAAACATTCACTTTTATTTTGCAGCTTTTTGCGTTTTGTGACTATTTCAGGTCTCAAACATTTTCACAGATTCAGGCTGCAGGGGTGTTTTTAGGGACTGGGGGCTCCCAATTACGTACTCGGGAAGTTCCCGGGGGTCCTGCCTCGGTGGACCCAAGTGCACGGACCCCGGGCACGAAGGATGGAGGAGCTGCTCCACGCCCTCAGTCAGCCAGGGCTGGAGAATCCTTAGTTAATTCACAAAGGGGGAAACTGAGTGGCAAAGGGCACCCAGGAGGTCACCGTTGGAAGTCCCCGGGTTCAACCCAGGAGCTGGAGGCCGGCACTAGCCAGGGCGCGGATCCCTCCTGCCCTCGGTCGGACCCGTCGGCCGCCGCTCTAGGGCTGCGACCGTTACCCCACGGAGACCCGACCCCGCCTCCCTGCAGGGGACACTCGGCACCTGGTACTTCTCCATGGGCTCTCTGGGGGCCCTCGGGCTTCGATTCCCCCGCGCGGGGAGCCAGCGAACGGACCCTGCCCCAAGCATGTTCAGTAGCCACCGCGTCCGGGCAAGCGTCCACCCCCAACCCACCCCGCATGGGTCAGTGGCACCTGCGGGACGCTCCTCGCCCGAACGGCGCCCTCGGGGCACCCAAGCGTCCCTCCCGCGCTCGCCCCAGAACAGCAGGCTTCTATCCCCTTAAAGGGGACGCGCTCGGCCGAGACCCGAGGGGCCGCAGGGCCGGAGAGTGGTGGGCGGGGCCTCCAGCGTGAAAGGCGTGGCGTCGAGCGCGCCAGGCGTGGCTTCGAGCGGACGGGTCTGGAGGCTGCTGACGGCGCGCGGCCCCTTTAAGAAGCGCCGGGGCGGGCCCGGGTGGCGCGCGGCCCCTTTAAGCCTTGGCCTACGTGGCAGCCGCTGGAGCCGCCGCCGACGCGGAGTGAGGCCGGCCGCCGGGCACTTCCTGTGGAGGCCGCAGCGGGCGCGGGCGCCGACGGGCGAGGGCCAGTGAGCGAGCCAGCCGAGCCGAGCCTCCCGCCGTCGCCATGGGCCAGAACGACCTAATGGGCACGGCCGAGGACTTCGCCGACCAGGTGTGGCCTGCGGGCCCCTACCCCGTCCCCGGCCCCGACCCAGGCCGCCCGGGTGGCCCCGGTGTCGGCCTCCCGGCGCGGGACGCCAGGCCCGGGCCGCCCCCGACTCCTGTTCCCATAGAGGGACCCCCCCCCCACACCCGGGCCCTCCATCCCGGCCTAGACACCCCCAAGCCCGACCTGCGGGTCCGGTCTTCCCTGCGAGGCCGCTCCCGGAGCCCGGGCCTCGGCGCCTTGCCTGGCCTGCCGCCCCTACCCTCCAGCCTGCCCGGGGTTCCAAGCCGCAGGCTGTGGGGGGTTTCCTGCAGGGCCCGCGGCGGGAGACCTGAGGTTGGGGCGGCTCTGAGGCTCGTGGGGAGCACCTCGGCGTTTGGAGCTGCTGGGGGGAGGTCCCCGCACATTTTTCCTTTCACCGGGCTCCGGGAGGCGGGGTGGGAGCTCGGGGACGAACGGGGACCGGGGGTCCTCCCAAAGGAAAGGGGGCGCGCTGGCGTGCGCCCCAGCTACAGGAAGCCATAGCAGCTTTTCCTTTTCTTTCCCAGACGTGGTGGACTCTTGGGGTCCCTTTGACCCTGCTTGCATCTCTCCCTCCCCTTTTGGACTCTGCCCTGGGCTGGATTGAGTGGGGATCAGTACACAGCCTGGGAGGAGGGGAAGACTGTCTTTGATAGTTTCCTTCCAGAAGTGTCCAGGTGGCATTCTGAGCAACAGGGAAGCCCTTGAAACAGGCGGTTGGGTAACTGTTGAGAGCATTCAGAAACCGGGTGGACAGGATCCGAACCTAGAAAGTGAAGGGACACATCTCCCCACCCTCTTTTTTCATTAAGCTTGGCCAAAAAAAAAAAAAAAGGTGGTGGTGGTTACGCAGATTTATCCCTTTTACTTGTAAAAGAATCCCGTTTTGTCGACAAATTAACAGCCTTATCCTCGCAGGGAGAGCCTTGTGTGGCCCACTCGCCGTTCTTTCCTCAGTTTACTTAATGTGTTTGTGGGGCTTTGCCAGAGTTTTAAGTAGTGATGGTTAAATTTTTTAATTTTTCTGGAGTTGGTAGTGAGTCATCAAACTCTGAGGCCTAGACTTATTGGAAGGTTTGTGTATGTGTGATTTTAAAAAAAGAAAGAAAGAAAGAAAGAAAAAAGTAACTGACCGTTTCTGATTAGCTATCGAGCTTTTCCATCCACCCGGGGGTGATCTCTTTCTAGTGTGAACTCACCATCAGTTCTCATTGCACCACTTTCCTGTGAGCTGATATTTTAAATTTGGGGAGAAAAAGTACATCAACTTGAAGAAGCAATTTTTCCTAAGGTGCTGATTTTGTGCTTTAAGACAGAATTTTAAAACTGTGTCCCTTACAAAAACAATTCATATCAAAAGTTCTCAAGACCCAGGTAGACCTTTTAGTTTGTCAGTTTAATTGACATCATTTACAGTGACCCATTTTTATTTTCCCAAGTCACAACTCCCTTAGAAGATGGCTCCTTATATCGAAGGGAAGGACGAGAGCTACATACAGTCGCTCTTCGCCCTGGAAAACTTGGGTTTTGCAAGTGAATTTCATAACCAAATCTAGATAAAATGTCTCCAGTCAAGCTGCTGCCCACTAGCAAATGATAGACTCTTCTACTGAAAAAAAAAGTTCCCGATCTCATTCCTTTCTGTTTCTTCTTCTTCTTTTTTTTTTTTTTTTTTTGTCTTTTGGGGTGTGGGAGGAGGGGACAGAGTTTTGCTCTTGTTATCCAGGCTGGAGTGCAATGGCACGATCTTGGCTCACTGCAGCCTCTGCCTCCCGGGTTCAAGCGATTCTCCTGCCTCAGCCTCCCAAGTAGCTGGGATTACAGGTGAGCACCACCATGCCCGGCTAATTTTTGTATTTTTAGTTGAGATGTGGTTTTGCCATGTTGGCCAGGCTGGTCTTGGAACTCCTGACATCAGGTGATCTACCTGCCTCGGCTTCTCAAAGTGCTGGGATTACAGGTGTGAGCCATTGCACCTGGCCTTTTCTTCATGTGTTGTTGTTGTTATTGTTATTATGGAGATGCAGTCTCACTCTGTTGCCCAGGCTGGAGTGCAGTGGCACAATCTCAGCTTACTGCAAGCTCCACCTCCCAGGTTCAAGCTATTCTCCTGCCTCAGCCTCCGGAGTAGCTGGGATTACAGGCACCTGTTACCATGCCCAGCGAATTTTTGTATTTTTAGTAGAGACAGAGTTTCGCCATGTTGGCCATGCTGGTCCTGAATACCTGACCTCAGGTGATCCACCCACCTTGGCCTCCAAATTGCTGAGAATACAGGTGTGAGCCACCGCGTCCAGCCGCCTTCATGTGTTTTGTTGTGTTTTAAATGAAAGTAGCAGCAGCTTGGAACTAGAAAGGGGCTCTTGAGGAGGCACAGGGTTGACCTCTCCCAGGTTACTGAGGAGAGGCCAAACTGGCTCAGGCTCCTGGACTTGCCCGTGGGCCACTGAAGAAAACCCAGGTCTTGGTCCCCAGCACCCCCAGAGCCTGGTAGTCCTCTTCTGGCCCAAGTCAAGGGAAGAGCACTAGAAGTTGAAAGGGGGTGAGCAGCCTGTTCACATACAAATCCCAAGTGATTGGAACCGTATCTGTCAGGCAGCACAGGCTGCTGATGTCAGATGATCTCATTAGAGTCTGCCTAGGTGGTGGCAGAGCATGGCAGCAGGAGTATCCATGCCCCTTTCTGGTCAGCTTGGGATGGCAGCAACTTGTATTCACCCAAACTCCAATCAGACAGATGCAGGCAGGTTAACAGGTGACGACATCACAGTGTGGCTTCTTGTGGACAGAATCTGATGAAGCCCAGGTAGAGCTTTGTTTCTGCTTATCCACATAGTACTTAAAGCTGCCAGACCAGGCCTTTACATGAAAATGACCTAATTTGAACCCAATGGGGAATTACCGTGGAAGTCACTGATCAGATTAAGTAAGAATCCAGTTTTTTTCATCTGTAGAAAACAAAAGCAAAACCAGTTGGGCGCGGTGGCTCACGCCTGTAATCCCAGCACTTTGAGAGGCCGAGGCGGGTGGATCAGGAGGTCAAGAGATCAAGACCATCCTGGTCAACATGGTGAAACCCCATGTCTACTCAAAATACAAAAAATTAGCTGGGCATGGTGGTGCATGCCTGTAATCCCAGCTACTCAGGAGGCTGAGGCAGGAGAATTGCCTGAATCTGGGAGGCGGAAGTTGCGGTGAGCCGAGATTGCACCATTGCACTCCAGCCTCGGTAACGAGAGCGAAACTCCGTCTCAAAAAATAAAAAAATTTAAAAAAGCAAAACCAAAGTGATAAGGTTTGACTAAGAAAGTGTGTGCTGCTGAGAGCAAGATCTAAATAAGCTTAGTTTCCCAGGCCCAGTGTCCTCAGGTATTATGACATTCTTCAGTGGGCCACGTCCATGATACACATTCCTTGTGTGCCTTCCTGACTGCAGGAGGTTGGCCAGAGCGTCTCCATCTTCAGATGGGCAGAGGGAGGTTGGTTGGCCGCACTGGCTCATGGTGGGCTGGAGACTGAGTTTGCATCTTGTTACCCCAAAGTCTGGGTTCCTCACTGCTTGGTGGATTGCGACCTGGTCTGCAGAGGCTGGTCCATGGGAACGAGCAGTCCGGTTAGTTTCTACTGGCAGGCTCCCCCCAGCTGCATCTCTTGTCTCTCTATATCTGGCATCAAGCTTCTTGCCCTGGCAGCCAGGGACAGTGTCCTCTTGCTCCTGGGAGCCATGCTCTGTAGAAACTGCTGAGACGTGCTCTATGCAGGAGCTGGGCATTTGGAAGCTATGGGAAGGGGCCAGAAACTCTAATGAACTCAGCAGTCCAAACTAATGTCCATGCCTGCAGCTGCTCCTCACTGCCTATTAGACACTCTGCAAAATGTAGCTTCTAAGCAGTTTATATCCGTAAACAGCAATATTGGCACTTAATGGGTTCTGCCTGGCAGTTCATCACAAAGGCTACAGAAAAGCTTCATGGGGCCTTCCTCTCCAGTGTGGGCTTCGGTGTTTTTAACCTATCCTCAAGAGTGGCAGAGCTAGTCCTGGGCCCTAGGATCTGGTCTTGGCCCTAGTTGAAGTGCTGGGGAAGTGAGGAGGGTCCTGAGGACACCTGAACCTGCTGGTGGCACAGGCACTGTGAGGCTCCTGATGAACATCTTGAGGGTGGCTGTCCGGTGGGGTCCTGGTGACTGGCAGACTCTGTCCTACCCTACCCTGTGCCATTAAGGAGCAAGGAGAGAAGGCAAAGAGGAGCTGACTCACTTTTCTTTGTGTGCTGATCTTAACAGGAGGTTAGAACATATCCACCCTGCTCTTTAGGGGAGTGTGGGGGAGAAGCAGGGGAGGTTGTGGTTAGCGGGGCTCCTCCCGGAAGATAGGGCCCAGTTGTGCTCGGTTACTTCTTTCCTACAGTTGTGATTTTGATCACATAGTTTTTTTAGTAAAGCCAGGCCAACATCTCTGGCATTGGGCTGTGTGACACCTTCTCTGGCCCTGCAGGGTGTAAACCTCTAGAGCAGCATGGGAGGGAGGCTCCAGGAAGTTCTGGAGTTACAGTGAGCCACTGAGATCGAGCCAGCCCTGACAATCTGATGTGAGAAGCTGCTGGGCCCCTTCTTCCTTCCCCATGGTTGCTTTTCCCCGGGTTTAGATGAGGCAAAGGCCCGTGTCCTTGTTTCTAGGATATGTGGGACCTGAGTTGGGCCTTGAGGGAGGCAGCCCCAATCCTTGGTGATCCAGGAAATCTGACCTGCCTTTTTCCTCGATGTTCTCATTCACCATGAATTTGCAGGCTGCTTTTCTTAATTTCTTTTTGTCCTGAGTGTGAAGAGAAAGTAGAGTTTTCTCTGTGGTGTGGGAGCTGCAGGTGGCTGTGATAGTGATCACTGCATGCTCACGAAGTCATCTCTCAGGGTGGATATAATTACCTTTCTTAAATCCCCTTCAGTCATCTAAAATAACTACCCCTCTGAGAGGAATCTCAGTCTTCCTATTAAGCTCCTGAGATGCTGTCACTGCTTATGAACCATATCCTGCTTGATGGCATGGTTCTCGGAGAGACTTAATGAGAAGCTCGGCCACAGAGGTGAGCTAACTGTGTCATCTCCTTCCTGCAGCCTGCCAGGTCAGCAGCCACCTCTGGCTCTGCTGTCACAGTTATGGGGGAGGGGGACTGTCACGGGTTTTATGTCCTCGCAGTGTTTACACAGGTCACCTATGTGCTGGCTACCAGCAGTGGGCCGAGTGCCTGCAGTGTGGCTGCCCTTGTCTGTCCCGGGTGCTGTTTCATGCCTGAGTTGGGGGCTCTTCTCTGCTGTGCTGAGGGAACACTGGCCTTGGGACATATTCTGTAGTGGCATGACATGGGTCCAGTGGCCCAGCTGAAGAAGTTGTGACCAACATATGTGTGGGGAAAGAGGTTCATGCCAGGCCTGGTCTTTAAACATGGCTTTTTCAGTGTTAAGTCCAAACAGTCCCCGACGTTGGGGCATGCTCATTAGATGGTGGCTGGTTTAAAGGAGACTGCATCAGCCTTACAACTAGTCAGCCTTTGGTCTGGACCAGGCTTGCCTTTGAAAACCAGAGCAGCTAAGCAGTAGATGTGCTCAGTTCAGAATGCAGTACCCAAATTTTTGCATATTTTTCCCCGAAGCCAAGAGCTGTGTCTGTCTCCTCACCACGTTCGCTCAGGTGTGAATTGGCTGTCCCACCTTCTCTGTCTTTTTTGTTCTTTAATCCTCTTGACCCAGACACTCAAATTAAGAGTCTCAGACTCATCAAAGAGACTCTTAAACACTGTTTCAGTCTCATGGGCTGTGCATGTAGCAGATGAGCATGTTAAATGTGGGTCCTGCAGCTGGGGGAGGCTTAGACAGCAACCCATGGCTGGGGCTGGTTTGCTCATCTGAGGTCAGTGAGCGGCTCACAGCTCTCATTTTAGAAGCAAGTCAGAACACCTCTGGTGTCTGTCTTGGGTGTGGATTACAGTCTGCCTCTCTGCTGCTGTTGGGGTCCACACCCTAGGAGTCCTGCCACAGCTCCATCTCATCTCAGAGGTCTGCACAGCCTCTTGTTGAGCTCTTCCTTCCCCGTGGTTGCTTTTCCCCAGGT